TTTCCCTTGGACACTATCTTATCATACGATCTAGCTGTATCTTCAGAGACTTCAAAATCACTTTATTAGAAAGGACAGTAAAATATAGAATCCCAGTCACAATCGGTAATAGTCCCGCCAGCGGAAAAGGCGGCACTCTATTTCCCGCCACAGTGGTGTAATTGCGGCTGTGGATCTTACTCAGCGGCCGTCTGATTTCCCAATTCCCGCTCTCTGATAGAACGAGCCGGCGCGTATCAAACCCTGTCAAGTCGTCAGATTACCCTGGACTTGTGGATAGCTTTACAGCGGCGTGCTGTCACAATTGTGAAGTGGTGGACAATTTAGCCCCAAAATCGTAGTCATCATCTAACTCAACCGGTAAATTAAAACCGAACCCTTTAGATTTCAATCCTCGGGAAAGTATTGAGTTTTTGTGATTTTATTGGCACAACGAAAGAGGCGGTCTGACGTACTACAATGGGCCTACGACAGACACCTAGCATGGCCGGTACGAAACTAATTGTGACAAGCCCTAAGTGGGCACCCCTATAGTGACAGGCTACCATTGTTCTTCTCTACACAAGGTCACAGTGATCGGGCGTTCACACTGTTAACAGGCAATAAAAGGTATGATTGATACCATTAGCAGGACGAGTGTTACTAAGGCAACACTAATGGCGACATGGTTTCCTCGTTCACATTCAAGGTGACGTCTAATGGGAGAGGTCAAAACGGTCGCAACCCAGTTCTACGATTTCGTTGCCTTAGTGTAGGAAGAAGTAAACCGTTCACGGCTTCTTAATGCTTTTGTGAGTGCCTGAATGCTTGAGAACATCGCTTTGAATTCAGCGTTAGAAGTGCTGTTGGTGCACTTTGCTTCGTACAACGGAATGGTCGTTCTGGCTGTTGGTTTTCCTGAGTACGATTTTCCAGATCAAAGGATAGATCATGGTGAGGGAATTGTTAGCTATCAGATAAATGGGTGAAGGATGTATACTGGACTTTGAGTTGGAAATAAGTAATACTAGTAAGTGCTTTTTCTTGCAATTAATCAAGGTAAGAGACATTACTGATTGTGTAAAAGAAAATCCCAAAATCCTATCTTCGATGTCATGTATGTTTGATATAGTGTTTAGGCCATGTTGATTTGATTATATGGATGACATCCGCGCGCGCATGAATTTTCGGCCGTTTCAAAAAAAAAAGTTTTCAACCATACTGTAAATCGTACAAAACAGTTGCAAAATGGGCAAAAATATACCATAAGTTACAAAAAAAATTAACAAAACTATACCAATGTCGTAGAATGCCAAAATCAAACGAAAAAAGACGAAATTGTAAAGAAATGAACTTGAAGACTAGATTATTCGCCAAACCATATTCTGTGCCATTTGCTCAACCCTCATGACCACGTAGATTTCATAATGAAAAGAACTTTTTTTTGCAAAACTTTTTTTTTATTCGCACGCGCGCATCAGTTTTGGGGCTCCCGGAGGATGTCATCCATATAATCAAATCAACATGGCCTTATGTGGTGTTGCAGAGACGACCAGCCCATTATGTTTACAAAGACTTTTTTTCTCTTTTCAACAGTTGAATAAGCAACAGGCTTATAACATATCAAGTCCGGACACGTAGCGGGCTCGCTTTATAAAGATTTGGCGTGCTCTCATTTTCCGAAGAGCCACCCGAGTCTGGAGTTGAGATGTGCATCAATTGCAAAGACGTCCAAATCAATAGAAAGCTAATGGCCTGGACCATTTGGTTAGATGTAACGGGATAAGGTCACTACAGTTCCGTCACACAGAAAGAACGGCGAGCAAGATAAACAAGAGTTCCGAGATCTCATACCTCCATGAAATATGGGCTTGATATGTAAATGTACATTTCTTCTTTAATTACGCAAATGACCTCTGCATTAACATAATATATGCATCGTGATGTTAAGTTTTGATTAACTTAAAGATGGCCCAAGTATGACATTCCCATTATTCACCATTGAGAAATCATAGATTTTTTGCTTTAATTATGCAAATTAGGTCATCATTTGCATAATTAGTATCTGTTGATGTTCCATCTGCCATAGGTTACATACATTACATGTATGAAAGTTCTATAATGTAAGACACTGTAATTATAGAATTTCCTCATTAATTATGCAAATAAAGTCCTCATTTGCATAATTTACAGTTAATTATGTACATCTCTCTGTCAGATACCTACACACCAAAATGATGAAAATACGCTGTTGCTATCTGGACTTATTGGCTTTCAAAGATTTCGCCCGAAAGTCCCCTGCAGTTCCTGAACAAGCTGCTAGGGGGACCAAACCCACACCACTTATTCCTGACAGGAAAAACTATCTGTCACCAAATATTCAAGACCATAGCATGTTCAGGACCAAAGATACAAAAACCGGAAGTTCTGCTGCAGTACCATGGTCATCCACCAGGAGGCCCATATTTGACCTTGACCTTTGTCTTCCTAAGACTTATCAGCATACCAAATATCATCGCAATCCATAAAGTCGTTATGAAGTTATGCTAACTACAAAGTTGCGGAAACACACACAGACACACAGACACACACACAGACACACACACAGACACACAGACAGACGCCGCCAAAAACAATACCTCCATTTTTCATGGAGGTAATGATCTGGGAAATGTACTGTGTTTTGCCGCGAGGGTCAGTATGTGAGACCACTAATTGCCTCTGTAGCTCAGCTGCCAAGGACGTTATATAACAGATTCACCTGTTAACGCGGGCATTGACATGTTACATAGATGGGCTGCACGTTGAAGAGAAGTAGAAATCATACAAATGTAACAAAGGTGTAAATGCCCGAGGGCTACATTGTTTTACTTCAGCGTTTTCTTCCTAGATCCTAAAGTACGCATCCTGGATTTTGCCCCTGGTCATATAAAAGTGGCAAAGTGCTTTCGTAGTAGCCTCTCGCTACAATGTACTTCATTCCAAAATATCCCTATATGTTACACATCAATTTTCTGGTGTATCGCACTGTGCCCATGTATAGTTGTCATATAATCGCCAGTGACTCAGTGAATTTGAAAGCCTGCTTAAATTCAAACGCATCTCAGTCCACTGACCTCACTTCAACCCACCCACCCTTCTGCCTACGTGTGATCTTGAACTCACTTTGGCGAAGGCTAAGACACACGCAATGCACCTCGTGTACATGTATATGTACGTGTCTCTTGACATGTCATCATATATATCCCAGAAATTACTCTGGGTACTCCAATAACATCTACTCTCCCGGCAGAGGTTTAAACCTTGGAAGGTTGTGACCTCCATCTACCATTTTCTGTCAGCAAGGACATTCTACTAGTGAACGTCCTTGCTGTCAGTCAGCCCAATCAACCATTCGGTACCCAATTGGATACTGCATTGCTATTGGATTCTGCGTTCCTATTGTATACTGCGTTCCTATTGGATACTGGATCTGATTGGAGATTAAGCCAATCCACTCCCTCGAGCTCGGTCCTCTCATTTCTAGCTAGAAGGTTTTTTTTTATATGGTAACAGTAAACGTGTGCGGATTGTTGACCTAAAAGTAGCTTCCGTGACCCAAGAAGATTAAAACAACCCAGACTCCGAGGATCTTTTGCTTTATTAATAAGTACAGACTCAAAGGACTAGAGGTGAAATTTACTCATTGATACCCAGTGGATTTTAGAAGAGAAAAACCATTTCACCGTGAAGGGCGATCGTATCAAATATGCACATGGATTTTACGGCTTAACGGATACGTCTCAAAAGTTCGCGGGTAATACCAAACGTGTGTTCATTTTGTAGGTTGTGCCGAAATAGCTTAGACAGTTTATAACTAACCATAATTTGTGATGGTGCACGTATGACACGCTTTCTAGATGAAACATTTGATATATACATTACATGACACATAATCTGACATAGTTGATTTTCGATATTAATGGTCTTAACCGTTATGTATGATGTAATTATCACACCGTACATCATCGTACATACATGTTAGACTACATAGCTGCCTCCACAATACATTGTCGATGCAGCGACACTTAGCAGTTTGTGATATTACTGCAAGCTCAAATCACATGAAGAACGATCCAATGCATTGACGTAAGTTTTGTTTGCATTTTACATTAGAGAACACATCCCACACCCAAAACAATTATAGGTGTTGAGTTCTTTCCCCCTCTCCGCAAGTACTGTTTAAACTAATTGCGGAGGGGAGCGAAGCAATCAAATTATTGCCTGACTCAATTGCATTATGTACGATTACTACAATTACTGTATATTGCACGCTGTACAATGTGCAAACAGTACCATTGCCTGAATTCAAATAATTATGTGCTATTTGGATATACTGTACATGAATTCACAATAATATCAGACCTAAATAGGTCTATTAATTTCAACCCCGTAGTTGTTACGGAGAGAGCGGGAGAGAGGAAGTCGCACAGAGGACTTGTTAGTCATGATGATTCAGCACTTAACAACCATCAGACCACTTCCTAAAAATGACTTTCCTCATGTACATAGGTCTGCGTTTCAGTACTTTGTACAATTGTGGTGCAATTAAGTTTATCAGACAATCTTCTGTATTTCAGTCTGGTATAACCATACTTACGTTCTGACTCCTAATCAAATGAAGACGTCCTACTTTGAGAAACGTCAATCTATAATTTGTTGTAAGAAGAAGACAATTTTTGTCAGCCGTGTAGATCTTTCCTTCCAGCTTGTCTTCCTGAAGTATTAAAACCAACCGGCGTGCGCTATTGCGCACTTGGGCGGACGGAAAAAAAAATCTAGCTCCGTATATACATATCGGGAAGTCTACGATTCTCTGGCTAACAGGCTTCATAATATACGATATATACCAGCGCTCCGTGCCCCAAGCAAGCTTCGTGTGCCAAGGAACTCTTCAGAAATCACGTGACTAACAAGGTCAGACATACCGCAGGGAGTCCTAGAGGTTCTTGGAACACAACAGGCAGGGTCAACAATTGTGAACAAACCCAAACCCCGTGGACCTTTACCGTTCACAGCACCGTTAGGACCTGTGGTAGGAGATCGGGCGTTCAACTTTTCACTCCCGAAGACTCCGTCCCGTTTGGTTCGGTAACCATGGCTGAGGAGACCAGCTCGGTAAGTTGTTTTGACTTCCAGAGTGGGCGAGTGGCTGGTAGAGTGGGCGTATCGCAACGAAGTTTGGAAATAATTTACGCTACAGTACAGAGGCCTACAACTTTGCGGGCATCTTGCCACAAGACGGGCCTTTCCCTACATGTATACCATGTACATTTAAACTTGCAAACGGTAGTTTTAAAACCTTCGCGCTAAATTATGTGTTATCGGAATCCTACACTTCTGCATGGCTGTTTGTGTTTGAATAATTTCGTGCAGGGCACTGTGAGACCCGTCAGGTCAAGGATATATAGCGGTTCAACAGAGACCGATGGGTCCAAGAGAACGTCTTACTAGTCACTAAGGAGGATTGAATCTCATTGATGAAGACTGAAAAATGTTTGGGTTGTCCACTTTTTCAGATCAAGGATACTAAAAAACGCCATCAACAAGCTGTGGTGGCATCACTTCCTAATTTGTCGTTTTGATCGATTGCGCGAAGATTCGCATTTCCTCAAGTTACCTGCTGCAGTTGCCGTGTATTACGTAGATCAGTATCATGTAACAGTAACAGTATGTAACAGTATTTATGTACCCTCGATAGATTGGCAAACTATTATTCCTCCTCCACCCAAAAACACTGGTGGTTCTCCCCGACTCCCGTAGTTGGACCGCCTGGGAAGTAGTTGTCACGTATTATTTGTAAACGTCTGTGGGCCGAGGCTACAACCTGCTGAGTCCAGCTCCCTTTGTATAAAACTGATCACAACTTTGGATCGTCTGTACATGATAATTTGGCCCTTTTCGAGGTCCAAGACGGATACAGAGACCGCCTGTCCGTTGCGCCAAGCTGTACGGGATCTTTAGAAGTTGCGTGCCCAAGAACGACATATCAAGCCCCTGTTTCCGTCCACGGTCTTTCCCGAACGTCCTCGTCTTGTAAACAAGAACCAGATGTGGTCAGGATCACACCATTGTGTTTCCGTAGTCATGTCGTCTATCATCTTTAGAAGCCAACTATCGTTAATTACCTTCGCCAAGAAGGTTATGTTTTCAGTAGCGTTTGTCCGTCTGTCTGTCTGTCTGTCTGGCTGTGAACAGCATAACTCAAGAAGCTTAGTATGCATTGTCATGAAACTTGGTAGGTGGGTAGGTCTTGATAAGACCTAGAAATGATTAGATTTTGGGCCCCCTGGCGGCTTTTGTTGGTACTGCAGCAGAACTTCCGGTTTTGATATCTCGCAATCTGGACATGTCAGGGTCATGAATGTTGGTTGGTAGATAGCTCTTGGGGTAGGGAAGAAGTGACATAAGTTATGCCCCCCTAGCGCCTTGTTCTGGAACTGCAGGAGCATTTGTTAAAAAATTTTCGAAGGATGATAACTCAAGAACCGGTGGACGGATTGTCATGATTTTTGCTATGTAGGTAGCTGAAGTAATGCTTGACACAATCAAATGATAATTATGCAAATCAGGAGCTAATTTGCATAATTAATGAGGAAATTCTATAAATCTGCTTCGTTCGATAATAGGACTATGAAACACTTGTGACATGTAATAGAGAACGAAAAAAACATCTGAGGATATGGATTATGTAAATGAAGACCTAATTTGCATAATTAATGGGAATATTTTATAATTTCATAGTTGTAACTTCTGGGAATTTCATACTTGCCACATTTGGAAGTTAAGTGAAGGCGAACATCAATAAACATAATTAATTCAAATCATGACCTCATTTGCATAATTTATGAGAAAGTGCTATAATAGCCTTTTTGTGAAGATAAGGTTGTCATTGGGTGGAAAATATGATCAACTGATATAATCAATGCTAATGAGGCTCTTATTTTCAAAATCAATGATTAAAATTGTATGATTCTTCAACCGCAAGGGTTAACATCATTTGGCGAAGGTATGAGGTCGTGGAACTCTTGTTACAACCTCCTTTTGGCTTTGCACTAGTGACCGCTGAGTGACCATTTACTCTTTAGCTACCAAAATTGCATTTGTGTGATCCTTGAAGCCTTCCGTGTAGTTAAAAGTTGAACATATATCAACATTCTTTCTTTCTTGGAGTTTATTAAAAGTTCAAGGCTATTCCAACTGGAATTTAGCCATGGATAGACTTCCAAACTTTCCACAGGAAAGCGCGAAGAGGTCTGATTTACGAAGGGCTTTTGTTCGTAGGTCTGGCCGAATCCTGGATTACAGCACCTTTTAGCGTTAAGGACCTGTATATTATAAGGTCCTTTATAGCGTCTGGAGCCCAGCGCTTTTTTGTTGTGGCAACACATACATTGTATCATCACCCCAATTACAGTTCTATAACCATATAACATGATTGTTTCGTAACAAGTGCCCAGTTTTGTACAATGTGTGTGGGCAAAATATTAAATCATAAACCATTATCCGGGAGACGCTCGTCCTAATACACAGAAGGTGTTGTAGAACACATAAATATTTCAAGCAGATGTAGGGTGTGGCATTTTTAGCTCAGTGGCCGGAGGCAATATTTTTTGTGTGTTTGTCTGTTTGCCAGTTTAATCAATTAAATGCAGTTAAGTGGCAACGACGACTGAAGTGTCAGGAGGGGGAGGGGACTGTGGTTACCACAGATTGACCTTAAGGTCAAGATGGAAGGAAATAACTGATGGCTGGGAAGATGTGATGGCTCCCAGGAGAAACTTAACTACAAGGTTTCTGTCCTACTAGGCTTGTTGAAAGTACATCAGACTATCTTTTGGGTTGTGCCAATAAATTTTCAAAACTTCTCTGACTTCTTGTTTAAAGTTTGTTTATTTCTTTTCTTTTGCCTTGCAGTTTCGTGACAGGTTCCGAGGAATACCTAAGTCCATTGCCTTCATCTGGACCTTCGAGTTCATGGAAAGGTTCTCCTACTATGGAAACCAAGGTCGGTTTTTCCTTCATATGCAGAATACTAGTATAACACAATATACAACTCACGATAGAACAGCAATGGTACTACCTTACTTTTTATGTCATACTTGGATAGTTTGAATGACCAGTAAAGTTGTGGAATACTCATGCAAAAGTTTGTACATTTTGTGTTTTTATTATGTCTGTGTTTCTGTCCTTGATGCTGAATTTGGCACCACAAGACTAGTGCCCTGTCCTTGGTACTGAATGCCATCCGTTTGTATGTTGTCTAGCCATCTAGTGCCCCTGTCCTTGGTGCTGAATTTGGCACCACAAGACTAGTGCCCCTGTCCTTGGTGCTGAATTTGGCACCACAAGACTAGTGCCCCTGTCCTTGGTTCTGAATTTGGCACCACAAGACTAGTGCCCTGTCCTTGGTACTGAACGCCATCCTTTTGTATATTTCCTAGCCGTCCTGACATTGTTCCTTCTGGAATTCCTCTCCTTTGATGATGACACCACCACTGCCATCTTCCATGCCTTCAAGTTTGCCACTTACTTCACGCCCATCCTTGGTGCCATGTTAGCTGATAGCTGGCAAGGAAAGTATCGGTATATATGCAAGTTATCATTACACTGTTCTATATGGTTAATCTAAAACTTCATAAGTTGGCTAATTCCACTTGTATTTACCTTTATTTTTTTCACTTTTGGTTACAAAAGTACTGTTTTATGGGTTTGTCTGTCCTAATTGCTTTCACTCGCATGGTGGGTGGGAGGTGATTTTGACAGTTGATCGATAGGGAGGCGACCTGAAGGAGCACGAAAACCCAAAATATTTAGCTGAAGTCTGAAATCTCTGATTTCTAGTTATACATGTACAATGTAGCTATAGAAGAAATTATAAAAGACTTGAGATTTTTGTCATTTTCTATTGGGAACTGTATACAACCTGTTTTATTACTATTGATGTAAACACCAAAATGTCCCATGCACATAGTGATTTTTAACATTTTGTCATACTTACCTTGTGCCCTCCTCTAAGTATACCAAGAGATAAAGGGCTGTCCTAGGCTTTACCCAAGCAACCTTTCATGTAGTATGTACATTGTAAGAAGGATGATTTAAAACCCTGTCTGTCTGTACCATACAGCACGATTATTGGCCTGTCGATTTTGTACTGTCTGGGTCACGTGATGTTCACCATGTCTGGGCTGATCGGCAGCGCCCCCTATCCCATCCCAGGGGGAAGTGCACAGGCGAGAGTGTAAGTTTGATACATCAGTGAAGGTTAGGCATCCAGGTAATAAGATATGCCAAAAAACACCAGTTGCTTGAGTAACTGTTTATGGCGAGTGTAAGTTTGACTTCCAAAAAACAGTCTCAATAGCATAATGCACAGTAATGATGTTATTTGATACAATATTATATATGCAAGATAGTAACAAGATTCTGTCACGTTATATCACAGAAACTGCGATTCTGATTTACATCAACATGTTTTTTTATTATACATGTACTTATCAATGACCAAAATCGCGAAGACCACTTGTCTAAGAAGGCCACTTTTCATCAGTCTCCTGGGTGGTTCTATCTTAGACTAACTAGTAAGTTTCACTCACTATATTTACCCATATGTAGCAGAAAGGGATCATTGAATTAATTTTTCTTTAAGACTTAGAGTTCTATGTTTAAATATTATCATAGCCCATCCTATAATCAAGTCTGTCATTTATTTGTATTTATCAGACCGGTAGCGATGATAGGACTGGCGCTGTTGTCCATGGGTATCGGAGGGCGGAAACCCTGTGTGTCGTCATTTGGTGGGGACCAGTTCAAAGACGGACAGGTAGGGTCAAGGTCACAATTGTGCAAGGTGATATGCAAATGTTCAATGAAAACATGAACCATGTTTAGCAAACGCATCTATATACATACCAGTATAACTAGTATAAGAAATATGAGTAGATGAGTTAGCTATTGTAGTTCTTTCTTTCGAAATGCTTGAAAGTCATGAAAAGTCATGAAAAATATATGAGCGGAGTGAACAGGAATTGACTATTGAATGTCAAAGAATATGTCAATGGTGTAAAATGTTATCTTTTGGCCATTTTTTTCCTTCTTTGCTCCTGTCCAGGAGAAGCAGCTTGGTGTTTTCTTCTCCCTGTTCTACCTGGCCATCAATATTGGCGCGTTCCTGTCTCAGCTGATCACCCCCGTTCTCAGAAGTGAGCAGATCCACTTTACTTTTACAGTTTACCAGTTATATGTAAAGCAAACAAATGGAAATGTGTTGGTAAGAATAATGTTTAGTACTTAAGTTAGATAGGATAGAAAATTTGGAACATTGCAACTAATTATGGCTATGTTGATGTGGGTAAGCACTAGAAACACATTACAACATTGTGCTAGAATGTACCTCCCTACCATGGTAAGGAATAACCATTTACATGTGCGAGTCCCCCTCTGTATTCCTTCCTACAGATGATGTTCAGTGTTTTGGACAAGACTGCTTTGCACTGGCATTTGGTGTGCCTACCATAGTTATGGCACTTGGAACAGGTAATTGAGAAACTTACAAACTTAGGTTTTATACATGCATCAGTGATCACTCTCTGTACTGTATATGGATCAACATGTATAATGTAAATGTGCTTTATGTAAAAATGTATACAAAGGAAGAAAATGTTTGCATGTGTTCTTGTTTAATTATTAACCTCTGACAAGGAACCGAGGACTATTCAAAGTGTGGGTGCTACGTTTATACTTATATATGTGAAACTTTCTTCTTCCAATCCTTGTGTAGTCCTATTTGTTCTGGGAACGTTCACCTACAAGAAGAGGCCAGCAGCAGGAAACCTGTTGGTTCTGGTGTCTAAGGCTATGGGTGTAAGTATCTCTCCTCTAACATGACTTAAAAAGACCTCATAGAGTGCCAAAACTGAGCCGCACCTTGCAGTACACATTGTTTTTAACTCACTGCACTGTAATTAATCATTTTTGTCCTCAGAATGCTGTCAAAAACCGCTGCAGTCGTAGCAAGGGTGAGTCACGTGATCACTGGATGGACTATTGTGACACCAACATCTACTCTGTAAGTCTTGGATCATTATCTTAATGGTATTACTATTATTGAGCACGACAGCTAGGCATTTCACCATGGTAACAAAAGCAATGGATTCCGGTTTCTTGATTAATATGACAACAGACATGCATATACTGGGAAACCTTTTCTGGGACCTTTGAGCTAATTCCTGTCAGTGTGCCTGTCGTGCCTAGCATGTGAAAGTAACCATGGAAACACAAGCAACACACAAACAGTCCAAAAACAAAACCTCCATACATAAAGAGAAACCTCCATACATAAAGAGAAGTAATGATGAAGAAGTTGAGATCTAGAGTGTCTAGCTTTTATTACCTAGTTTGGTTCCTGTCACATTTTGTTTGTATCTGATTCTGATACATTGTATGTACATTAATTTTGTGACTGTATATAGAAGTGATCTTCCTGACTTGTTGTAGCCACGTCTGGTCCGTGACATCAAACTGGTCCTCCATGTGATGATCATGTTCCTGCCTCTGCCCATCTACTGGACACTTTTCAGTCAACAGGTACAGGAGAGACACCTACTGTCAAGTTGTAGAACTAGACTTGCACTCTACAATGTTGTAAATGCTCATGATGACATTGTTACTTAATGCTGCTATCTCAATCAAAGTAATGTCTGTAATACCATAAAAGACAGTAGATATTGTAAATAATCTTGAAACAAAACAACATCATTGCATGTTATATACCATTGCTACATGTATATGTGATGTTCTGTCTTAAAGTGTATTGTTTCATCTGAAGGGTTCCAGGTGGACATTGCAGGCATACAGAATGGATGGAGACACGGTATGGAAAAAGATTTTGTGATTTATTATTTCTTGTTTATTTCAAACTTTGTTTGGCCATAAATGTACTACATTTTGTATTTCCTGGAAGTAAAGTACAGGTAGCTGGAACATCTTCTATAAAAAGAGAATATACAGTCTCATTTCCACCTGAGTTTACTGTAAAAATATATGTTATAACTTTCTTTTTCACTGCAGGGAGCATTAGGAACAATCAAGCCAGACCAAATACAGGTTTGTCACCAAGCTTAACTCTTTAAATAAGCTGATCACCTAGCCCTGCAGTTTTGACAGCAGAAGGGGTTTTATGTCCATAATCTCAATGCCTTGGTCTTTATTTACTGTGTTTCATGATTGATTGGCAGTTACACTAACACCCTCTATTGTCCCCAGTCTCTGAATCCACTGTTGATCATCGTCCTCATCCCCATCTTCCAAGGCGCCATCTATCCTCTCCTGGAGAAGTGCAGGATTCTGAGAAGGTGGGCCTATTTCAGAAAATCTGTTGCTATCACGTTCTTGGAAAGTACCAACATTTGTGATTCTCAAATTTACTACTTAATGATTCTTCAATATAAGTCAATGATTATTTTGATATTTCTTATAGATATGTGTATAGACAAAAAATGATGTAAACTGTATCTTTGTTCATTGTACCCTAACTCTTCCCTCATGACCTCATGGCCGACTAGAATTTTGCAATGAAATTGACCAAACAAAGGTTCAAAGAAACATAATAACAGACAAAGTTTGATAGTAAGACTGGTTATGGCCTTTGTCATTGAATTTCTATGTCTTAGACTAGTTTTGATGGTTGTTGATGTTTGTATAACATTGTGTGATGAACTTCAGCCCACTACAGAGAATGTGTACAGGGATGGCCCTCTCATCTGTAGCCTACATCATCACTGGTCTTATTCAGCTGAAAATACAGGTAACAATGATGCCAAGGAACATGAAAGACATACAGTCAAACCTGATATACAGTCAAATGACCACCTCTACATAAGGACCACCTGGCCAATGTCTATATACTAGAAGCATTAGGCCCTTACGATATTATAACATTATAGATTTTCAACGTTAAGACGAATTAACTATCTGTATATATTATACCCATTGTACATTTTGGTGGCTGATTTTTGGCTGGTTTCACACGTACAATTATATTACAATGATCTATGGCTGTTAGAATACAAAATATAATGTCTCTGTTGTTTGTTGACAGAGTTATTTACCAGTCCTGCCTGCTGACAGTATGGCAGAGCTGCGGGTAGTGAACATGGCACCTGACTGTTCTCTAGCCCCCGTCTTTGCGCCTCCGATTGATGATTTTACCACTAAGTTCAAGAGCCCCATTCCCTATATGGTATGTCACAATCACTTTGGACTAAAGTATACTAGTACCAGATGAAGTTCTATCAGGAGACTTGTAAATGGATGATATTTTGGTAATGAAGTTGTTCAGGCTTCAAGTGACAAAGCAATGGGGGACACTGGTATTGCACCATGGGTATTGGTATTTCTTTTTACTGGCTTATGGACCGATCCACCGATCATTGCATTTCTTATAAACTTAAAGAGAATTAGGCCCAACACGATACCTTGTGGTACGCAGACAATTCCATTGCTTTTGAAGGGATCTTTTCAATTAGTGCTGTGGGTAAGGGTACTGCTGCAAGAATTCTAAAAAGGTACATGGCATGACATATATTAGAGATAGTAATTAACAAATGTCATTTTGGTAGACATGTGTGAATGTTGTTCTGAAGTTGCATTGTGTTCCTGTCAGGACCAAACAGTGCTGAGAGACGTCCCAGTTGGACAACACACCATGGGGTTCAGCTGTGTCTCTGGCCCTTCTCAAAACCTGACAGCCTACCCTGTCAATCTAGGGAGCCAAGAGATCTACTCAGTCATCGTCACAGACAAGAATTCTCAACTCTTTGCGCCACAACCGGTATGCTCATTCAGAAAATATGTTTTAGTGAAGACTCAGAGATTGTACTCTTGGTCCAGTAAACATATACACTAACTGTTCTTTGTTTATGGCAATAGTAACATATTTCTTGCCTGATTATCTTTATTCACAATTCTCACAGTATACTACCCGTGGTAAGAAGCCAGATAAGGCTGACCCTATGATGAGGTAAGCCCCACACCTTCTACTAGAATATTACCATAATTGTTGTTAGTCTATCTTTTATCATTTTTCAAAAGTTTCTCATGCCAGCTTTAATGTTGCTCATTGTAGAATATCTGTCCACAATTATACAAGTCTTGTCACTGTGTGTTCTTGAATAGTATTTACTGGATGGTCCAATTACAGATATTGTTTCTTTATTATTTCTTTTGGATATGTAAGGATTGTTTGGGGAGGGTTGTCTGTGGGTTTTTGTGTATGTTTGTCTGGATAGACTACATGTACATGTACATTGTAAGTTGACAGGACATGCATATGAGTGGGTGATAGGATAAATTATGTGTAGAAAATTTAGTGTAAGTGATCTATTCTTGCATCACAATCTGATTATTTTCTACAGATTGATATTCCTGTCAGATCCGTCAAACCTGACTCCTGACAGAATGGTCAATGTGAAAATCCAAAGCCTGGGCGTCCCAGACCAACGTCATATGTTCTACAACATCACAGAGAATGCTGCAACTGATTATGTGGTCAAGGAACCCGGGAAGTGAGTTGATAAAAAATAAGTAAACTTAGGTCGAGTTTGAAGTCAAAGATGTTGTTCCAACATGAGAGAAACGTTCTCACCAGTCACTCTGGTCTTCCTCAGTAGACTGACCCAGTGAGACTTGTGTCAAATGGCTTCTCTGAACTGTGACATCAACACTGAGTCAAATGTAGGTCAATTTTACATGGACAAATTTCTATACTTTATCTTTGCAGATTTCGAGTTGAAGTGCAGTACAATGTCAATGGGAATTTGCAGACAGGAGAAGTATCAGAGACTTACATAGCAAAGAATGGAGGTGTATACACTGTAGTCGTGTTTGGGAGCACTTCTGATCAGGTTAGTGAGACAGGACGCTGTCAACCATAAATTAGTAATTATTAGAGTCAACTTTGTAATTTGACAACTTTGTCTGCCTAGAAAGAAACACATACTATATCAACTATATACTATATCATCATCATGACATATTTCTAACTAATACTTTTGGTTGCTATTTCCAGCTCAGTTTGAAATGGTTTGCGGATGTTGAGCCCAACCAGTTGAACATCCTGTGGCAAGTCCCACAGTATGTGGTCATCACTGTTGGGGAAGTGCTGTTCTCTATCACAGGACTGGAGTTCTCATATTCACAGGTTAGTCCTTACATAGACATTCAATCTTGTAATACTTCGAAATATTGCTTTGGGTGGGTCTGTGAGTTTGTGTGTATGCTTGTCCAGCAGAGACAGTTGCAGGGAGAGTTATATTTGGTTACTTGATTGCAGGGTGACTCAGCATGCACTGGTAAGTGGGTAGTACATGGAGGAATTCAGGAAGTGGTTAACTACACCATGCAATCCCCCTCACAGTTGTATATCTGTCCATGTTCCAGGCACCTAAGAGTATGAAGGCAGTGATGCAGGCAGCTTGGTTACTCACCATTGCCTTTGGGAACCTCATCACTGTGGTAGTGGCAAAGTCAAGACTCATCCAAGATCAGGTTTGTGTCACAAACAACTGTTCGTCTAAACTGTCAATGTCGTGCCTTGAAACCATGATACCACCTTTTAAGATAAAACTTTTGTTCCAACACAAGAGATTGTTCTCATCTAGAGCTTTAGACCAGTCACTCTGGTCTTCTTCAATAGACCGAGACTGACCCAGTGAGATGTGGCTTCTCTGAAGTGTGACGTCAACATTGGGTCAAAGATATGTTCAATGTGGTGTTCCCTTGCATAACACTGTAATGTTTACCAACCAGTTTTTACTTTGTCCATTATTTCTCCAGGCTGTAGAGTTCTTCATGTTTGCAGTCCTTATGGCTGTGATGACTGCTATATTCATCGTCATGTCTCACTTCTACAAATATAACGTTATTCCGCCGGACGAAGAAGATGGTGATGAAATGACGAAGTACCGAACAGAGAGGAACTCTGCTCGTGTTTGAGGACTTGTCTTGTGGTGTTTAAGGAAAAGGCAGGCATTCAAATCTCCTAAGTTGAAGCTTCATAAAAATATTAATGAAAAGTCAAAAGTCAAAAAATGTACTAGTGAACTTTAATTCTTTTGGAACATGCATTCTCTGGAATTCTTTGTATTGCACACGTACTAGTATATTATTATTATTATATACAATACTTACACCACACTTTTCTTACTAACCATCTTGTTTGCGATTTTGTCATCAACTTGCAAGATGCAAGATAACTCAAATTTTTATCGTGATGGACCAAAAATGTAATATTTGATTCTAGTGGTGAAGAACTGTTTCAATGAACATGGCAGCTATGTGTTGTTACTGATAACTATTTTTTTATAATTATACAATTAGTATAACTAACTACCCAACAACTTCTTTGAGTTTAGACGTGGTACACAAATGTAGGTACAAAATGTTTGGTCGGAGAGACAAGAACTGACTGTTAGATAAAGAACACAAAAAAGTAGCATTGTTATCTGTAGATTAGCGCACAATAACTGAGATAATATTAATATCACCTGCCTTCTTTCCTATAGTGATTACGTATATTTGAGAAATGAAGAATGTTGTTATTATTGGTCCTTTTTTTCGGATCCTCCGTTTCTTTGCTTTGTACGTTTTCTACGATAAAGTTTCGTATTTTCACACCAGTATGATTCTTTCCGTTGTTGTCTTTCCTTTTGGTTTTAGATGCCAAGTCAAAATAAAGTCTTGACCATTTTCTGCACAATACCTTGCGTAAACATAAGAGATTTTGCTGCTGCAACTAGGTCTGCCATAATAGAAGTGCCGCCTTCTACTGTTATAGCCCTTTCAGTTCCAACATTATGGGTGTATCTATTACCAAGGCAATTAATCCTAAATGCAAGTTAAGATCGACAATGGCGCCCTTGCACCAGGGTTGCTAGGTAATGCTGCTATTGGCCTTTTCAATTTTTCGTCATTATCTGACGAAATTAGTCAAGTGAAAATGAGGAGTTGTTTCAAGATACAGTAATTTTGACAACGTGACCAGGAAATATCGGACATTGCTCATGATTGTGATTGGCGTGAAAGGAGCCGAGGTAAGCTTTACTTTCTTCCTGTTAGTACACTCTACTAGTTTCATCACTTTCGAATTGTAAAGATTGTATCCATTGTTATTTCGTGCCATTTTCCTTCCTGCAGATCTCATTTAGTTCTTTATATTTCTCCACAATACACATAGCGAATAGTTTACTGTTACACCATTTTGGTGGAAATCTTTTCACTGGGGGTCATTGACATCTATATGAAATTGTATACGCAGTACAATTTAAAACAACCCTTTCTGGGTATCAGGCACAGACAAAAGTTTGCATATGAACGGATTTGTGCAATTTTGAAGTCACGAATCTAGAAAGGCCATGAAAAAAGTCTAGAGCAGATATTATAAGCAGAGCACGTTTCACGGTTCAGTTGAGGCAATTTGTCCTCCATAGACTAACAGTGTTACAATAGATCAGATGCTTTGTAATAGGTATAAATGCCTATATGTAGGCCCTGAATAGAGGGTTTACTATGTAACCTTATATGTTTCTCTATTTCCTGTTTGTTGGCAAGGAAGGGTTGTATCCAGATGCGCTAATCTGAGATGGCGTTCTCCACTGTTGGCTGCCTTATTCTGGCTTTCCTTGTCGGTGAGTTTCTTCTCGTTTTCTTGCAGAAAAAATTGCCACAGTTCTATAGAACATTGAAGTAGAGTTGTTTTTAATTCTCAAATTTGATGTATATTTGCCATTAAAACGTGTTTGATTTTGTCGAAAATGAGAGGTTTACTTTTATTATGATCAGATGCTGTAGTTTCGGGTCCAACAGACGTATTTATCAATTCATGTAGATAAGGGTAACATTTTTATTTTCTCACAGGACGTAGCTGTGGCCTCAGCTGCTACACCTGCCAGCACCTGGAGAGTTCACCTGATTTCTACACCTGTCTACAGAACCCAACCTCCGTCAGTACGGAAACATGTACAGGAGACGAGGACACCTGCCAGGTCAGTAACTACCTAGAGGAGTACACAAAGAAATTGTCAAAATCTATCCAATGCCAGAGTAACAATTTCGTTTTGTATCTCACTCCCTGGATGTCTAACTTTCATCGACATACATAGAGGAATTGTCTACTGGTACAATCTTCTTATCTGGTCTCTAGCGGTAACAACACGGTCACTTATGTGCCTGTTTGCCTTTAATTTTTTACACGCGCAAACAATTTGTTCTACTGCTCGTGGCAGAACACGGATCATCGTAGAAAAGATCATTTTTGGCCCGTGTAAATCGGGCCGAAGGACACTGTTGAAGAAGGAGAATGCATTCGTAGCGAGTGAATGGTCACATACGTCGTACGATCATCGAATTCTGAAATCATTTTTTTATAGTCGTGCATGTGTCCTGCAAAATCAACCGTCTTCTTACGGACAAGGCTGTCTTAAATCCTCGTCGGCCGTTGGTTCCGTCATACTTGCTTGCTTCAAAATTCTACGACGTCAAAGTCGACGACGTATGACGAATGTGACTGCGTCGTAACCAGAATAAGATCAAACTTTGGTCTTGATAAGAAAGACGCAGTAAGACGTGGCAGTGTACACGTAAGAGGTTTGAACTTGTCAATGTTTCTGACGCTTTTAGTATCAACATTTTTGCAAGACATCACAAGAAAGTACAAAACATGGAGATCGTAGATCTTCAAAAAGAAAATCTGAAGCTGTTTTAACGATATTCAAAGTTTATGACTCTTGAATACAATTTTGACTCTTGAATCCAACTACTCTAGCAAGACATCACAAGAAGGTCTACCAGCATATAGAGCTTCAAGAGGAAAAGAACAAAAGTAATCTGAGGCATTCTCTTACAATTTGAAACAGACGAGTGCTTTTGAGTGTCAAAGCAAGCTTCTAGGATAATACGAGTTACTATATTTGTATACCAACGTTTTCGGATGTTTATCATGAGATTATGGAGAGTACTTTTCCTATTCTTCACATACAATAGATTTATCAGAATCGGGTCGGCTTTTGTGGGCGCGTAACCAGAAACTCTTTTGTATATCTCTCTTGTACAATTCCTCTTTTTGACCTCAATACATATTGCCAGCTCCAATTATAAGCCGTATAGTCTACGTAATGGAAAGTCAAAGAAAGACACACTATAAAGGCATACAATTAAGTGATCCTTTGGTATAGCTATACATTGTATTGTTCAACTCTTTTAGATGCTTTGTATTCTGTATATTTAGCATTGTTGGTCTTGTGTATTACATGCTTTTCATAAAAGATATAACCAATTTCCTTTTATAATCCTCTGTATGCAGAAGCAGCACAAGTTGTAATGTTAAGCTATTTGTGTTTGTAATCTACATGTAACACTTCATAATAACTACATTGTCTGCTGCGCCCTTCTTGTGATCATCGTAACCACAACAGACCCTGTCACCCTGGCAACGGCCTTGTCGTGCCATAGCAACCGTATCCATGGTTACATCAATCGTCGCTCGTTGTGCAGCACTAACAGTTGATCTATTCCAAGAGACCAAATGCGGTCTTAAATTCCCATTTTTTTCTATTACTCTTTCATTGTTCCCTATTGCTTTTCCTCACCACAAATCAGGAAGAAAATTTAGGTCGTGTGGGCTGCAATCAAATCATTTTTCATGATTAAGCATATGGCTATTCAAAGGATTTGCCCCCAGTGCAATTATGATAGGTTGTTAAAATATAAACCTTCACTGAATGAAGCCTCTGGGACAAGCTTTGAAGATAGTGTTAGGCTCATATATAGCATTGTTCCAGGTGTTCATTATCTTAAGTTATAAGCAATAAAGTGCTTGTATCTGTAAACAGCAGACACCTGTTCTTTCGACTTGGGACTACGATATGCTTCATCTTGTGATTTTTGTAAGCACCTAGGAAGCCATGATCTTCAACTTATGACACTGGATCACCAGAACGGATCAAAGAGCCAATCACAGTACAGACCAAAGAGCCAATCACAGTGCAGATCAAAGAGCCAATCAAAAGGGCCAAACTGCCTATTTCCTGCATGCCTTCGTCCTTATGTCTGCTGACGGGCCAAACGAGTCTGATTTTGTTCGCTAATTTGGGGTGATTTTTTCAGGCCACGTTCCTGAAATTAAGCTGGATATACTTCATCACCAGAGGATGTTCGACCATCGCGGATTGTAGCTCAGCGCTGGGAATTGGAAGTACGTATCTTTTTTATTGCTTCCAGGTACGGAAGTGTTTTTTTTTTTGGGTGGGCCTTTATGTGCGTTTGTGTGCATACTTGCCTGGACAAAATAGCTTGACAGCACGTGCTTGAATGACAGAATGACATGCGGTAAAAATAAAGTGAGACACAGGAAATGGGATGAGCTTAAAGGTCCCAGAATCTAACTGGAAGATACCAAGAATTAGAGGTCGACATATAGGGGAATTCAGGAAGCTGAGGGAGGATTGCATGAGCGACCGTCCAACCCTGCACAGTTTCTATTCTAGTCCTTTTTTTAAGTATATGTCTTACAATCTCATCAGGAAAACCCAATGGCCTAAGTACCTCCTGGAAGCTTAAGTCTGAAATCTCTGATTTCTTGTTTCGCTGTCCACAGCCGCAGCCCAGTGTTGCACATCAAATAACTGCAACAGCGAGCGTTATGAGATGCCACCAACCACAACTACTACAACCAAGAGACCTACAACTACCGTGCGGACAACCGAACCCCCAACCACCATAGTGACAACCCTGCCTCCAACTACTGATGTCACTACGGTTGTAACTACTCCACCCCCAACTACACTTGTTACTACCCCACCCCCGACTACACTTGTTACCACCCCATCCCCCACTACCCTGGAAACGACCCTGCCTCCAACTACCGAGCCTGACACTACCCTGGGAACGACGCAAGCCCAAACTACCATGGAATCAACCGAGGTCCCATTGGATGAAACTACGCTTGACACAGAAACAACGGAGGTTCCAACCACGGAAATGACAACGGTACCCCCAACAACCGTAGCTGTTGACACTACGTTAGTGACAACTGCACGGGACGAAACCACAACGCTGGAGGAAACGGCATCTGCTTCGCCGACCACCGTTACGTCTTCCGTCGCGCCCACACAAAAGCGTACGACAACAGAGAGGGTTAGAGATGCTACAACCACCGACGTTGCTGATGAGACAACTACAGATGAGTTAGCCACCGAAGAACTAACGACCACTGACGAAATACCGACGACCGAACTGTCCACGATGGTGACCGACGTGTGGACAGAGGCTACCGACATCTTTACGGAAACGACCGAGATTTTCCCGCTGAACACAACGACTCCTAGCGACTTGGAGGTGGAAAAGCAGCTCGGGGGCGTGAATGTCGGAGAGGTCGTCGGGTTCACCATGCTGGCCATCGCCGTTCCCTCCATGGTAGCAGTCGCTGTCTACTACTACGTCAAGCACAAGCAAAACGGCTCAAAGATCCACCCCGACGACATCACAGAGATAAAAGAAGACCGATCGACGCACTACAAGACAGCACCGAGCATTGGTGATCTCAAAGATGGGATAGAGGAAGTCCCGGAGGAAGTTCTCAAAGACGAGACGGAAGCAAACCTCAAGGAGGAGGAAAGTACAGACGAGAAGGTGGAGGAAACTCCTAAGGAGGAAGAAAGCAAAGATGAAATGGAGGAAGATCAGAAACAAGAGGAAGACAAAGACGAGAAGGAGGAAGATGAGGAAGAGAATGAAGACAGCGCATCTCTTCAAGAGGAGGATTCCTCCCGCACTGCTAGTCTGAGACAGGACAGTGGGCTTGGGACGTCACCTATGTTGGCGTGGGTTAATGAACAGCCAGCCTGGAGTACGGCATGAGATGAGAAGGGACACCAACATATCTGTATCTGTATCTGTATCTGTATAGCCGGTAGAACTGAACTTCGGCGTAACACTCCAGCCTGGAGTACAGCGTGACAGCGGGAAGAGAAAAAAAACACCAACAAGAAATGCTTTTAAAAAACTGGCTGGCGACCAAGAGGGGAATAGCTGGTTGGGTGGCGTGACGACGATGTGTGACTCAAATAATTGCTCACTTCGGTGACTTGAACTGGACTTATCCTAATAAGACTGGACTTAGATGTAATATTTGTATCATGGCCTTCAGTAACTTTCCTTAAAGCCGCATTGTCATATCAATCTCTGTGAATGAATTACGAACACGTTTTAAATTAAACGTGATATTTTCTGCAGTGTATTTGTAACGCACTAGAGTCCTGTGGATGTTGTATCATGTATGTATATTGTATGATCACATCAAATATATCAATTTGCAGTAAATTGTTTGTATTTTTACTACTAGCATGTGTTATCTATTGTCAATGACGTGAATACATTTTATTGATGGATTTTGACGATGTTTTTTACATATTTAAGTTACCTTGATAAGACGTAATTCAAGAGCAATATATATAAAACGCTTTCTAGCTTTCAGTAGCTACCTAATGCATAGGCTATTGACTGTTTAACATTAAAGTTATAATGTTAACCTGCTATTTTCTTTTGTGTCTTGGAGTTGTGTATCTCGTCTTAAATGGAAATGGCATTGGAAATTGAGGGAGATTTTAACTGTTAACATAGATCAGTTTTAGAATGATTTTTTATGTTCCAGGCCACGCTACTGAAGCTAAGCTGGATCCATTTCATCCAGAGGGGGTGTGCCACAGATGCGGACTGTTCTTCAGGACTGGCTATTGCAAGTACGTTCATTTGGCCACTAGGTCATTTCTTAGTGTTGGACCTTGGTGTTGGACATACCCCTCTGCCATAACCCTCGCACCGCCCCCCGCCCCCAGTGATACCCCGTTATAAGGGGTGGTTCGAGGGTTAACAAAAATAAGAAGAAAGATATTTGCAGATGATGATAAGTAAAAATTGATAGTTTGTCTTAGGTTTCTCTCTAAATTATGTCTCACGTGACGATATTATATATGTGTGTTTGAGGAGCTTACCCTTTCCAACAATGGCACTCTGCGATTACTTCCAATTGTCTATAATTGAGTGTTCTAAAAGCTTACGCTCCTCGCACTTGTGGCAAAGCATTTTGCACCTTTGGCAGACTATTTTGCGTGTGTGGTAAAGCATTTTGCACATGTGGCAGGCTATTTTGCGTGTGTGGCAAAGCATTTTGCACTTTTGGCAGGCTATTTTGCGTGTGTGGCAAAGCATTTTGCACTTTTGGCAGGCTATTTTGCGTGTGTGGCAAAGCATTTTGCACTTTTGGCACGACATTTTGCAATCATGCAGGAGCTATGTGGATATTTCGTTTTTACCCCGCAGCGCAAGGCGATTGTTGTACAACAAATCTGTGTAACAACACTCCTTACGAATTACCGCCAACCACCACTACAACCACCACCAAGCCAACTACTACAACCAAATCAACCACTGTTACAACGACGTCGGCTCCAACCACCCTTCCCCCAACTACCATACAAACAACTCAAATTACTACTGTAGCAACCACGGATGTAGAATCAACATATGCAGCAACCACCAATGATGACGTAACTTCTGAACCAACCACCAATGATGACACAACGTCCGGACCAACGACCCATGCTGACGCAACTTCCGGGGCAAGTTTGGAAGGAGCTACAACTTCTCAAGGAACCACGGATAAAGAAGATAATCCCAGAACAACCGTTATTGGCGAGACGACCGTATTTGCTTACTATGCAGAAACAACTGAACAAATCTTGGAAACGTCGACAAAAATAGAAACAAGTGTCTCATTGAGTGCGACTACTAGCATGCCTTCAACTAGTATGAAAGTCACTCCTACCACTCTTCTTACGGGTAAGGAAAACCCAACAGAATCAACCCCCGTTTTTGCTGATGGGTTTGTATCGACTGTCGTCGAGTACATTACTACTTCGGCTGACGAGGAGCCGACGACAGAGTTCCGACTGTCCACGACGGGTACCGAATCTCCCCCGACGTTTACCGACTTGGTTGCCGACTGGAAGGAGAACACCACGGATATCGTAACGACCGCAGCACCGAGCACAGTGAAAGCAGCGGACAAAAAAGTTATTGGTGAGAACATCGGGCTTGTTGTTGGGTTAACCATGATCACCCTGGCGGTTCCTTCTATAACTGCAGGTACGGTGTACTACTACGTGAAGTATCACAAGGGAAAGCTGAAAGTCTACCCTGAGAAGATTGAAGATGCAAATCAGCGCTACAAGGAAAGAGCAAACGCCAGCACACCAATACCAAAGCGGGCTTTTGACAAAGAAATGGACGCGTCGCATATCTTGCCCTAACAACTAGACAAAGTGGTTTGCCTGCATGCTAATGTTTAGCCAACTTTTAATACTATTGTCTTGTGATATGCATTGTTACAATGTATTAGAATGGTACATATTCGTAAGTTTACAATTACTATCATAATGGAAAAGAGCATAACCTGGTGGGAACTAAATACAGATATCTGCACTCGTATTTCAGCACTATGTGTCACGACATTGTCAAAATTTGCCTTCGAATTCACACTTTCGCGACGTCGATATCTATATGGCGCCAGCGGTTGTATCCTTGGATAAACATACGTTGGACGAGTATTACCCTGGGGTGCAGACCCAATCCACCTGAAGTCCGAAATAGATGTATTACAACGGTGACGTACTTTCTAAATCAAATCATGACACTCACACGCATCGTGACATCGCACATTAGTCTCAGAGAAGCAATTCCTTTTGTGCCGCGAAAATGAAAAGGCTTTGTATAAATGTGAAGTGTAATTCCAGTGATAAGTAATCGATTTTCATTTTGGATTCAGTTAAGCCTTTGATCTTGATGTATTGGAAAACGCCATGTCTGGCGATGGGAACTGATCCTACAATTCTCAAGGCGTTATCGCAGACACTTGCTAACGCTGCAAAATGTATATGAATATTATAGAACAATAATTTTCGACTAGAAAAATACACAGAAAAGGATGCTATCCAGTTGACTACAAATCTGTGTCAAGTTTACAATTTAATGTGAAGTTTTCGTTGTTCCACCAGACTTCATAAAAGAAATTCATGGAAAAAAATTTCCTGGAACGATCAATAGCTGCCACAGACCATAATATGTGTCATTCACGAAAATGACATAAAACAAACCTTGTCATAATCGAGATTTCTTTGTCGTCATATAAGTGCAATAAATTTCAGTCGCTTGGACAATAGTCCATATTTCCTAATGCCTCAAGGAACAGAATTAGTGTACATTCATTTCGGTAACATACATGGTTCGACAACACAACACACTTAAAAATCCTCCACAAGTTACGAATAATCTCCACCAATATCTACACACTAGTACTGTGTCTCTATCAAAAACCAATAACAGTTTTAGGCAATGCAAAGTGACAGATAACATCAATCTCTCGATTCTTCTGACGATTCTCCTAGTTTTATCGGCCTTCTTTCTACTGTATTGTTCTGCTTGACGCGGCTGGGCCATGTTACTGATGTATATTGCTTGCCCGTACAATACCTTGTGACAATAAAACTCCTCATAACAACAGCTGGCTTTGTCACGCTCTCGATCACTGCATTTGTCTCCAGACTTCCGACAAAGGTAGTTGTTTCTGATATCCTTGCACTGCTATTTGCGTTATTTCTAGCCACCTTAATTATCATTGGACTAATCTAAGATGATCTTCATAACACTATCGTTGGTTCGTAGTGAACCTGTCATGTAGGCTATTATTCAAAGGTGTAAATATACAAAGAGACAAATATGGTCTCGTAAATTAGCCGTTTTAACGGTATTAACCCTTGCACGCAACTTTACGCACATAGCGCACATTAGTGGACACCGTAGCATTGTTGTAACGGTAAGCTGTAGTCTGCGGTTTACTACTAGTAGTCATCATCTCTTTAAAAATTTGATTAGACAACCCCATCGTAACGTTCGCCGTTGTTGTTGCAAGAGTGTGCTGTGGTGAAGATTCGGTCGGGATGGCGAAGGACCTGCTCCGCCGAGTGTGGTACCTCTCCCTCGGTGTTACGTTCGGGTATTTCCTCTCGGTACTAACGGGGCATGTGGACACGTACCGAGCGGCCACGCAGCAGGTTACGTCAGGCAGACTACCCGTCTACGTGTCGTCTGATTTTCGGGGAAGGCGAGTGATGAAGAGGGGGATGACATCAGACCAGTTTGTTCGTTTGCAGCAGGAATTTGAAGGAACCAATGGCTTGGAAGGTGGGCCATTCACTACTATTATACCTACACGAAGATAGCAATGTTTCAGCATGGATGTTCTACTTTTAAAGCATTTTTCATTTTGATATATTGATGTATCAATTATTTTTACGCCGTCACTGGCTTGAAGACTGATTTGAACTATCACAATGCTTTACTAACAGGAATGATAAAGTATCTGATTAAAAAGGGAGTTATCTCATGGATATTTCAACATCTATGCAGTTGTATAGCATTATTGGTCGTTCGGGACCTTAGTTGTGTATTTGTGTACTAGTAGTATTTGTATTTATTTGTTTATGCTAACCAAAGATGTTGTTAACCGTATCTTAATATCGGTCTTGTAGAAAGAGACGTTTGAATGTGACAAAGGGGAAGCCTACGATATGACGTGGGTCATTAAAGTGATTACTCTGCTCAATAGGTGATTGGACAGACGCAGAAAAGGGGATCATAGAAAGGCACCACGCGAACCTACGTCACGTGGGCGTGGCCCAGCAACTGGTGAACAAGATTCGCGTTTTATGCTGGGTCCTGACGTCACCTAAAAACCACCTGTCCAAGGCAAGGCACGTGAAAGCCACGTGGGGGAAAAGGTGCAGCAAACTTCTCTTCTTCAGTACCAAAGCGGACAGTCGGCTTCCCACCGTCGTCATAGAAACGGGAGAGGGGCGGGACTTCTTGTGGGGAAAGGCCAAGGCCGCCATACGTCACATACACGCCCACTACCTGCAGGACGCTGATTGGTTCCTGAAGGCTGATGACGACACCTACGTCATCATGGAGAACCTCCGTTTCATGCTGTCCGACTATACCCCGGATGCGGCGATGTATTTCGGCTTCAGGTTCAAAACGATCGTGAAGCAAGGGTACATGAGCGGCGGGGCGGGGTATGTCATCAGCCGGGAGGGGGTCAACAGATTCGTACAAGGGTTAAACGTTCGAGGAAAGTGCAAGGAGGGCCCAGGTACAGTTATGTTTTATAGTGTATTTTTACAACTCAGTAGACAGTACATACATATGGTAGATGATACATTCTCTTATCATTTTTCAGATTCTTTTGTTTTATTTACATACCTATCAGTCGATGGAAGTTAGGATAATGTATAATGCGCTAAATATTCAGATTAAAGATATCTTTAATGCACATGGTAGGAACACCAAGTTCAAGGCAACCTTTGCTTTGGTTTCCTACTTGAACGTAACGTTGGTAACTGCATTGCTTACGTGCTCCGTCAGGTGGCGCTGAGGACGCTGAGTTGGGGAAGTGCATGCAGAACGTGAGGGTGAGGGCCATGGACACCCGGGACCATCTCGGGCGCGAGCGGTTCCACCCGTTTGACGTCAGTGCCCACCTGCAGGGCGCGTTTCCCGAGTGGTTTTACAGATACAGCTTCTACAACGTGTCCAAGGTAAACAAACTGCAACGTATTTCTGATTAGAGTTGACTTCTGGAAAGGAGATATCCGTCCGCAGGAAGGCACTGTTTTCGGTCATGTTTGTGTGTTCGCAGCTGTTACTCACGTTGGGTTTGACTGATTTCTTTGGTTGTCGGTATATGGTTAGTTAGTGGGGTCCAGATGGTGTTTTGTCTTTGTATACGTATTTTCAGGTATTGAAATCTTGAAGTGTTCGTATTTTCCGCCAGGGGTTGTCATGCTGTTCGGACTACTCCATCAGTTTCCACTACGTGCCGTGGGACCAGATGTACGTGCTGGACTACCTGCTGTACCACCTCCGGCCGTACGGCATGTGTGACGACTCCGCACTCACAACGTCAAAGGCGACTCTTGGACAGTAAGATCAAACGCGGACTCAACTAACCCCTCCCTCACCACGCGCATGCACACGGGGGACTTACACATAACAGACCTATTACATACAGTCGTATTTGTTTTTTTCCTTTGTTTGTTTGTTTGTTTCAGACTTTGTTATTTGTGTGATAATAATGGTTGTCGAAAGCAGCTTCTTTACGATTATGGTGTTTGGTATAATGCGTGTTTGGGGGGGTGTCAGTAGGCCTCCTCCATCAATGGTGAGCCGGACAGCGCTTGCTGTACTACTTAAATTGTGCCAAAGTCACGACATATACAGTGCACACTTGTAGGTGCGCGACATCTAGCGGAGCTGAATACATGCCATTCGCGGCTCAAATTTCTGGATATGTACAAATAGCCCAGGCCGTTTTTTACTTGTGCATTGCAAGCAGAATATTTGCTCAACCTACTTTACCAGTAAAGGTGTTGTTGAAATAAAACTAGGTGAAGGCTATAAACTAACGTAAATATCGTTCATGTCGCTATGCTAAAGAACAAACCAGTATTACTGGGAACGAGATGGATGTGTTTCACTAAGGAAAATATGGCGGTGAATTGTTTTCTGGTGTTTTCAATAAAATGTGAATAAGCACAATAACGATAACGTCTTTTAAACTTGAAGTACCTCAAAACGCTTGGAGCAGATTGACAGCACCTGGGTGGGGGAAGATTGACAGGCAGAATGGCATATGGGGTCAAAAGGCCAGGCACAGGAAATGGGGTGAACCGAGAGGTCACGAAAACGAAAAAGACTTGGCCAAAGTTTAAACTTTTCGACTTTTTGTTTGATACGTAAGATTTCTGTATGTTGATGATTGGATCGTCTTTTTTCGTTTGTCTCGAGTCCATACAAAATCTATGAATAATTTGTATGTATGTATGTATATCACTTTACGTTTGGGACCGCATTGTTAGCAGTAACACATAGCTTTAGTGAACCAGTATCACCAAGCTTCAATCCGCAGTGAGCCAGTCACAATTACCTCAATTACCCTTATAAAGATGACAGACAGTCATCGAAACGTCAGCAACAAATTAAACAAGTGGTTATGAATAAAGAACTTTGCTATTTGGCAGTGCCAGTGGCTTCAGGGATGCTGTTATCCTCCTTTGAACTTCTCATCTGACGATCCTACATGTATATACATTATACTGTTAGGAATCAAGACCCTCTTAAAACTATGGTCCGACACTTCCACCGAATGCTCCATTTCCTAAGATATTCTAAAACAACAGACCATGTCTACGCCCTAACACCTGCCCTCTATACAACCCAGCTTTACTGGTCGTGTGTTTGCGTTGTCTATAGGCTTTTCTGACCGTAACCAAGTCAACTATCCATTGTCTATTTAAGATAGATGCATACCCACACACACTAGGAAAGAACAAACGCTTTGAAGAATGACAGCTAAGATGTACTTCAGATGCATAAGAATGTACGACCTGTCTATTGTATGTTAGAAATCTTCATAAAATGTCCATATTTAGGTTTTAATGTTATTGCAGCTCATCTCGGAGTTCGAAAGAAATCACGAACCGGGACAGAGATCTAATTTGCTGGGACAAGATTGTAATCAGAGCAAACACTTTGTTCGTCGCAGTCCTTACTAGTACCTTAGAGCCAGCCTCCACCAGTCCTTTAAAGCTTCGTAGGGGATGTTGTGGATAGTAGAAGTTTTACCTGTCATGGCGGCTACATCCACTACAGTTCGTCGTTTAGCATCATCAACATGTGCTGGCAATAAGTCTTCCCTGTAGCCAATGACTGTGGTCCAACTGCACTAACTTTCGGCGGGAGGGGGGCATATATAAAATTGTGGCCCCTAAAATCCCAACTCCCCATCTAAATCTCCAACAGTGGTTCTGTTTTGATCAGGAGGAACTCTTTTCTATCTTCTTTCTTTCTTTAACGTTAGTTTTTTTTCTTCTTCTTTCTATCTTCTTTCTTTCTTTCTTTCTTTCTATCTTCATTCTTCTTCTTCGTTCTTTAGTTTCTTTAAAGTTCATTTGGTAGTCCGCCGAACTTTTAGACCCCTTTGTCAAGTCAGACGTAGTGTGTTTGCTCTTTGCCCTAGAGCTAGTTGGTTAACCGTTATCTGAAGGTTGTAAAGTGTAAAGTAATAGAAGGGTTGTTTAAGGGTCAAGAGGCTAGGGTTGTATCTGTGTGTATGATCTTTGCAAACTTTGCCCTCTACGTGGCCGACTCACCGCGCGATTTTAAGAACCTTTTTGTGTTGACGTCGTACGTCGACGTCGTACGACGTCGACGCATATGCTTTAGACAACTTTTTCTATCACAAGACGACTTAAAACTATTGTATCACGGATGTGGTTACGGGAGGGAGTTTTAGAACGGTGACTACGGATACCTAGACTCATTCAAAGAACAGGGAGCGCAACACTCGTGTGCGCGTTGCAAAGACAATCTAAGGATTGAAAATAAAGAATGCCGAAAACAGGCGTGTGTTTCGTGTTTGAGGGTGGGGTAGGCGTGGTGGTGGTATGTACCACCGTGCAATACGGAAAGGGGCGTGGTTACACCTGATCAGCCCATACCTTATTGCAGTTCTACCTGTTGAGGATAATGTTTCTAGACTTGTTCTCCTATGTTTATATTGTTTTACTAAGGACATAGATTATCTTCCTAGATTAGTGTCTCGCGGTTACCACACAATCCCTACCACAACTATGTATTGCTAACATTTCTTTTTGTTTGATGTTTGGTAACCGATTGATGAGAAAAAAGCCTGCCTTCTCCCTAAACATTGCTCTGTTTACAGTTACAACCTAAACATTTGGTATGAATTCTTCTTTATATTTGTGCGCGGTCCACCCAGCGTTGTCTTGTACATAACCTTGCACCTTGAAAATACGGTGTACATATCAAAGTAAACTAAAGCAAGGATGGATTATACGGTCTGTTCTAAAGTTTGTCGTCTCCTTGTTTATTGTGTTGATTTAAGGCGCCCTCAGCAATGACCTGTTGCAAGTTGACTTCCCAGAGGAAACATATATCCGTCCGTCACTACATACCACTTGAACTCAAGTGAAACGTCGTTTATCACCTTTTGACGCTGTTTTGGCGGGAAAACAAAGTTGGTCAGGTAATGCCCCGGTTCAGCGCTATCAGGCTCCGCCTATTGTATGCTAACCGGGCAGGTCTGAGCAAATATAGACAGTAAAGAAAAAACGCAGGCTAGTCCACCTGAGGGCGACGCATTTGGGCACGGGCACCGGCGCTCTGGAGAGGACCCTACGGACCGACCGACACCATGGGCCCGAGGAGCGCTTTACGAGGACTGGTGACGGTCACACTAGTTTTGAGCTGTGCAGGTACGTTTAGAATGCTTTTTTTGTTGTTTTCAATCACAGTTGTTGTTAATTGTGCACTTTGGTAAACAGGTAGGTGCAACAGACTGGCTGATAGGAAAAGGCTCTCCACAACCGCGTGCTTTCGCATTTTCGTCGGTCTTGCACTGTGAGCTGTTACCCTCTCTCTAAAAACACTGTATCTACATCGATCGTTTTGAGTTTAGACGATAAACTTTAAACAAGAGCTGAAAGTTCACGAAAAATCCGACTATGGGAGACGCGTGGAGCCTGCTGTATCCAGAACCGTGCTTTATCCAGAACCATGCTCAGTCACGGTTCTGGATAGTCTACGCGTATCCGGCCAGAACTGTGCCTGGGGCAAGCCTAAGTTTTCAGATACGTGGAGACTATCCAGACTGAGCCTAACCCTAACCCATTCAGGTATAGAACTAGATAGGCACGGTTCTGTAATCGATATAGCTCGTTTGACCCTAATCCTACCCGCATATCACATTGCTGCATCGGAAACTGCCTAGCCGTACTGATAAGAGGTGTAAGCAAAGTGTTAATGTGACGTGATAGAAAGATCATTGGCGTTAATCGGTCCTAGATGTTTCCCGACACCTGCAAGTTGTGCTGCCCAGACGTTTTCTGTTGATTCTGCACCAGACGATAACAAATCACGCGCCCAATTGGTCATCGCAACTCGGACGGGAAATGGTCTGGAAACGACCCCTTTCCTGAGTCGTTATCGTTACGCAAATAGAAGTCTGTTTGTTAGTAACTCTCCCAGCGGAGACTAGGCTTGTTTGGAACATTTTTAGGCTTTCTACTTTGTCAATTTTTCTTTGGATATAGAAAGCCTGTCAAAACGTCTAAAATGCCTAAAAACAAGCATAACTTCTACTAGGAGATTACCGACAATTTAAACGTACGGGTAGTTAACGTACGGTGCCTCTTGTGCGAATGGTCAACTTTTGTTTTACAACAGTGATTAAGTTGTTAAGGCTGTACTTTTTGTCCTCAATGCGACCGAGGTCGTTTCAACTAGATCTAAGCTATAGGTAGACTATACTTTATAAACTAAACTAAACTTGTTAATAGTGGCGTCAATTGATATAAATCATAAGATAAGAACACATCGACCGTTTTTGCATATTTATGACAACTTTAGGACTTTAACGGGTTTAAGATTTGAATACTCAATGTATCACAAACATAATAACAAGAAATGCTCGCTCCTGATTGGTTGCAAGATGGCCATATTCTAACTAATTTTGACAATCGGGTTGGTGGTTAGGTGTCTGCACCTGCGTCAATAGAGAGCAGGCTAATCAACTAATTCAATCAGGCCGTTTGTTTTAGCGACCTGAGTGGTCAACGATCTGTAAGCTAATTTGTTTATCCCATGGCGTTGATGATTGGTGGATCTAACTAATGTTTAAAAGTACATAAGGAATATGGTTATAGATAAGCTACACACCTTAGGCCAATATACATGTAGCGCTTTAAGGAGAGAATATATTGTAATAGACTAAAATAGACTAGTATTATTGTATTGATAGTTTTGTTACTGTTGCCATACAATTGGTACCGTGTACTATTGTCGAGCAATACATTCATTCATTCATCCATTCATTCATTCATCCACTCACCAGATTCTATGAAAGATATAGAGCGCGGATATCTTGAGTCCAAAATTCTTAACTTGAAATCTCTGATAATATACGTAACGTTATATTGTGTGCCTATATGGCGTAATAAAACGATGGAAAGACTATCCGATTCACGTGGTTTGCGGTTTTGCAATTTGAGGAATAATTTGTGTGTGTGGAGAAAACCTACGGGCAGCGTCAAGGTTTAAAAGAATATATGAAGCGTCCGTTTTGAAATTTCGTAACAACTGTATCGAATTTTCTAACGAATTCGCAGGTCGCAAAGTAGCCTCCACCAGGCTTTGGAAGCAGCTGGAAAGAGTAGAAATTGGCCAAATAGGCAGATAACATAATATATATGCATGCCAGGGTAGTTGGTCCGTAAGAAGAGTGCATTTGCCGCCTCCCGAAGACGGTAGATCTTTAGTCGTGAAGGCCATTTATCGAAATGTGCCCAGCTTTGGAAGTCCTATACAGCTTTAGAATGGTCACAGTCTCCCTCTTGTTCCAGTTCTTGCGTTGCCAGGCTCAATCTCTCAGTAATCTACACGTCCAACTTCTCTGACCTATTTAGTCCCAAAGAGAACACGTCTAGCGTAAAGATAGATCCGTTTGTAAATGACCAAAACAGCGTACTTAGTCCGATAACGCCAGCGGTCACCACTTGTATTGTAACAACAAGCTGATTTTATCTTTATCGTGGACAGACTTTAGCACATAGAAACCGCATGTATGTTCAGTTTGTTTTACTTATTATGTACTAGTTAACTTTCAGGTGTCAAGCCTCGGTACGTAAAAGAACCCAACACACTTATCAAGAATAGTATATGGGTGTGCTTGGCTGAAAACGCGAACCGTAGCTAAGCCGCATTACACTACTACATAGACGAAAAAAGCATCATGCTTCACCTCAGTTACCTTTGACATTTAATAACAGTCGTTTGCAAACTCCGAAATATCGTCTGGATAACTGTTTAGCAAATGGCGACACTAGTTCGCGGGCAAACAATAGTTGTTGTTAGGACACCAGTGAGTGTTTGGATGGCCCGAGTTTTGCAAGTACATTTCAGAGGCCTCGAGGTTCAATTGTTGAACAACATTGAGAGAATGCGCCACTGAATACGTGTCTTCGTCACGTTTTAGGCTCCCTAATCTATTTAACAGCGGCTTCACAAAGAATAAGATTATGTTCTCATGGGATAGCATTGCATTATCCGATGGCCATTTCACCAGCAAATATTTAGTTTTTGTGAATTTCTTATTCATTGTGGATTTTTCTGTTAACGATGTCGTATTCCTTTTCCGACCCCATATCCTGCGTTTGACCTTTTGTGCTCTGTATTAAGGCAATATTACCCCACCCATCAGTCATCCTGAAAACTGGGCGGTAACAAGAAATTTACGGGCACCATATGCAGCGCCAATTCTCCCAATTGGTCAAACTAAACTGATTATTAGTAGTGATTGACATAACTACTAGCTTTTAAAAACGAATGAATTACAATAGTTTAAAATGTTTAGTGGGAAAAGGAGGCTACTCAAAGGCAATGGGGGAATTCAGCAAGAGGTAATGGTATAATACCCGATTGACTACGAGTACATCATACATTGTATATCCCTCAACAGTAATACATTCGCGGAAACCAAAACACTGAGTCTGAAATTTCTGTTTCCTTGTTTAGTTCAGAGCAGTGATTTCAAAAAGAGAGGTCGACAAGTGAACCAAACACATGCAGTCAAACAGTCTCTCTGTAACTATTGGATGTGGGATTAGGAGCTCTATAGCCACGCCCCCTATATAGAACATTATGGGATGGGCTGTGGACATAACACACTTCTGTGATGACAGGTGTACATCCATCAGTCTTGGCCTTGTTTTTTTATGTCTTAGGTCTGATTGGTTCATCAAAGGCGTATTCAAGACTGTGACTTCACCCCGATCCAATATAATCACACTTCACGCAAATCTAGCAAGTGGAAAACAGAAACTTTTGAGTCTTCAGAAATGAAAATGGACAATTTTTGTGATCTATGGAGCTGGAGATGTGTACAATGCCAGTTTCCTACCTAAATAGCCAGAATTATGTTATGTGAAATTTTGATGTGAAAAGCCCTCCTGGTATTTTTATACATAGGAATGTCCCCAGTTTGTTGTCTTCCTACATTTGCCAACTTAGTTACTCAGTCTACCAGAGGTATTCAACATTTATGCTATCAAATTTACTCAACACCCCTCCCTTCACTTAAACAGACCATATAAATTAGACTTGGGCAACTAGTATTGCATGGCACTCTTGAGGCCACACCAATTTAATTTGATTAATTTGATTAATAAATGATCCTTTACTTGACAGTGGCCCAGCGGGTTGACTTTGAGTACAACCCAGAGTACATTCCAGAGTACAACCCAGAGTATAATCCTGGCTTTGGAGCAACAAATGGAAACGGTTTTGACAACACCAATACCAACAATAACAACCTCGGTGCTGCTGCTGCCGCAAATGTAAGTATCCGGCTTCTCATGTTGTATTCTACATGTCACCTGTTTTGTTTCCCCTCTCTCTAGTATATATTTCCACATTGGAAAAGTCAAATAAAGAAATAAACAGCTTTGATGGTGCTTTCATTTGTTTTAGCATCCAGTGAATACACCTGACATTATTTCAATCAAAGCAGCTGGCAAAAATTTCTTATTCTCATTGGCAACAGATTGCTTCTGGACCATAGCAAGAAAAAGTTTGGCCACTTAAAAAAATATTTTGGTGTAGTACCTGTATGTTTCCAAGCTGAAATAAGACACCATAACCATAGTTGCAAATTATAGCTGTGTTGGAAAGAGACTATTGTCAGAAACAGATCATAAGCACTTTCTGTCAAAATTAATAGGGTTTCATCGAAGCCATAAGTAATAGTAACAAAAGTATACCAAGCACCTTTGGCACTTATCACTGACAGTTTCAGACATGCTTACATGGATTTGCCATTTATTGATAGTCCTCTGCAGGTAAGATTGGAGGTGCTATCTCATAACGGCCATCTCAAAAGAAACCGCTATCTCAAGAACCTGCAAAAAACAAACACCATGTCTGAGGAGGGCCATTGAATGATAACACACGTGCAAACATTTCAGGAACAGAGGACCTTTCATTCCAGTGAAAAAATGTGAAGAATTTCTGTTTTCTGTGTAGTTGTCAGGAACTTTTGAAATCACTTGAATTTAACTTCATATGAAGCAAATGTTAGGTGCTACATAGAATTCTATCTTTCCAATAAGCCACAAAACATACTAAGTCTTGAGATAAATTTTTTTAAAGCCTAGAAGCCCTGATGAAATATTAGTAAAGAAATAAAAATTGATAGTACTTGTAGGCCAGTTCAAAATATATTTTGATTTTGGGGGGATTCTTGGATGATATACCGATAAGTTTGTTTATTTCTTCCTATTACATCAGACAAACAACAATAACAACTGTGGAGGAGACTGTAACAACAACTGCTGTGGTTCATGTGCTGCCAAGCCTGGACCCAGGGTAAGTATGGGACTCTATCATACATGTATGTACATTGTACTGATGCTAGAAGCCACTTACTAATTATCCTCTTCATTCCTTGTGAGACATAAGGCCATAACTCTATTCCTTTCATCTGGGTTTGTCCTTGGCCACCTTCTTCACTGATAGCCAGGATAATCCCATGGATCCCTGAGTTCTTCTCCAAGTGGTTTTGGGTCTGCCTTTTTTTTCTTTTCCCAACAGGTGTCCAATTTGATGTTGTTTTATGTCTCCCTGTGTGATCCATTCTTAATACTTGGTCAAGCCATTTCAGTCTTCTGTTAATTTCTGTGGATAGCCTTCTACAACCAGTTTTGTTATGGAGTTCCTCATGCTAGAAGCCATTTAGTATGATTAATACTTTTGTTAATGAAAAAATCTAGGAGTCTATACTATATCAAGCATTAACTTACAGGTAAGCCATAAGTTGAAAGATCAACAAACCAAGAATTTTGAACTTTGACTGTTGTTTCATGATGGTCTGTTGTATGGATGTTGGTAAACATGCCGTACTGAGGTTATCAATCATACATAAAGTCATTGTGTTTGTTTGTATAACATGTTACAGTTCTGATTCAGGCGAAGGTTGATTAAAGGTCAAGATCAATTGTGCAAGGGATATTTCTTACCTATCCTGTTACCAAGGTGTTAAGTATTTAGATAGCATGATAAGTACTTTAAAGTTATGCACATTGTGTAAACACATTGCTGCATTATGATAAAGTCTTTTCAATTCACTATATAGTTAACCATCAACATTTATCTGTGTCCCTTCCAAGTAACAGTTAAAAGGTGGTATATAAGTTTACAAATGATCCCAATCCTTAAAGCAGTTGATGATTTGTGACACAGACAGTTCTGATGGTACTTTATTGTCCACACACAAAGACGCACGTGTTTGAGAGACTAAAGATTGTGTTTATCAATGTCTATGGCTGTACAATGTGATTGACACTTGGGTTTACTACAAACACGAGCCTTTGCCGAGATTGCCATCTATAAGACATAATACCTTTAATTACAACCAAACAGAAGACAATACTCATCTCTTAGAGATAAATTGAAGGCTTTGGAAGACATCTACCAGCAAAGAGCATCCTTTTAGGTTCAAATTTGGTGTAAAAGCAGGCTGAGCCTTTTTTTACATAATCGTACATGCATTTACTAGTTTCCAATTGTAATATTGCTTTTCGCCTATGGAGTTAGATTATATCAGCTCATTCCCTCTGTCCAGGCAACGAAGAACACTGTTATGTCCACAAGGATTTTATTAGGTCATATGAAAGTAACTTAGCAACAGGTGGTTTTGGGGCAAGTTTGGTGACAAGAAAAGTTAGTGTACATTAGAACTGAAAACAGTGAGTTACTGTTTGTGTCAAAGTCTGGTGTACAATGTACAAATGTAGTTACCTTTCTTCTTATTGCTCTATGCACACCCACATGTACATGTATCACAATGCTTTTCGACTTAACAGTGCCTTTCCTAACAGTGTCGTCACTGATAAAAAAGAACTAGTTTATAATACAGCTGCATGCGTACTTTGTGCCAAGTTGCCTTTTTGTGTCTTACACAGTGCTTTTGAACTTGACATTCTCTTTTGTAACAGTGCAGGTGCAGGGGTACGTTGTGTCACAGTATGGAATAATTGCCTTTGTTGTGTGTGTGTGTGTGTGTGTGTGTGTGTGTGTGTGTTTGTTTGTGTGTTTGTTTGTGTGTGCATGTGTGTAAAAGTATGGAATAATTGCCACTTTATGTAACTTATTACATGTACTTGCACACCTACATGTATCTTAAAAGAGCTCAGTACACGTTCAGGACAATTTGGACATTAATTAGTCTTTTCTGTACATGATTATTTAGTTCAAACAAAATGTCATCCAAATGTGCTAGAAAGTTTACATTCCATTACCTGGAATATTCCAATTTTGTGGCCAAAAATGTTGCACCTCAGGCCCTTTATATAAGACTTAGTAACATATTGCACAGTGCTTTTCAACTTGACATTGCCTTTAATTTATACCCGAGTGTTGTTACTGATAAAAACCAGTGAGTGTGTGTACTTTTACCTTTTATTACGTTGACATTACAGTCCAAGGTCCGTGACCTGTGCTGATCAGTGTTGTGTATGTGTTTGATCAGGGTTTCCCGGGGTCGCGGGGTGCTCCAGGCTTCCCTGGACCCGAGGGTGTGCAGGGGGAAACCGGAACACGTGGTCCCATGGGTTTCCCCGGAGACCCCGGAGCAAAGGGAGAAAGGGTGAGTCACCTTCTGAGAATTATTTCTAAGCATTATGGCTGCACAGGAAAGGGTTATAGACCAATCAGATGGCCCAACCCACTGCCGTCAAAACACTTTGATGCAAAATAAAAATGCAAAATTAATATTTGACAGACATGCAGCCACTATCTTATTGGTAAAACTGTTCACTAAAACATTTTCTGGTGATGCAAATTAACTGAATATGACTCAAGTGAAACACTATAATTGACTCTCAAGTCATATTCTAAAATTTTCATTTGACATTTCAGACAAATCCTAGTAAGAGACATGATAATAGATTTCCAAAATTGATTGTGTGTAATCATATCACCTATAGCTTACATGTACCGTTATGCTCGTAAAATGAAGATGTCATTGCATAATTTATGGCACATCATCATATTTTACAACCACTGATTTTTTTTACCTCTAGGGAGACCAAGGACAGATGGGACCACCTGTAAGTATTGCAACCATTTTATGTTCTGGGTTAACAGAAGTTGGTTTTGGTGTGTTTATTTCTGTGCTTTTTTGTGTTTCTTGTGTGTATACCTCAGGAATTACAGTAATTCTATTCCTCCTAGGGAGTTATTGGGCCTGCAGGACCAGCTGGACCCCGTGGACTACAGGGAGGGAAAGGAGGGAAGGGAGCAGCAGGAGATCCTGGGTTACGTGGAGAAAAGGGCTTAAGGGTAACCAAATCTCCTTCTTATGTTAAAAATATCCAACTTATCAACCAAATCTCAATAATTTTGTTTTCTGTTTAGAATCACTTTCTTACTAAGCACCTGTCAGAAAGTCTTGATTATTACTCAGCTTCTTTTGTACAGAGATGTAACCACTGCCATAACCCCATGGCCAGTGTTACAGATTGCTCGTTTTATTTATTACAAGTCTCTGTACTAAGTTTAGTCCTTTTATGTACACCATCGTAAAATGAAAATTGAACATTGCAATGATTTAATGCTGTACAGTAAAGCTTTTCACAAGAAATGTCTAACATTTGCTGCTGTGTGTTTTCTCAAACAGGGACAACAAGGTCTTCCTGGTATGATGGGTGAACCGGTAAGTTGAAGTTGAAATTTTCTTTACATTACTTTACTTAATTTAATCACTGTATCATTAACTGTCTCTCAATATATAGAATGATGCCATAACCCTGCCCACCTCTGTCAAAACATAGAAATGCAAAAAAGGTGTTAAATTATGATACAGTCTGGTTGGTTGAAATTAATTGTCTTGTGTTTGTAGGGAAACCCTGGAGACACTGGACCAATGGGTATGCCTGGACTCTGTGTAAGTTGTTTCTTTTCTTGTGCTGTTTCCTCTTACATGTATTTTCCTGGGCAGATACACTGATGACGTTGTTGGAAAATGGTTGAAAACACAGACACCTGTTAATACATGTAGATATAAATCAATGATTGGTTGCTTCCTTGTTTGGTGGTTTAATGCTTTAAACTCAGCCGTTGGTGGATTACTTGTAATTTCCTCTGTCACCTTCCATATTATCCCATTTCCTTGATCTCTTACAGTTTGTTTTCAAAATTGATGTATACCAAAACTGACGGTAACTTTTTGTTTTCTTGCCTCGTTTTTTTTTCAATACAGGGACCTAAAGGAGACCCAGGTAATTATATAATAAACAGCTCTGATAATTCAATATTATTCAATGTTCAAGCTTCTAATAGAGTCTTAGACCATCAAGATTTTTTAATGCTTATGAGGGTTTGAAGTTAGTGAGAGAAATAAAAAATAAAGAGAGAGTGAGAGCTATTGTACCAAGAATATTATTACTGATGATGGAGTTCAGGCACAGTCATTTTTTTTATAAGAAGGACAGTTTGTAAAGATAGGTACTGAGTAGTTTTAGAATCTATGTTTCTCCTATTCAAACAGGTGTTCCTGGGCTCCCTGGACCCCAATCTCAAAGTGAGTATTGGTGGAATTTCTAGCATTCATATTATATGTAACTGTGTGTATAACATGCATCGGTAACTTTAAAACTTGACTTTTCCTGCTATGCTTGTGTGGATATGTGCCCTGGTTTGGTGCAAACATTCAGGTAGGTTTGTGTCAGTCTAGTAGCCTAATGAGTCACTGATGTAGGATTAGTCAAGTGTTGTTTATATTGGACAAATAACCTCACACAAAAGAGTACCTGACATGCCTGAGCCATGGGGAATTAGCTGGAGACTACAGGCTTAGGATCGCTTACCAAAATCCTGATCTGGCCTACATACCTTTTGTAACTATGCTAATGCCTCAGTTCAACAAGGTTATAAGAATTACTCAGGACCAACTATATACTCAGGCACTGTAGGCCAATATTTTCAACAGCAATCATAGGACTGCTAGCCTGGGTGCCATCCGAATTTGTAACGGCTCCTCCGAAAAAATCGGGGGAGCCGTTACAAATTCGGATGGCACCCAGGCTATAGGACTGCAGTTACCCAACACAAATGACCATAATATGAAACAAACAGCAGTTACTGCACTGTATTGAAGTTTTGTGTACTTTATCTGACTTATGGTGTAAACACAGATGACCCAGAAAGTTAGTTTAGTTGGAGGGTAATCCAGCATGGTAGCTGGTAGCACTCCCTCCCATCTATGTAACTTAGTAATATGTCAATAATGAATATGGTATGCTCCAAGAATGGTCCCCTTTACTGGAGTGAGCCTATAACCGATTTTTAATTTCTATCTGATGAAAACAGCTATTATTAAGATAGGAGATTTAGAGTAACTGTTGTCTCTATCTTTTGTGATCCATCAGCATCGGGACCATCAGGTCCAGCCGGTCCACCGGGTCTGCCTGGTCCTCCTGGAAACCGGGGTCAGCAGGGCCCGCCGGGAACATCTGGGTTTGGCACCAAAGGAGAGTCAGGACTGCCCGGCAACCCTGGACTGGACGGTAATCATCTTTCAGTTCCACCAATAAGTAGAAAAGTGCAACACAGTTACTACTGTAGTAAATGTACGGTATTCCTATTGCTTTATGTTCCATGTCAATGTTCCAATCTGTGTCATTGCAGTACACTATGATGCACTTCAGTTTCCTTGGTAAAATAATACTAAAATGATAGAATCATGACGTGTAATTTGTTGAACCATTACTGTTACAGGTCCACCAGGGAACCCTGGAAGACAGGGAGCTCCGGGTATGTATTATGAAGAAGGCTCCCAGTTATTGTTGGCATAATGTTCACTTTGTGTGCTGCATAGGTGGATTATTATCATCTCAACTTGTTGTAGTAAAGTAAAGTAAAGAGGAAGGAAATCATCAAGTTTAACAAAATTGTTAATTTATGGACTGAGTGACCTTATTGAGTTGTTGACTGTCTTTTTTGCTGCTAAGGTGTAAATGGATTGCCTGGAGGCCCTGGACCAAAGGGTAAGTAATCATTACAACAGATGTTACCATTATGACTTATGTTGCCTGTTAGAATATTAAAGATACTTTAATAATTCATTTCTATATGTATGACAAGTTGAAGTTGTTTCAGGTTGGTTTTTGCTTGTCTGGACAGTGTAGGTTGACAGTATGTGGATGGGGGGAAGATTGACAAGCAGAATGATGTGACCAAAAGGTGACACAGAAAATAGAGTGACCTTAAAGGTCCCAGAATTAGCAGGAATTACAGTTGAAAATGGGGAAATTCAGGAAGCCGAGGATTGCATGAGGGACCCTCCAACTCTGCACAGTTTCTATCCTAGTCCTGACTAAAGTATGTCATATAGTCTTCTTGGTCGTTCCCCAAAATTCAGGAAAACCCCAGAATACTTACCGGTAGAGCTGTGTACCTAAACAAATTTTAGGTACAGGTACAGGTACAGGTACACAGGTTTAGGTACAGGTCCGGACCTGAACCTGTACCTGAACAATTCGACCAATTTATATGCTCTTCTGAACTCCTTCAATAACAAAAAAACATAAATAAACTTGATAGTTAAGGTTTATTCTTTGTTTATGGCGAATGCTCAGATAAAATATAGGCAAAACTAAGATGTTTTTGTTTTCATGAACACACTGTCCTTACACAGGCACCCATTGTTAACCAGCTATTTACACATTTGAGGTCACAAATAGGCATAAAATTGGTGTGAAATTGTTTAGGTACAGTACCGGTACTGAGGGATTAGGTATTTTGGACCTGTACCTAATCAATTTTTCCGGTACAGTATCGGTACTGCGTACCGGTACACAGCTCTACTTACCGGAAGTCTGAAATGTCTAATTTGAGTTCTGTACATTTTACACAGGTACCAGAGGGGACCCCGGTTTGCCAGGGCCACCAGGTATGGATTTAATACATGCATCTTTTTTCCTTCTCACATTATAAAATTTATGTACTATGTAATCATACTAGTAGTATGAAACATTAACCAAGGTGGGAGTTAGTTACACCATGCAATCCTATCAGGGATTATCAATGTTGTAATTCAATAGGATATATACTGGAATATATACGGTATTGTTTGTGCCTTTATTTACACTCAAAAATTGTTCTATTCAGGCAAACAGGGCCCCTTTTCATAGGGGCTGGTATTTCTGCATGATACAATCAAGTTCCAATACTTTGACAAAAATGCATAACACGTCCTGGAAAACCCCATGTGTGAAATCTGTAATTTCTTGTTGTACAGGGGCAGGAGGAGAGAGAGGAGTGATGGGTTTCCCTGGACCTAAAGGTAAATATAGCAGCCATTGGTAAAAATAGCATTAGTGTTGTGTTTGGAATCAGTTTGTTTACAAAGACAATTTTAAGTACATTGTGATTCGGATTATTTAACAACACTTCCAGGCATTGACCTAGGAGATCCGACAGATGTATGACTATGCCAAAAGATGGCGGTGAATGTTTATTTAAAAAACTTGAGGATTGTATTTGTCAGGAAAATGTGTTTGGGAGTTCCATAGTTTTGAGTATCTCTTGATATGATACTCACTGTATTCACTGACAAAAATGCCTGCAATGGTGTCTACAATTAGATATCCTAGATAGATTGTTACAGTAGTTGAAACTTTCCCATTGTTTCTACAATCCAGGTGCTCCAGGTGATGCTTCAGGTGTCAGTGGGCCACCTGGACCTCCAGGTCCTGCAGGACCATCTGGGCCACCTGGTAAGACGTTAATCATTGTGTGTTCAGCACCAAGGACAGGTGTGCTTGTCCATTTCTTTTCTGTTCAGAACCAAGGACAGGTATGCTTGCCTGTGAGGCCTATGCATGTGAGGTGTAATGTGGCTGTGGGTGTGTGTTCAGCACTAAGGACAGCTGGGTCCATGTTTATGTGTGGAGGGTGGGATGTGAATTCAGAACCAAGGACAGATACGCTTGTCTGTGTGAGTGCATGCGGTGTGACGTGGCATGTGGGTGTGTGTTCAGCACTAAGGACAGCTGTGTCTGCGTGTATGGGGGGAGGTGGCATGTGAATTCAGCACCAAGGACAGGTGTGCTTGTCCATGTGTGTTTGAGTGTGGTGTATGGCTGTGTGATACTGTCTATTAATTGTTTTACCTTCATGTAGACATTCCAAGTATATGTATAAGTGTCTGTCTATGTTAGAATTTATCCTGGTTTCTAACCATGCCTTCACTCCTCCACAGGTAGATTTGGTCCTAAGGGAGAAATTGGACTGAATGGACCCCCAGGTAAGAACACAATTATAAAACTATTATGGTCAAATCAGTTAAGATGACTGAAAAAGAAAACTTGTATTTCCTCTGGCGCACTCACAACAATCTTTGTTGACACAAGAAAAACACAGTGACATTCATAAGTTCCACTATACTTCCAAACGATTAAGTGGATGCAAATGAAATAACTTACCTGCGAGTATATGGATAAATCAACATGTTATGCAATGATTTTTCATTTGTAAGAGTCCCTATTTGATGGACCAACATTTTTGTATTATTTCCACCCTTTCTCAGGACCCATAGGACCACCAGGTTTTGGTCAGCCTGGTCCTCCTGGAGAGAGGGGCCCTGCAGGTAATAATCAGAACTTATTGATGATTCATCTGTTTTGGATTTTTTCAACAGTCATAATTACTGGCTTTACAAATGTCTTTAGTGCTTTCCTTTATGTCTGCACCCGCAGATGTTACAGAGATTTCTACATTTGTCTACAACACCAGTCACTTAAAGTTAGTAACTTGACTATTTCTTCTCTTTCAATTACTTCCCTAGGTGCTCAAGGTTTCCCAGGTGCACCAGGAAATCCAGGTAAACTTTCTGTCAGCTTCTAACTCTTTTCAATATAAATCATAGTATTACCAATAGATGATCCTGACTGTCCATCACAATTAGCAGTTCAACCAATGGTAGCATGGCAATTAATGGTTTGACCAATGAGGATGGGGCTACAGGATATTGTTGTTGTTGTTTTTGCGATATAGTCTTTTTGTTGGAGTGTCAACTTCGTAAGAGAAAGGTTCCTTCTCATATCTGTTGGAAATGCAGGTAACAATTTAAAATAGAGTGACTCTTGCACTTCCCCTACAGAAATTATCTAGAGACTAAAGTGATAGCAACCAAATATATGTGCTGTCAATGAGAACAATTGTTAATTGAAATCTAGCAGGAATTAGAAATGCTCTACTGTAATGCATTGTAGCATTGTTATGATGCATTTCATGAATTATTCTGTTATTTTACTACAGGTCCAAAAGGAGAATCAGGCATTGGTTTGCCTGGAGGACCAGGTCTTCCTGGTAGGTGTCATTTATATGGGATAACATGTAACAATTACTGTATTAAAGCAGTTATGAACTTCAAGGTAATCTATCAAAACTTAAGCAAATGTAGAAATAAAACACTGAGAAAATAAAAGAGGTGAAAAGAAGGAACATTTGGTAGTCATGTTACCAATTTTCCTGACATGTTGTCTTGCTAATCTATCCATTTCTGCTAGCTGTTAACCTTCTCTCTGCTGCCTAACCTCGGAACCAAAACAGATTTGGTACCAAATGGCTACCATAGGCATAGCAGGCTGAAGTTTAAGTCTTGTCACATCTCACACAAGAATGTCCCTGTCATATTTCAGGACCTCCTGGTGATGTAGGCCGACCTGGTCCTCAAGGATTGCAAGGTAATCAGTTTATCTATTGGTCATCCAAAGAGTTTGTGCTGTTATGGAAATGTTGTGTTGGTACAGAATAACCTGATGAAACTATTCACGGATTGTGTTGGTACAAAAGTATTGTTCTGGGAGGCTTATGTAACATATCTGGGCATCTGGGGGGAAGATTGACAGTTGGTCACAGGGTCAGACAATGGGATGAGCATGAAGGTCTCAGAATCTGTCCAGTAGCCAGCAGGAATTACTGATCAACATATTCAGGATTCTGAGAATTGCATACCTCCCAGAAATCTGAAATCTCTTATTTCTTGTTTTGAATGTTTGTCAGGTTCTCATATATTATTAGTATATACCTTCATCTTATTGGGTCCAGAAGTGTTTGCAAGAGTGTTGCATGGAACTATACTTCCTGGAAGTCTGAAATCTCCTATTTCATGTTCAGTTGGCGTCTGTCCTTGGTGCTGAACACAATCTGGTACCAAAACTTTTCTTTATCATTGACATCTCCCAGGTCAGGGAGGCGCCAGAACATTTGACCTGATGACACGGCACAGCCAGACCACCATGGTGCCGCAGTGTCTGCCGGGAATGACAAAGATGTGGGAGGGGTACAGTCTGCTTCACGGAGAGGGGAACGAGAGAGCTCACGGACAGGACCTTGGTGAGGATTCTTGATTGCTATTCTTCTGTCATTATACAGCACCGCAGTATGTTCCAAGGCATTGAACATATTTTGAGCTAATGCCACACCAATTTAATTTGTTGGTTTTCGGATTTTTTCAGAAAAAATATGAAGCGACAGGGCGAAAAAAAATAAAAATAAAAACAGGTCTAGGCATCCTATTATAGGCTTAAATGCTACGAAATGAGCCATGAAGTCAACATAAAAGGCCGGGTTAAAATTTAAACATTGAATTTTGAACTTTTAATCAAACCACTGCAATGATAGATGGGAAAACTGTAACAACTAGGAAGAAAAGGACTTTCCTCAACTGTTGGGGGCAAAACATGAGCATTTTTCAGTTGATTCAGGACCAGAATCAATTTTTTTTTTTTTTGCAAATCAGAAAAAAACGAAGAGGCGAATCCGAGAACCAACAAATTAAATTGGTGTGGCCTAAATGTACAATATATACAATCATCCAGATTTTTTTATGTCTTGTATCTGTTTGACAAAGGGCACCCAGGACTTTAGTTTTTGTATTGTATGACTAGACAAAAAACTGCATACTAATAGATATCAATTTAGTGATAAAAAAATCACTGTTTCTTTAATGATTATGTTTTGTGTATCAGACATTACATGCACAACCCTACTAATGATGAACTGAAGTAACCCGGATATTTTGATGATTGACACTTTTCATTATTGATGTTTTTTTACCAGGTACTGCTGGCTCGTGTGTACAACGTTTCGCTCCCATGCCCTTCATGTTCTGTGACATCAACTTCAACTGTCACTACGCCACTCGTGACGACAAGACCTACTGGTTATCCACCGTTGCCACTGAACAAGAGATCCCCGACAGTCCGGTCTCTGGAATCGACGTCCTCCGTTTTATCTCCCGTTGCGTGGTGTGCGAGGTTCCTTCTACTGTCATGGCGTTCCACAGTCAGGGCTCCACCATTCCCGACTGTCCCCTCCCCACACGGGAACACAGCTGGCAGAGTCTGTGGGAAGGATTCAGCTTCTTCATGGTAAATCCAAATTGATACCTTTATCTTGATTACTCTTGCAAGTGCACTGATATTTGATACTTAAACTTCACTAAAAAGGTGAAGTATTGTGTAATTATATACTATTTCAACACTAGAACAGGTGCTGTAATGTGAATTAAACGAGGGGCTTTTTAGTGTTGTTTGACCAGGCAGAGTATCTTAACAGCACTTGGGTAGGAAGATTGACGGGCAGGATGACTAGAGGGGAAAGGTCTCAGAATCTGGCTGGGAGCCAGTCAACATGGGGGAATTCAGGAAGCCACTTCCTTGAAGTCTGGTGTGTTGTGATGACAAGGGGCAGTTACATGTACATGTATACTGGCTATACAGATACAAAAATGTAGACTTCAAGATATGAAATCTGTGATTTCTTGTTTATGACATCAGCGTTTCCTTCCCCCAGCACACGGCTGCCGGAGAGGGGAGTGGTCAGATCTTCTCCAGCCCAGGCAGCTGTCTGGAGAGGTTCCGCCCCGCCCCCTTCATCGAGTGTCACGGAGCCCGGGGGACCTGCGGATTCTTTGCCAACAAGTTCAGCTTCTGGCTGGCGTCTGTTCCCAGGTATTGTCTGCTTATATTGAGTTGTTTTGGGTGACTGAGCTGTGGGATTGTCAGTTTGCCTGGTCAAAGTAGGTTGACAGCACACGGGTGGGGGAAAATTAATTGGTTCTCGGATTCACCTCATCATTTTTTTCTGATTTGAAAAAAAGATTTTAAAAATCCAATAACCAACAAATTGAATTGGTGTGTCCTAACTAAAACAAGTTGCTATTTGAAAGAAGTTTGTCAGTTTGCAGTATGGATTACAACATGATTTTTTCGTCTTGCTTCAGTGATTACGACCCACTGCGGAACCAGCCCGCCTACGAGCCTCGGGACGGGCGCGTGAGAGAGATGGTTCGTAACCAGCAGCCAGTGACGGAGATGGAGAAGATGGTTGGACGTTGTCGCGTGTGTATGATGATCACCGACACCGTACGCGCCAAGATCGGGACGGTCGGGCCGGTGAGAGGAGCCCGGCCTGGCGTCATCATCGCAGACCCCAGACAGCAGCCGCCGCGCCAGCCTAGCTCGTAAAACAGCACGGGCTGCAACACCTCCTAGCAACACTCCCCTGTACTGCAGTTTGTTTAGAATGTACTACCGGTGCTAATGTACATGTAGTGAAGGCTAGCTTACAGGTGCCAATTGTTAGGGTTTGTGATACCTAGCTCGTAGCATTTTGTACTTTTATATTGTGTACTGAGGTAACTGTAATAGAGAATGGTCTTCATATGTCATTTGACTTTGACTAGGCAGCCTAATTAGTGCTTTTAATCAGCACTTTTAATCAGTTTTCAGATTAATTTTTGCAGAGGAAATAAGGGTTAAACACACTTCAACACAAATACCAACTTGACATGTCCTACCTCAATACAACTTTTTCTTTACGTTTGAGTGTTCTATATAACTTCTTGCCCCCAAAAATTGAAATGGTTTCTTGATCTTAATTTCCAATAGCTATAAAGTTGCAATTTGTTTTAACTGCAATCCTTCCAGTGTTACAGATTTCAAAGTGAGTTTTATCACTCATCAATGTAATTTTTGGCACATTGATTGGTAGTGTGAATGACTCTAGGAATTCAAAGAGAATTCTAGCTTTTCTGGTGTTTCAAAATTAGAACTTTATGTATCTATCTCTAAATGTAATCTCAGATAAAAAATTAAATTTATGACTGTAGTCACTGCGATAGAGTAATAGTAATAATAATGATGAAAATGTCCAACACTAGCTCATACTAGTATTAGATGCACATCATGACATTTCAAGAATGCTGTTTTTGTTCAGTCCCAATGTGGACAACTATATATGGTGCTATACTGTATTCCACAACAACCTCAGAAAGACACAACGAACATCTTATAAGCAGAGGCTTTTGTATCTTACGCAAGTTTATTCATATCATATGAGATTAATAATTGTTATAATTTGTCGATAAACTTCGTTAGTACACCAATGAACAGAGCATAAAAAAATAAATTGATTTGTTTGTTTGTTTTATTTTGTTGTGTATGTTATGTTTCATTTCTTTTACCAAATTCTTAATTTGAAAGTCTTCTAGAAACCAACTTTTCATTATTATCAATTGATCTACAGCAAGATAATAATGAAAAGTTGGTGTTACGCTCCAAGGATAGGTGTGTTTGCTTGTGTGTGAATGGCATTTAGACCAAGGACAGGTGTATCTGTATGTAGATGGTGTTCAGCACCAAGGACAGGTATGTTAGACTGTGTGTGGATGGTATTCAGCACCAGGGACAGGTTTTCTTGAAGAAAGAAATCGCTACAGTTTTTTTAGCATTGTAACGGAGGAAAGGACGAATGAAAATTCTCACAAATTTGATGTTTATTTTCCATTAAAAGTGATTTTGTGGAAAGCAAGAGGTTTAGTTTTGCTATGATCAGACGGTGTAGTATCAGACGGGAATGTACTCATCAATTCATGTAGAAAATGATAACGTTTCTTTCTCACAGGACGTAGCTGTGGTCTCAGCTGCTACACCTGCCAGCACCTGGAGAGTTCACCTGATTTTTACACCTGTCTACAGAACCCCACCTCCGTCAGTACGGAGACATGTACGGGAGACGAGGACACCTGCCAGGTCAGTAACTACCTAGAGGAAATTGTTACACCATCACCTTCCCACAGTCTATGGTAAAGAAGAAAAACTCAGTCAGAAAAATCACAAGCCAAATCATACACAAATAACAACACAAACATGCACATTATCAGACAAGATGCATCAACATTTAAGTTCTAAAACCTGCTTTGGATTGGAGACAAGAGTGCATTTGTTAGTGAGATAAAAGAAGGGCACAGCAAAATTACAGTAACGGTAACAGTCACTCAAAGGTGAACATGCAATATTATCAACAAACAATAACATGAAAATACATCTCACATAAGATATCACATGAAAACAATCCATACAACAAGTTAATACAATCAATAAGAATCATATTGCAATATGCTGTCTGCATGAACAATCTTTACAGAAGTTCTTGGAAATGATCAAAGTTTGTACTTAAAAAAAAGCTCCCTATTGGTTGTTAGGATGCTGGTTACACAGCAGTTGACCCATCCTGACTGTCAATCACAACAGCCAATTAGAGAATGCCAATTAGCTGTTTGACCAATGAGAGAGTAGCTGCATGTCAGCCAAATCTTTGCACCTTCCTGGTTTTATTTTGCATTTCTATGTTTTGATGGGGGGCGGGGCTATAAGATTGGTCTATTGCACCAACAAATGTTGTTAAAACATGTTGCAGACTGCAAATTAATGATGAATAAAACCTTAAGATACCTTGAAATCAGCAGATTAGTGCCACACCTCACCCAGACCAGACTGGGGAATTTCAACTGAATAACACTCGAAGGCAGCTGGCTTCAGTTCAGTAAACCAAGCAGTTTTAAAAACTACATGAACAGTAAGTGTTGCTTCATTAAGTCAATCTTATCAATTAACAGGATAAATGATCATGTCCAGCATTGTATATATTCCAAGCTATTTATCAATAATGACTTGCTGGTAAACCAAGCCTCACTACAAAATGTTAGGAAGAGCTCACTTGAAAGGCAGCCGTAGTAAGGAAATTCTGAGGAAACAATTTCCGTTGTTCCAAAATTTCCTAGTGGCGCCCGCCATCTTGTTTGATACTGCCGCCTGCAGGCGTGGTGCCTGGCATTTTAATCGTTTTTGATTTTTAAAAAATGAGTCGCTTTGAATTTTGGAAGATAAAATCAGATGAAAGTTTCTAGAACGTAAGATGCTTTTTTCAATTGAGATTAGGTAAAAGTTCATAGTAACGTTACATTCAATGTGGATGGTGTTCAGCACCAAGGACATGTATGCTTGCCTGTGTGTGGATGGCATTCAGCACCAAGGATAGGCATGTTTGCTTGAGTTGAGATGGCTTTCAGCACCAAGGACAGGCATGTTTGTCTGAGTTTAGATGGCTTTCAGCACCAAGGACAGGCATGTTTGCCTGAGTTGAGATGGCTTTCAGCACCAAGGACAGGCATGTTTGCCTGAGTTTGATGATGTTCAATATCATGGACAAGACTGATTACAAGTGGATCAAAATCGCCACCAGTACAAAAAAATCTTGAATACAGATTTATTTATTTTCACTCAACACATATTTTGCTGATCGTTCAATTGCTTAGCTTCTACGATTCTTTCCAGACATTGAATGCAAATAAAGTGCCCTACAAACAAGAAACAAATACATAGGTTTTACAATACTTCATCATAGCTGCAGCAGTTTGTTAAGAAAGACTCTTTTCAAGTGTCATCCTTTGCTACTGTATGTAATGCTATGCCACTGACTTTTCCTGTACAAGATGCATTTTTGTTTAGCATGTATGTACATTGTATTACTAACTAATAAACTAATAAGTTTTCGAGCTGTACTTTACATAATATTATACCACGAACTTCTCCCATACAAGATGTATTTGTTCAGCTTGTATTTACATTGTATTCATTTATACTCATATCTGTAAATTCAAAAAAAAGTTTTCAAGTTGCACTTTATGTAATTCTACCAGTAACTTTTTCCAACACAAGTGGTAATTTTGTTCAGCATGTATTTACATTGTTTTTCTTCATACTCATATTTATACGATGTAAGTTTAAAAGAATATTCAAGTTGCACTTTATGTAAATGCTGTACCAATGACTTTTTTTAATTTTGTATTTTTGTTCAGCTTGTATTTACATTGCATTTTATTCATAGTCATCTGTGATTTTATTAGGCTGAACTAAGTTATCAAGTTGTACATTATATTGCCACTGACATTTCCCGTACATGATATATTTTCGTTACACGACAAAAACAACATTCCAAGGGACATAAAAAGCGTCATCCCGGCCAACCAACCTCCTCAAAACTCAGATTGGAATCAGTCACAGCCAGACAAATTGCTTCCTAGTTCACATGGCCCACAGCTTCTGGAAAAACAACCCACCAACTCCACATTCCACATTGGAGGGTGTCAGCCTTTTTTTCAGATTGAAAATTGGACTGGTCTGTTGCAGTCATTGGATCATTTTATTTCCAAAGGGCAACAATTTTCAATCAGCTTTCAACCTTTAAGACTGCGCTGAGGCACATTTGTAGACTGATTTGATAGCACACAGTGCAGTGGCGTGATCTATCAGTAAGTCATGAGACTGTGAAGTGATCTCTGTACTTCTTGTTTTGTCGAAAAGGCCACGTTGATTTGATTATATGGATGACATCCGTGCGCGCATAAATGTTGGCCATTTTCAACCATACTGTAAATCGTACAAAACAGCTGCAAAATGAGCAAATATATACTGTAAGTTGCAAGAAAAATATTGGAAAATGATACCAATGTCGTAGAATACCAAAATCAAATGAAAAAGACGAAAATGTAAAGAAATGAATCTGAAGCGTAGATTATTCCCCATATCATACTCTGGGTCATCTGTTCAACCTTCATGGCCACGTAGATTTCATAATGAAGGCAACATAAGGAAATCTGTCTGCTATTGACATTAACCACCATTTCTTAGCACATTTTCATCATCCTTTGCTACGTAACTTTGCTACATAATCTTGTATCCAATAGAGAAGGCAAATGGCTAGAGTACTACTACTAAACTTCAGTGTTTTTACGTCTCGATGGCAATACCCAAGGAGGTCCCTTTCTTTGACCTCATTATAGAATCTATCAATTGTAAAGTGGGCCGTTTTCAGTCTGATGGTTACCTTCAAATCTGCCATACATGTTGTTTTCAGGTGTAACAATGGCGTCATATTGATCATCATGCAGACCACTCTCACTAGCATTTTCGGAGTCAGCTTTTTGACTGTTACTGCCATAGATGTCGTTTTGTGTAGGTGTACCAATGCCATCTTTTGTCTGATTATCATGCAAATCATTCACACCAGCATTTTGTGGGTTAGATTCTTGGCTGTTGCCTCCAATTCTACCATAGATGTTGTTTTGCGTAGGTGTAATAATGCCATATTCGTCTTGATTATCAGGCAAATTCTTCTCACCTGCATTTTGTGGGTTAGATTCTTGACTGTTAACGTTACTTTTGACTCTACCATACATGTTGTTTTCGGTAGGTGTAACAATGGTGTCATTACCGGACAATACATTCTCACCTACATTTTGTTCAAATGAAGATTTTTGACTGTTACCTTTGTTTCTGCCATAGATGTTGTCATGGGTAGGTGTAACAACGGCCCTGTGCTTAATATGGTACAATGCTTGCTCGCCTGCATTTTGAGGGTTGTTGTCTTGACCGATTGGGCCAACTGAACTTTCTGATTGTTCGATCGAACCTGAAGTTTGTGGGAAAGGCTTTTGACTATGAGACTCAATAATTACGGTGCGACTCCTTCTGTAAACAGGATTAAGAAATGTACCGGTATCCTGGGAACTTTTTGGCATACTCTTACACCGGTATGGCCTGTCCTTCTCATGGATACTATTTCCATTGCATATCATATCCTCACTCGTTTGGTTTAACCTTTTTCTGACTAACATGATCGGCCATGCCAGAATGATAATGGTCAACACTATACCCAATATGATGATAACTGTTACAGGGTTAACGCTTGTTGTTTTTGATGCTTTGGATGTGTGTTTCTCTGTCTTGGGAAGTTTTGTGGTAGTGGTATTTATGGCATCTGTTTTGTAAACGCGAAGTTCAGTTTTGGCTCGGTTGTAGTTGTCGGTGCTTACGTCCTGTTTGGCAGAACATGCACGCAGGTTTGCTCGGTGGATTGGAACACCTTTCAAGCTACCTGGACTACTACATTTCGGCACCCCATTTGAACAAAAATCTGCATACAACGGGCCCCTATCTTCTGGGCACCACTGTGGGATAGCCTGGAGGCGTTTGTCAAAAGCTGAGGCCATTTCTGACAACCAAAACATACGGCAATCACAGTGAATTTGGTTACCATGAATAAAGCGACGAATATGCAACCACGATGCGTCCCGCAGGCGAAGAACAGCCGCTATACCCAAGTTTGCCTCCGAAAACGTGGTCAACTTATTGTAAGATAGGTCAATATAAAAAGATTGCAAATTGCCACTAGCCAAGTCAAGCCTTACATAGGATAACAGGTTATGGGACAAATCCAGGTTGGCAAGACGGCGAAGATGGTTTATTGATTCCCATGGAAATGTTGTGAGGAGGTTGTGGCGAAGATTTAGAATAACGAGGTGCCGAAAGAAAGAGAGGTCATGGATTGTTTGGATGCGGTTTTCTTGGAGTAAAACTTTGGTGATGACTCCTGGTAGTTTAGTAGGTAGACTAGTTATGTTAGATTTGGGGCAGATGATCTCGTGTCCTACAAAACATCTTTGTGGAAACACATTGAGTACACTTGCTACCAGTGTCATAAAAACGACACACTGTGTCAATAACATGATGGTCTTCTTTACTTACAATCTAAGGGTTCTGGGTTCGAACCTGTAACAGGCTCCAATGTTGTGCCCTTGGGAAAGGCACTTACACCTATTTCCTTACTCGGCTAAGGTGGAAATGAGTACCTAGCTTCGGTTAGGGACGTCCTCTGGGATGAGACCTCTAAAGCTGGAGGTCCCGTGTTTGAGGAGAGCCACACCCCAAGCACATTAAAGACCCCACTACTTTTATCAAAAAGAGTAGGGGTCCATCCCTATTTGAGGAAGTTTGTGCCTTTAATAGCCGTACAAAACCAGTGTGTTACACCTAGTGTGGTTTACACGAGTCTTATGCAAAACAAAGAATCTGTCGTAGCTGATCTTCCAAAGTGATACACAGGTGCATAAAAGGCCGGCGTCAAGACCACAGTGGATTTTGCACACCAGCCTCTGTAGCAGAAACAACCTGTGGAACAAAATGGAAATATGGTACTGTATTTACACGTACACTATTTCCACTAATCATGTTACGCAGTCCCCTACAATGATTCTACAAGTCATCCAGTGAATATAAATAACTAGTAAACGAGTATGTGCTCACCAATGTAGTAAGTGTCAATCTCCAAAAGACAAGACACTCAACCCAATAGGACACCGAAGATCTGCATTGCAGTCGGAGCGCTACACGAGACTTGACAGGAAAGTGTTGCCAAGTGGAAGTGTGCTTGCCAAGTAGTTATCAAATGCCTCCTGCAGACGAAAGTCGAAATGATGCAAGTCTGTTTCATAGGCTGTTCCAAAAAGATGGAGGGGGGGGCTGGACTAGCTATAAAGAAGGCAGGAAAGGTTTCAGCAAATCTGGATTGGACCTTTGGTAGGGTTTGAACAAATCTGGATTGGAACTGGAATAGGGAAATCTGGATTGTAAACTAGGTAGTGGTAGAACAAATCTGGATTGGAACTAGGATATAGTTGAATGAGCAAACTTGGTTTAGAACTAGGGTAGGGGCAAAAGCTGATTTTGGACTCCTTTAACCCCTTCCACATTTGTTTTTTTGGAACAGTCCATTTTTAGTATGTTGGTTATTATCATTTTGTCATTCCTTGTGTACCTTTGACTTTTGTAATCTCGGCGCAATCTTCTCAGTGTATGATGAGTCTGGCTTTTGATTGAAATTCTCCTCTACTAGGTGATGATATGAAAGAAAAAAAAGGAAAAACAACAGACTAATCGTGTATATATCGAGAACAATGTCTTTTTCTATCTCTTTGTCGAAACTTGTAATCTCCAGCTTGCAATCTCCAAGCAGATGTAGTATTTCAAGCATGCTTTTGAGGCTTTCATAACTTGTTATACTAAGAAAGCTTAAGGAAAGCAGAGAAATATGGACCACTGGAAAGAATATTAAAAACCTTCAAAACAGCCAAGCATTTTAATCATATTAATCCATAAAACTATTTCCCCTTCTGTTGCATTCTATGTCCATGATGAAGTTTTCGGACTATAATTCCACAGAAGTCAGCTGTACTTTAATATTGGGTTATACATGTACTGATCATAAACTGATGTTCACATTTATATGTGTTGAGCCTGATGATGTTTAAGTTCTTTCACTCCCTGCACCTGCTGTTGTCTAACACTCTCTCGCGAGACTAGAATCCCAGGCCAAACTGGTGTAGACATTGTTTTCCATGGTCTCTGGAATCAGTACTTGATAGTCAAGTTCAGATTCAGCGTCAAGTATTTTGCTGGAAGACGATATTGAGACTGAGCCCAGGGTTATGGGCGTGAAGTTTTTCTTCTCACTCTCGCCCCCTGTTGCGGTCTCGTGCGCTCTTGCGAGAGTTGATGAGTTCAAGGCCAAACTTGTGTATTCACGGTTTGTAGTTGTCACAGGGATCACTTCCTGATAGTCTGCTCCAGTTTCATTGGTAAGGAATTCACAGGCAGAAGGCAATGTACCAAGGGCTGACAGTGAGAAATTCTTCATCTCGAGAACGTCAGGAATTTCTTCATAATCATGGTCAGGGATTTCGGAATCTTCCACAATCCTGAAAACGCATGGAAAGTGTTAGTGATATTTGTTGTCAGAAGTAAAAAAAAAGAGAGAAACATAATTATTTTGTTGGAATTAGTTTGTACAACACCATGAAATTGGAGATTTTGGACTTCCGGGAAGTAAAGCTATTCCCAGCTTCCTGAATCCGTCCATGTTGAGCCCCAATATTATTCTTGCTGGCACCCGGGTACCCAGCCACATTCCGAGACCTTTACATTCACTACATTTCCCGTCGTTGTACACATGTACCTGTCAACATTCTCCCACCCACTTGCTGTCCACGTACTCTTTCCAGACAAGCATACACACAAACGTACAGCTCAGCCACCCAAAACAATACTTCCGTAACCAGAAGTAAACACTAATTATAAAGTCGACTCGCTAATGCTAGATGTACCAGCAAAGTTAAAAGTTTGTTGACAGAATAGAGTAGAGTACTTGCTCTTACCGTTTCTGTCTTCTGCGTTTGAAGATGAAAAACGCATTCACACTGCATGAGACAACAAGAATCGCCGCCACTGTCACAGCTACTATCGTGGACACTTGTACTTGAACGAAGCCCGTTTCTGTAAAGAAATTAACGTTGTTGTTACTGGTACTTTCGGAAATGGGGTGAACTTGAGAGTTGGTTTACAGTATGTGGGTGTGAGAAGATTGACAGACAGAATGACAGGAGGCCAAAAAGGTCAGACACAGGAATGTTTGGGTCTCCGAATCTGGCCAGCAGGAATTGGTGGTGGTGGTGGCGGGGGGGGGGGGTACTTAAATGCATACTAACTTACATGTAGAATTGCAATGTAGACAAATAAAGGTTTAATCATTTAACATCTGTATAATCACTTAACAAAAACAAGCATGTGCATTGGCCATGGATCACGTGACTCACCCGTGCAATAGGGACCCAGGACGTCGAATCGTCTGTTTTTCTGACACTCCACTGCAACTGCGCGTCTATCCTGGCATGTGACCGTCACTCGTTGACCAATGAGAGCGAGGGGCGGAGACACGGACACGACACGTGAGTCAGTGGGGATGGCTTCACAGCGACCAACAGCTTTGAAAAAAAACACACGAAAAAATACGTAATTCCCTGGTTAGTTATATTTGCAACTTTGTGACTTTTTGGTGTCACATGTACATGTACCTTATTCTATCTATATTCTTCACATGTTATATATTATATATACATATGTATCTATCTGTGTATGTACATTGGATTTTAGAATTTAGAATCAATTCAATTCAATCTGTTTTATGCATTGTTTCAAATTCTCCCGCTTGTTGATTAAATTGCCAAAATTGAATTTAAAAAAGTTTTTAACGGTTGAAAACTCTAACCCCACCTACACTCAGAGTAAGTTAGTTGTGACTTTTTCTTCAACCTACCATAATTGTTAAATTTAACCATATAAGAAACTCACCTTCATAACGCAGAAAGAATCTGCCTGCCTGCTGCTCCCCTTGCGGCTTTGTCCGGAACTGCACGCTGATGATATTGCTGGCACTAATGTATTCCACACTCGGATCCAGAGTCTTGTTTGGAACTTTATTGACTCTTTGTGATGATTCACTCTCTGTAATTATCAAACTGTCATCTGGGGACAGCTCGGAAAGTTCTAGAATTACCCTGATGACATTTTCAGGGTGGACTTGTATGTTCCAAGTACAGTTTTGGCTGGGAAGGTACGATTCAGGAAAGTTTGGAGAGTATATGGTTCCACTGTCATTGTTTAAATTACCGCCACAGGCAACAATAGAAGCTGAAAAACAATGTTGACAAATGTTTACTTCTCTTCTGTAGTACCAAGGTCAGGCACCAGGTGGCCCACATTTGACCTTAACCTTAGTCCTTCCAAGACGTACCCACATACCAAATATCATCACAATTCCTGAAGGCCTTCTTAATTTATGCTGACCACAAAGATGCACAGACACACTAGGCTAGATAAGTAGCAGTCTTACCTTCAATGAAGGCTTCAAACACTTCCATTTTCTGCGAGCCACTGAGTCCTCCACAAAACTGAGACTGGTCTCCGCCGCACGGTGCAGTGCAGTCAGAAGCCTGTAGTCGGCGCGAGACAGCAGTGTCGCCTTGAAATTGATCCCCACAACGGCACCCGTAACTGTTGACCACTCCTGCGTATTTATGTCCAGACGACGTACAGAACGCCAGGCAGCGTTGGACCGTCATTTCTGTCGCGGAAGTGGCCGGGCCAACCAGTACAGGGCTGTGAGGGGGGTTATCCTGGTAGCACCCCAGTGATATGGGGACTGTTGAGAACAAGAGGACGTGTAAGGGGGTTTTGAGATGCATGACATAGATCGTTTACTAAAACGCGTAGCTGTTACATTTAATTTACGTTACTACAAGAGTGCATACATGATAGTGGAACTACATGTATTTAAGTTTTTTTGGTACCACTATGGGATAGGATTCGTTCAACTAATGATTAATTTCCAGTGAAAAGTCAAGTTTTTCCGGCCTCAAATTTGGATGCCTTTAATTAGATATACAGTTTACACTCACCTGTAGCCTTAGCAACAGCAAGTACGGTCGTCTGTGCGATGAGACAAAACTTAACGATTGTCTGAAGGTTTCCCATCATAGTGGATATAGGATGTTTTCCTCCTATCACAATCGGACAGCCCTGTCTTCAGTAGCCTGGTAGCCAGACCGTCGTAGACTCGCCGGTATCTCTACGGTGCTCAGAGTGCTGCCCGTCCGCCCAGGTCCATTAGCGTACGCCGGGGGTGTTTTACGGGACCAGTTTCAACTACTTCGCCTATAAGAAATTTCGGCTGGTTGGAAAGATCGACTGCCAGAGGAAAGGCCTATGGCAAGAAACGGGGGTCGAAACACTCCAAAGCCGGCCCCTAGAGAATGGCCACCAGGCTATATCTTCAGTGTTCTTCGCCAAATAGCAACCCGCAATGTGTTAGGACCCGGTAATATACATCGTGCGATCGCAAAGTAATGGCATTCACGCAATAGTCATTCACATGTCCTACAAAATGCCCTGCTGTCTTGTTGTAGAAAAGGCTGTCCTAGACCCTTGTCAGCGGTTAAATATTGGTTCTGTCACAGTTTTTCTGAAATCCTAACCGCATCAGAATCGTGCGACGACCGACTGCAAATGTGCAAGTGAGCGCCAAGAAGCAACCGCGACGTGATAGCAACAACATTAATGACTGCCTATGACGTGTTTTTACCGGGAAAAGTACCCTCAAATCTTTTTCTAAGACACCGTTAACAAGCAGACTGATCTAGACCTTGAAAGGAAATGGTTGTTTGCTCAGGTAGGTGAGGTTTATATACTGCAAGGCGAAGATAGGATCTTGAGAGGACGGAAGTAAAAACAGGTGTCATTTAAGGACTGTCAATCTCCGTCTTCCGCAGGTGTCTCAGGAAAGACGTTCTAGTCCCTCAAAACTCTTCAACAAACACTTGAGACAGCTCATGTTGTCTATACCTGTTGTGATCATTGCTTCTAATAATATCAAACGTATACGTGTTCACAAAATGTGTCCGTCGTTTTTCAGTGGCACATGTCTAACACTAGCCTGGTAACCATTCCTCCCAGGCCCGCTAATGTGTATTTACCGACCCTAGTTCTTCTCTGACAACATATCTTTACAGCCTGCCTTTCTGATCATTGCGGAGAAGTAGTTGAAGCCAGCAGACCCGTCTAAAAAATCCCCGGCATACGCCAGTGTGGCTAGGCGGGCGGACAACAATCCAAGCACCGTAAAAATACCGGGAGCTCCCGTTGGTACGGTTATCGGGCTAGATGTTTACGGGTGCCGGAGACCACCTGTTTGCTTTTTTTGTTTTTTTATCTATTTACTTCACCTTATTTTTTCCATGTTTATTTTTTATCATTCATCGTCAGTGAAAAAAAAAACTTGCTGTGGTCTATTTAGCGTCTGTATGTGTTACTACACATGTAACAGTCGAGTTATCAAGACTAACTTGTACACTTTTACACAGGTACTCGTCTTGACCTCAGGTAACCTCTGCCCAGCAAACATGTCTACTTTCGGTACATTACGTCACGTCCGGTTGATTTCCAAAAGCTGCGCGGGAAAAAGCAATCTCTACTAGTACGAACGATCGCTGTTTTTGTTTACATGACATGCAAATTATTTAAAGACATGTACAAACTATCGGTAAAGTGGTTACTCTAAGATGAGTCTGACATTTGTACCTTTGTTCTACCTATCTAACAATTAAATGTTCTGAAAATAACCAACTGATGCAACTTTGACACAGCAAAATCTAAACGTGGAACTTTGAAAAGTTCTACATGATTGTGCACGTGGTGATCTTGTATCCTGGCAACTCACTGATACGGCAGTTGCATGCACAAAATACAGTTTCATAAACATTTAGTAACAAATCATTACTAGTATATAAAGCATATACAGTACAAGTGGCCAAACAAATGATGACATAAAACAGACCGATACCGTATCGAAGTCGTTGGTAAGATTGAATCCCCTTTAATTGCTGCCTAACCCCTCCCCATTCGAATTTGTTTATTTAAAATGACAGAAAAAATGCAAATAATGTTTCTACTCACTGATACAGAAGATATGAGGCCACCAAAAAGTCTTACGGAATTCCCTATATCTAAGACTAACTCTATAATAAATATTTGAGTTACACAATTAATTTTACTTTTTTTTACGTCTACAATACGGCAGGTCTTGTTACACAAAGATCTTCACATCTATATCGGCAGATGGCGCTGGCGATCAGTCCTCTTCCACCTTGGTAGGGCAGCACTCCTTGATCTCATTGTCGTTACAGCCCTTCCCGTTCCCGCAGCACTCGTTGTTCAGCCTGCTGCAAGTCGCCTGCAGGAAGACAGAGGCCGTCTTGATCCCCTCAGCTGAAGGAAAAAAACAACACAATGAATGAATGAATGAATGGAAAAATGAATGAGTAAATGAATGAATGAATGAATGAAGAATTGATAAATGAAGAATTAATGAATGCATGCATGCAGAAGGAAAAAGGAATGAATGAAAGAAGGGAGGAAGGAAAGAGGGAAGGATGGAGGAAGGGAGGAAGGAAGGAAGAAAGGAAGGAAGAAAGGAAGGAAGGAGGGGAGGAAGGAAAGAAAGAAAGACAGAAACTTATTCGAATGGCAAGTTAATGGCGAACGAACGAACTAACGAATGAATGATTTATCGGACAGCCACATCAATAAATGATCTTCTTCGTCCGTTAGAGCCCGGTTAGAAACGCCCGAATGAAGAATGCACACAATGAAGAAATATCTGCCTTTTTCTGTTTTTCAGGTTTTTCTGTCAAATTTTGCCATGTACCGTTCATAATAGGTGACAATTTGGTCATTACGGTCTGAAAATATTACGTAACGTCTTCACCTTGACACTTGATTGTTTTGGGTCGTGGGAACTTATATAAGCTAGTGAAGACGTCACAACCTATCTACCGTGGAAATCACCCTTAAGCGGTCAATGAAAATCTATATATATTGAAAGCTTCGCTTGTATGTATGTATGTTTACATGTATGTGTATCTACACACGAATGTTAATCTATATTTATATCTTGAAGACAGAGGATTGCCCCATATTGTGGGTTTAATCAATCTCCCATCGTGAAATACCCACCGGGAAACCTGGCTGAGGCGGCCGGCGTGAAAGAGCTCCTACAGCCCCGAGGAAAACCCGCCCCTACCACGATAAGACTGGACACCAGGCTACCTAAGCATGCTAACATTGGTCACTTACTGTAGGTGCTGAATTCGGATTTGCACAGGTTGTTGTAGGCGTTGGTAAGAGCCTTGTCGGTGTCGGTGTCGCAGCGAAGCGTCTTGTCGCCGCCGTCGCCGTCGTCGTCGCCGCCGCCCAAGAACCAAAACCCTCTCCGGTGCTGCCGCTGCTCCAGGGCGCGAAGCCGCTGCACGGCGGCTTTCAGGGCGTCCAGGTCCCGCTGGTCGGACGCGTAGGCCACGGTGGCAAAGATCACCACGAGAGCTACAACGGAAAGCTTCATCGTGCAGTATGTTGCATCCACTGACAGAAAATCTGAAAGGTTCAAGGGGGACGTATGAACGGATGGTGTCACTATCCTGTTCTGTACTACCGTTGTACAGCAATTCTACATCCAAATGCGCCCCTTCTATTTGTACCCACCCAGGTCTATTGAAATCTCGTTGCCCACCCTGGGGGCATTTTCCTCGGCGTAACAAGTACCCGGTCTTTAGATGAGTTTGAGTTTGATGAAAAACAAAAGGATATAACCTTACGTGAAATGTTTCGAAAATTATGAAATGATAATCCATAACTGCACAAACATCAGAAATAGATAGATTGATACAGAATCATTCACATATACATAAATGTACACGTATACGAGCGAAGCGTGTTATATAACAGATTTTCTGTGACCGCTTAAGGGTGATTAGACTGTTACATAATCACTTAATTGTACGTTAGACTGTTACATAATCACTTAAATATACGTTACCACGACCCGTAACAGTTAAGGGCCAAGGTGAACGATTTACGTTATATAAGCAGACCGTAGTACAACGACGTTGTCACGTATCACAAACGGTAGAAATCTTGAAAGAAAGACTTCAAAAATACCACAAAACAAAAAGGGCAAATATTTCTAGACTTGATTATTTATCACATTTATTTAGCACGTATTTTTATCCTAACTGGAAAACGCCATTATATAGAAGAAGAGTTATCACGACTTTTTCAACTATCACGTTTTCCAATGAAAATAAATTTACGTACTAAATAAATGAGATAAAAAAAACTAAACCTGTCTTTCTTGCGTGTGCATTCCCAGGGTAACCGTTAGCCGGTTACTTCGGTGGCCAAAAGCAGTACTCCCGCATATGTAAATTACCGCTACGGGGGGAATTGAGCCCGAAAGCATATACTGGTTCCGGATCCAAAGCTAAGTATGAATGAATGGTGTTGCTATCTTTCTGTACTAGTATTGTACACCAATTCTACTCCCAATTGCGTCTTGCACTCCATACCCACCAAGGAGGTTTACTGTAACTCCCTTCTCCATTCTTGTAGGAAAAAATGTTGTGTTTCTGGCATCTCGACTGCGCCTAGCTACCAAAAATACCATACTACCCTTTTTGGCACAAGGCCCTCAATTTTCAAGCCGAATTTCGAGCCCTGTAGCAAATTTTTATAGTGAAATCCATGATTGCGCAACTATCGGAAAACTACTGGAGCGAAAAGATTTATGATTGACAGAAAATGGTGTTTGGTTTGCCTTTAATTTAATTTGCCTCATAGAAATTTAACTGTCAGTGAGTATGTGTACATAGCGCAATAGCATGTAATTACTAGAGTTCCACGATCTCATACCTTCGCCAAATGATGTTAGCCCTTATGACTAAGAAATTATAGATTAATCCCCCTGATTGTGCAAATAGGATCCTACATTGCATCAATTATATCTGTTGATCATATTCTACACCAGAAGACAGTCTTATCTTATCAAAGGATGCCATTATAGCATTTCCTCATAAATTATGCAAATGAGGTCCTTATTTGAATAAATTATGTTTAACTATGTTCACCTTCACATAGCTTTCAAATATCCCAAGTATGAAATTCAAGGCAGTTACCACTATGTAATTATAACATTTTGTCATTAATTATGCAAATTAAGTCCTCATTTGCATAATTGATATCTGCCTGTATTTCTGCCGTTCTTAATTACATATGACACAAGCTTGAATAGTCCTTTCATGGAATGCGGCTGATTTATAGATTTTCCTCATTAATTATGCAAATTACATTAATATTTGCATAATTGTAATATTATTATGTCAAGCATCACTTCAGCTACCTACATGCCAAAAATCATGACGATCCATCAATCGGTTCTAGAGTTATCCGCCTTTAAACATTTTTCAACTAACGCCCCTGCAGTTCCAGAGCAAGCAGCTAGTGGGTCTAAACTCACGTCACTTCCTCCCCAGCACAAGAGCTACCTACCATCTAAATTTCGTCACCCTAGCATGTCTAGATCACGAGATATCAAAACCGGAAGTTCAGCTGCAGTACCATAACAAGCCGCTAGGAGGCCCAAAATCTAATCAGTTCCACGTCTCATGAAGACCTATCCACCTACCAAATATCAAGACAATCCATCTTAGCCTTCTTGAGTTATCGTGCTGACACACACACACACACACACACACACACACACACACACACACAGACACACGAACGCCCCTGAAAACATAACCTTCTTGGCGAAGGTAATAAAGATACCAAAATGAGACGATTAGCATCCAGGGTACTTAGTATCTCTATCTCGATTCACATTTCCCCCAAATCCTCCTTTTCACATGCATATTATTTATCTGTAGTCATGTAATTTCATATTATTGGACGTTTTGGGCATAATTCACATTTTTTTAAATCACATTTATACACCCATATAAAGTGCAGATATAGATTAACATGTGTGTGTGGATACAGAACCATCCACATACACACATACAACAAGCGAAGCTTTTTATATATTTTTCATTCACCGCTTAAGGGCGATTCCCACGGTAGATAGGTTGTGACATCTTCACTTTCCCACGACCCAGAACAATTAAGTACCCAGGTGAGCAATTTGCGTCATATATTAAGACCGTAAACATAATCAAGCTGACGCGTACTACTAACGGTGCATGGCAAATTTTGAAAGAAAAACTTGAAAAATAACACAAAACAAAAGGGCAAGTACTTCTATTCTTGAGTATGCATTCTTCTTTCTAACGTTAACCCGATCATATAATTACACTTGTTAACACCGTCTGTAGCTCTAACGGGCCCTTACGAAGACGAAGAAGACTCTTAATCGTCACTGTCACCCATTCATAGTCAAAAGAACTACATCCGATATCTTTTGTGAACGAAATTTCTATCATGAAAGTTAGAAAACCACTGTTAATGTCACATACCTTTGACTAGGCGTTTGTGCACCCCCGTTCCACGAAGATCTTAGCCAATTGAAAGATCCCCGCATACCAGTCCAACTAGTTTGAGAGGATACGTCACGGGTGATAGGGACGGTCCATTGTCTTAAGACGATGTCCATTCTCTTAGCGCGTACGGAGGCTTCAAAAAAAGTGAGTAGGCGAGGAAAAATTCTAAATGTAACACTTTAAACGAGGGAGAAACAAAAATCAGGCAGCCATCTTGAAATGCGAATGATGGCTTATCATTGACCTTCAGTTAGTGTACACTGGTCAACCCCCAACCAGGTATTGGTATGGGATGTGCAGTATTTGCAAGCCAAACGAAATCATTACCATAATTAACAGTACTATGTAACCAACTAAAGCCCTGTTCATATGAAGTCAGTGAAGGGGCTTTACATGTGGTTTCTCCCGAAGCCGCGGTTTGAACTTGCCCCAAATCACAGTGAAAGCGCCTCGATCCCAAACCACTTCTAGGCCGTGTTTAAGTGAAGTCACCCAAGGCGCTTTACATGTGGTTTACCCCGAAGCCGGTTTCAAGTGGCTCCATCTGAAAGCTCCAAATCACATTGAAAGCGCCTCGATCCCAAACCACTTCTAGAGGTGGTTTTTGGGAATCATTACATGTAAAGATATATTCAAATCTGTCTCAAGCATCGAGACTCTTGAAATATGTTGTACTTGATTCGAGAAATGTAAATAGTTTATTACGTAAAACGGCATGTTTAGTGCATTCCATAACAAAGTGAAATTCATTTTCAATATGCTTTGGACAAAATGGACAAAAACTTCGGTCAGGGGCTACATTGTAATATCTACCTGTTTCTATAATCAATTTATGGCTGCTGATTCTTAATTGAGTTATTGCTTTACGAATGTCAAAGTTATGTATATCATAAAGGTATGTGTTTCACCACACATAGTGTGATGAAGCCATAACAATATGTTTCACCACATTCGTGTGGTGAATAAGCCATGATTAAAAGCAAACAGTACTACTGGCGAAACAAATGATGACATGGATTCTCTCACATAAAAGAGACGTACTCGTACCGAATTAAAGTCTATGGTAAGAATGAATCCTCAGTGCTACGTACCCCCCCCCCCGCGTTCATGTACTAATAAAATGACAGAACAACACGCAATGTTTCTACTCACTGATACAGAAGATATGAGGCCACCAAAAGTCTTACGAAATATCCTATTATATGAACTTTCATCTAAGACTCTATAAAGCATATGTGCGATGCATTATTTTCAAATTTCACATCTTGTAAACACAAAGCTCTGCTGTGCAGTTCACATCCATATCGGCAGGTAGCGTTGCCGATCAATCCTCCTCTTTTTCTTCCACCTTTGTAGGGCAGCACTCCTTGATCTCATCGTCTTTACAGCCCTCCTCGTTCGTGCAGCACTCGTTGTTCAGCTTGCTGCACTTCGCCTGCAGGAAGGCAGAGGCCGTCTTGATCCCCTCGGCTGAAAGAAAAAAAAAAACAAGAGTTCCACGATCTCATACCTTCGACAAATGATGTTAACCTTTCCGGGTGACTCCAAACCTCCCAGAAGCATAACAACATTGCCGAATTAACGTTCACACAAACTGCAACCCCCCTAAAAAGCCCGAATCGTATAGCCTGCCATTACATAAATGACGCTAATATTCGTTACTTACTGTAGGTGCTGAATTTGGATTTGCACAGGTTATTGTAGGCGTTGGTAAGAGCCTTGTTAGTGCTCGTGTCGCACCGTAGCTTCTTGTCGCTGCCTCCCCAGAACCAAAACCCTCTCTGCCGCTGCTTCAGAGCGCGGAGCCGCTGCACGGCGGCGTTCAGGGCGTCCAGGTCCCGCTGGTCGGACGCGTAGGCCACGGTGGCAAAGATCACCACGAGAGCGACAACGGACAGCTTCATCGTTCAATTTGTGGTCTCCTCTGACAGAAAATCTGAAAGGTTTAAGCGGGAAGTATGGGCAGACATAAGACAGATCCCAACTATAAAACGCTTCAAGGCAGCTGTTAAACAGACCTCTGACCTCCAGTGATTCTTTTGACCTCGGAACGGAAATTTGGACACGATTATGGATCACGATTATGATTTTGACATTTTGGTTTGTATATTTCTGTTCAGCCGTTTATATATGTTGTATCGTTTGTTAACTTTTCAGTTATACTGATTTTCAGTTATACTGATCTCTGTTAACTTTTCTCAGTTATGTTACTTGATATTGCATAATTTACTTTTATACAAATTGCCTTATGTTGTGTTTATGTTATGTTATATTGTTTATGTGTCCCTAGGCCCTCTTGGAAATCAACAATTTTACTGTTGAATGAGGCCACCCAGGTGTTTACAAGATGAAATAAATAAATAAATAAAGTACGAATGAATGATGTTGCTATTCTTCCTGTACTAGTACTGTACACCTATCTGCCCTGATTCTGTACTCTCTATCCCCCCTAGAGGTTTATTGAAACCCAGTTGCCCAACCTTACGGAAAAGAATGTCGTGTGTCTGGTTTCCTGGGCGCGCCTACCAAAACCCCACCGTCACTGACCTTTTTGGCACGATGCCCTAAATTTTCAAGCTGAATTTCAAACTCTGTGAAACGTTATTTCACGCATTTTCATGAAAGAGAGAGAATCCCGACGACACAATTTTCTTTTGGACTGAAATCGGAAACGCGACCTACTAACTTCTTTTAATTACAAGTACTGGAGAATGTCATACTGCTACCACGTGTTTAGGTGTAACCTTAACACCTGGAATTCAAAATGACAAAACTGCTACAAGCATGTAATATGATGTCACTGAAAGTATGGCAAAGCCAAAGATCTTTCGTGAAATGTTTCGGAAATCGTGAAATGATAACTGCGTAAAAAGATTAAAATTGGAGCGGAGGGATTTTTTTGGTTGACAGAAAATGGGTCTTCGATTCTCTATACTTTGTCTCAGACGGAGCCATGATTTATGGGACAGAGATAAACGATGCCAAAATGGCGACGTTGGTTGTATCCCCCCTTTGACATGCATATTATTTATCTATTCCTAACGTTTTTTGCAAAATTCGCGAGTCACAAGCACAAGTCACAAATTCATAAGCAAAGCAAATTGTCAGATATAGATTCGTGTGTAGATACAGAATCATTCACAATGTACATGAACACAGATAACCAAGAAAGCTTTTTATAGGTTTTCCGTGACCGCTTTAGGCTGATTCCCGCGGTAAATAGACCGTGACATCTTCACGTATGTACGTTCCCACGATCCAAAACAATTAAGTGCCAAGTTGAAAAACTGACGTTATATATTCACACCGTAATATAGCCAAGGTGGCACCTTTTACGAACGGTACATGGCAAATTTTGAAAGAAAAACTCTAAAAGAACACAAAACAAAAAGGGTAAGTCTTTCTTGTGTGTACGTGTGCATTCGTCATTCGGGCGTTGTTTCTAACGTTAACACACGGTCATAAAATCACACTTGTTAACACCGTCTGAAGCTCTAACAGGCCTTAAGAAGACGAAGAAGATTCCAAATCGTCATTAGCACCCATTTATAGCCAGAAGTATATACAATATCTTTCATGAACAAAATTTCTTTAAAAAACTACTATTAATGTCACATACCTTTGACTAGGTGTGTTCCGTTCCACGAAGCTCTAAGTCAACTGAAAGATCACCGCATACCAGTCCAACCAGTTTTAGAGGATGCGTCACGGGTGATAGGGACGGTTCGTTGTCTTAAGATGGTAAACACTCTTGACACGTACGACGGCTTCAAGGAAGGAGTTTGGCGAGGAAAAATTCTTCATGTAACAATTTTAATGAGGAAGAAATAAAAATGTGGTTAAGGCACCAGGCAGCCATCTTGAAATGCGAATGATTGTTTATTAGCATTGACCTCCAGTTAGTGTATGTACACTGGTCAACCCCCATCCAGAAACATTGGTATGGGGTGTACAGTATTTGCAAACCTAACCTACTAATTACCATAATTAACATACCGCTACCATGCAACCAACTAAGGACTATTATTCAAGCGCGAGTGTGTGTGTGTGTGTGTGTGTGTGTGTGTGTGTGTGTGTGTGCGTGCGTGCGTGCGTGCGTGCGTGCGTGTGTGTGAGTGAGTGAAGAATATTCTATTCACTTTCAAAGGAGAACCGAAATGGGCCTGAGTATATGGAATACACCCAGAATGTTGAAGAATGCACTTCAGATAGCCTGGAGTATATAAACAACACACCTAAATTCTCGGAAAAACACACCTACTTTGGGTGCGCACATGCCTAACTTGGGTGCGCAACGTGCGCACATACCTAATTTGGGTGCGCACATATCTAAACTAGGTGAGCACATACCCTACTACATGGGAGAATGAATAGATATAACGTTACTAGTATCGTTTTGCTGTTGTAGGCTTTAGGTTTAGTCAAGTCACAGTGAGAGGTCCAGTGAACTTAAGTCCACTCTCTTATCATACACATTACCCGACCCCGGGAAACTCCCTTTTTTTAACCCTTCACCACGATTCATTGTTTTAGTAGGATTATTGCTCTATGTCTGTGTTTCTAATCTCCACGCAGGTGTCTGGCGGCAAGAGCGTTACGGTTAGAAAGAATTGACCATCTAGAAATAGTCCTCGGCCCGCAACGCTTTGCCGTCAGACATCTGCTTGGAGATTATATGTTCTTGGAACACAGAACATTCGAACGCCAGAATCTATGACGTCATAAAAGAACGCCGTTCTAGAATCTAAAAAAAACGTTCTGTTTGGCGTCGCGACGTTTCGTATGGCCGCCATGTTGTTCGTGTCTAGGTCCCCGCGTCTTCCGACCACCTTCCCGATCCTCGTCGTTGGTTTCTTCTTGTTTGGGAACGTCCGAGTTTCCGCCCTGGACCACGACGGAGGCCACGTGTACATACCGACTCATATCACGGCTAGCCACGGGTGCACCAGGGGAGACTGGTCGGCCTGGTCGCTGTGCACGTAAGCGCCCGGTCATATACAGTCGCACGACCGTCGTACGCTCGCAAAAGATTGTCTCAAGCTTAGGGTGTTGGTATAGGGTTTATTGCTAAAATGTTTATAAACTTTTTTTCGACCGTTAGGAGTATAAATGGAAAAGCTTAAAAACGATAGTCGCGATTTTATGCTTGTGGTTAGATTCGGACCCAACTTATAACTTTGCAAGAATACGAATGAAACAGTTAAATGGACAAATGGACAGAAAAGACCGATTCCATAACCCCGCCCCTCGCCGACTCTCTCATTGGCCGATTCACTAATTGACACTCTATCTGCATGCCATTGGTTGAACTAAAAAATGCTGACGATACAGTATACGGATCGTTAAGTAAAGTGCTTATCTCACAGGGACCAATGCGGTGGGAACGGTACCCAGTACCGGAGGCGGCACAACAGCTACCACTGCCCGCATCACAAGGATTTGGTGTACCGGCAGTGTAACCGGCGCTGTTACAACGGCGGGGAGCTGACCGACTACAGCGGTTCCTGTGACTGTCCTGACAACTTCGACGGTTCCTGCTGTGAGACGTACGGTACGCTCAAACTGTTGTTCACAATTCCCCAATAGTTATATGTACCTCCTGGTATGGAGGTGTTGCTTTGATTGTGTTCGCCTGTGTCCGTAGCTAGGAATTTGAATGCAGTAGGAAGTGGCAGGCCTAGGAAAGGCGGTTGCAACCGCAGATTGACCTTAAGGTTAAGTTGGCAGTCTCCTGTTCTCACTTCAGGCTGAGAGGAAGTGGGTCACACAGTTACAGGGGATGTACCCACTCAGAGCTTGTCAAAGCAAGCTCTTTAAATTAAGCCTACTAGGTTCAAGTTTAAGAACGCGGTCTAAAGTAACCATCTGTCCACATAGACAAGATTTTGGCGGTCCACGTAAGTGGTCTTCTTGTGTGCTCTTATTTTAACCGTTACTGTTGTAGTAAAGGGCCTCTAGATATTCTCTTACTTCAGCCACCGTTGGCTAATCTCACTTACTGTTGGCGGTTGTACTCCAAGCACCAAAAATGTATGCGGTAAATTGACAGAAATAAATACGCCCAAAACTGCATAGACTACACGATGTTGTACATTCCCATGCTAGAAAATTAGCAACGCTACACATAGTCAACTTCGGGGACTGCGAATTTTGTCACAGTCTGCACTTGTAATACCCTCAGAAAAAAGTATCAGACAACACGTAACCATTGCCCCCCTCCCCACATGCCAAAGTTACATGCATTCGTCCTTGTTTTTGCGGTTTCGAATCTAACCCCTTCTCGATTCCGTTCCAACTCGTGATTAGTTAAATCCAGCACCATCCTACCTTTTTCAGAAGCAGACGGCGGTTGTGGAACCAAATTATTCCCTCAGAAGCGTCTGACGTGTTTTCTTGTCATTGCAGACGACATTTTCAGAATCTGGCGGCAAGGCGTGACGTCATAGACCAATGGCCAATGGCGGACAAGATTATCCCTACCTCGTACCCAGGATAGTATACAACGCCTGTAACATTAATCTACTGAGGCCCTGGGTACGAGCTTAGGGATACCCATTTCAGCACCAAGGACATCGCCAGTTACTGTTATTGACAGCCATTTGAATGTATTTTCCATCGAAGTTATAATGTTTCGTGATGGATGATGGATGAGATCTGCGTTATTGTAACTTAAATAGCCACTAACTATTTAGATATGTAATCATGTGATACATAATATTTTATACTGTTATAGTTGAACACAGTGCAAGATGATCAGACGGCAGCGCATATGTTGATCGTCTTGCACAGTGCAGCTACGATTACTACATACCACCTTTGTCTGTGTAGATTCCTATGTTTAGATACCAGAAGGAATCTATGCTTACCTGTATCTTCTTGCAGCCGTATTATGCCAATGAATGCCTCGCATCAGTTTTTCTTTTCCTTATTTTACAGATGATTCCGTGGCCGTCACATCGTTTGATTGCTACTCCTGTGACGAAGCATACAGTTCGCAATCAACTTGCCTGAAAAACCCAACTTCTATGCCTACCGTTAGCTGTAACACCACATGCTTTGTAAGAACCATCTTGCTTTTAAGTTGTTAACCTTCTCCCTGCTGTCTAACCCTGTAACCAACAGAGAATCGGTAGCCCAATGGCTACTTGGTGTCCTAAAGGTTAACGGACATACATGTATTACGTAATTAAGTCAGTTTGTCACTGAAAAGAATGCCGGTGCACGTTATAGTCTATCTTTGTTGATATTGTATACTTTCATAAAGGTGCATTGTTGGTTTTATTTCCTAAAGTTGATGTGTATTTCACGTTGTATATTTTGCTGTCTGGTGTCTAAGTGACGATTTCTTGGATTTTATGGCCAGTTTTATGATCAACATGACAACCTGTTGCTTGCATTGCGCATCAATACTACGCTAGGTGGAGCTTACGCTGTCAGACGACGATCCCGATGCCGTCACTCACATCAAGCGGGGTTGTAAGTCTGTTGCCGAGGTTGAGGCCGGACCGTGCGTTCCCCAAGCCTGTCCCAACGCCGACTTCCACCCCTACCACAGCGTCCCTGACAACGGCACATGCGCACTGTGCTGCGGCACCGACCTCTGCAACCACGGCCTCCCGCCAAGCAGCGCGGCGGAAGTGACGCACAACATCGTTTCCGCTATACTGATGCTAGCAATAGCATTGCTGTTGAAATAAGCTCAATGCTCGAAATTGATATTTTAGTTAGATTTTATTACTGATTCCATGTTTACCTTCACTGTAAAGGTTGCTGTTTACAAGAAAGATAGCACATCAATGTTACAATATATTTCATTTATACAATCGATATAGTTTTAATGTGCTGTCTTATACCTTTTTTCCAAAACTATGTAGACTATAGAAATAACCAAGGCACCGGCTAAACTTTAAATGACACCAATTTCTAACTATTCGTAAATACAGCTTTTCGTTATAAGTGATAATCAAATACAAAGATCTTGGGTCAATGTTTGCTACACAGAAAGCCTTGCCACCACATGTTACAGACACGTTAGTCTGGGTAAAAGCCTTTTCGGATGCTGTCCTTGGTACTATCTGGCACATCAAACCCTTTCCCATAGACGCCTGTATCACCGGAGAGTACCCAGACTAAGCCTCTTCAGTTTCCCGCTTAATTCTCTGTTCTAAGCGCTATTTCGAGAAAATTCTCTGTATGTTTCGAAAAGCTGATTGTAGCTGATAAAACTTTCCAAAAATCCAGAAGAAATAAAAACACAAGGCACTGTTTTTAGACGCCCTGAGTTTCCCGGCATCTAACTCGTTGCTACATATGTTTTGTATAAACAGACCTTTGTTAAAATTAATCAAAAGAGGACATGTTACCCGAAACTCTTCTGTACATATGAGTAGATATTTACATCGATAAAAATGTCACCAAGAACAGCGTTCACTTGGGTTATCCCATTCAAAGTAAGGGGGCGTCACCAGACCCAGATTTTCTTCGCCTTCTTCACTCAAGTTACTTTGTCTTTACATAACATATTTTTGTCCGTAACACCGTATCCTCTCTTTAGATAGAACAGAAAAGGGCAGGAAGGGAGGTTTAAACGTCTGGTTATGTAGTCTTCCTTTTTATGATTATATGCATTTAGACATTTCAATTCAGACAGTTCAATTCACGAATGAAATCCATATTGTTAATAGTGTTTTAGGTTGCCTTAAAACATCAGTAAAGCCTTTACGAATTGAGTTTTATGTTATATAAAGAATAAACTGAAAGTATACAATGCCCGTCTGATATTTTTTTTCGGCTCCCTTCCATTTTGCCTGGATATAGTTGCAAAAGATAAGCAACAACAACAACCAGACGTCGCCGATGTATTTTTTGACGCCTTTCTTGTTGTCTCTAACCAGCGGTTGTTGGTCTGTTGTCCGGGTTGGGCGCTTGAAGAGCCTCCTCGTACGGAGGGGGAGGTTCATCACTGTCTGCGTACGGGTCGCACAGAGAGGACCGTTCAGTGATGCTATCGTCGTCGGCGGCCGCTAGAGAAAAGAACATTCGTTATCTTATGGGGTCTTTTATGATAAATCATACACGAATGAAAATGTAAACGTAAGAGATGTAATTCTAATTTAGCCGTTGAGGAGTTATCTCTTTCTCTCACCTCTTCTGTCGTTTCCGGTTGAAACCGCATAGGGCGGTGGCGGTCGGGCATGATGGGAAGCATAGGCATTTCCGTATCCGGTCTCTACGTCACTTCCGGGCGGGGATATATCCGTATCGGAGTCATCATCGTATCTTCTTGGCACTGAAAATGCAGAGTATGCATAAGAAACTTCAATCTGCAATCCTCGTGCTCTATTCACTTCCTTCCAGATTCTGGTGAGACCATTTTGACCTCCTGTCAGTCTGCGGTTACACCATTACCCCATTCACTTCCTGTGGCTCTAGTGATTATAAATAACCACGGACAGACAAACAGCAGACCGAAAACAAAACCTCCGTCCACAGAGGTAATGATGAACTCACCTCTTGGTGCTGACAGCCTCCTTGTGAACTTGAGACGGTCGCGGTAGAATTTCTTCATGATGACGATGAAGATACCGATGCCCATGAAAATAGCGACGATGGTGCTCAACATAACCCTGAAAAACAAACACATAGCTTCTTCTTTGCTGTTCATGTGTACTAAACTTCGCGTTTGTACATTGGACTGGGAAGTGAATTTTTAACCATAGCAATCGGCTCCGTCTTGGAGGCGTCACCAAAAACATAGAGGTCACAAACCTTACGTACATACATACTGAATCTGTACCATTAACTATTAACCAAAGAAAACAGTATAGCGGATTAAAAAAAAAACTTTTAACATAGTGTAGTAGAGGTAAGACCATAAAGAAATACAAATACTAAGATGTATACATTGGATATTCCTCCTCTCGTAGTCCCTTGGCTCCGGGGCCTCCTATGGGGTTTTCGCAACACCTGAGTGTGTCCGGAACCTTCAGGCAGCAGCGGGTGAAGTTGCTGGGCTGGTTGGGCTGGGGGCACTGCCACCCCTGCATGAGCCTATCGCTGTGGTAGTGGTCGGGACACCTGCCCTGCACGTCCAGTATCACCCGCTCCATGGCGCTGCTGAGTTGGACGGGGAAGGAGATTAGCAAACGCACGCACACACACACACACACACACACACACAGACAAACACACCCAAAGCAATACCTCCGTCCCCTGAGGTACTTAAAAATTATCCCATGTTTATAGCGGTCCTTGGGCACAAGAAGATATGAGGGACGCGGTCACTTAATTCCCAGGCAACACATACGTCTTCTAAGGAATGTAATCTTTAAAGCTATCGCTCACTTAAAGACACCGCTAGAGGTACACTTTAGTGCATTATATACGGTGGCTCTACCCTCTAACTTGACAACGGTATCGATAAACCTACGGGCTTTGAGACATATTTCTACAGCTTATTGGATCAACTGCGACGTTACGCACAGGATTGCTGGCTCCTCGCGCCCAAGTGGAGGACCGGAACCTAATTTGTACGGATTTAGTGCCAAGGCCGCAGCAAGGGAATTGTATGAATGGCAGGCAGGCGTGAAGTGACTTTCCTCTGATCAATTGGAAAATAACGATTTTTTAGTGAGGTATCGGTAGCCATACACAAGTAAGGCACATGTACATTTTGCGATGAGTGTAGTCTAGAAGTGACACTAGTGTAGTCAAGGAGGCCTTCTCGGTGTAGTGTAGCCTTGAATGTAGTTGTAGAAGTGACACAAGTGTAGTGTATAGCCTTGAGTGTAGTTGTAGACGTCATTCTAGGCTACCACAATACATCTCTTAATGCAATTCTTGAATACAGGAATAAAAAAGGCTAGCTTTTTGGCTGTAATACTTGTTTTGTTGACTAAATTCTTGTTACAATGTTCACAGTCTCTATTTCGAAAATCCATGCATCTTTTTAACGATCTTGGTTTTTTTTTTGCGCTCTCACATTTATAGACTTGGAATCTGTTGAATATGACAACCATAAAAAGTATTTGCTGTGCCCCCTGTGGCAAAAAATCGATATGGCTACAGTGGAATATGATTTGTAGCCGTGATACATGTATGTGTGCGGGCTTTTAGTTGGATATGGTTTGTATGTGGGGTACGTTTTGTGGCCGGAGGCCATTTAATCTAATTATATTGCCTTGTTCCATTGCGTTCTCTAGGCACTTCAACATGAACCACAGCTTTTTTAAAGTCTATTGTCTATCCAAAGAAATAGCATACTAAATTTATATCGTCTATTTACAGACTCCTCTTGACAATTTCGGTTGATCATTTGTCATTGATTGTGTCGTAAACCTGACGTCATACTGTCGACAGCCCGTGGGTCGAATTTTCAGATCGCCACTACTAAGGTCGCTGACTTAACAAAATATAGGACCAATTTCTACTCGCCTGCCATGTTTTCTGTCTATTAATATTTTGGCCAATTTCTAGTCTTTCCAGCCGCTTCTAAAGCTTGGTAGAGGCTATCGCCAGGCCTCCATCTGGGTGATTTGTAGTGAATCACCTTGGAAGGTCAAACAATTTATATCGCACAGATTACGTCACGATTTCCTGACACAATCCTGGTTTATGTTCTAATGTATCATATACTAAATAATTCAAACCTAAATGTACAGAAAAAGGCGACACAGTATCAGCTGACATATGACAACATGAATATTGTGATATTGGCTAATCCTATAAATTATTTCATATCTTTGTAAACCTCTGAATATTTTACAGTAATGGCAAATTCAAAATCAATATAAATCTATCTTGATTCCCAATTTATCGTTTTTCCCAATTACATAACATGCAAAAAGAGGTCAATATAATTGAATCATAGCGCTAAGCGAAACACTAGTTAATCTCCAAGAAGATATTTTGGTGGTTGGTTGACAGTAATATCAAGTTGGAACCCTAGAAAAAGATGAAAAAAGAAACAAGAAAGTCCGATAAAATGCCTTTTAACACCTAAAAAAAAAAAGCCCAAGGCCAAACCACTGCTTGGAGAGTTAACACTACTATAGTGTTTATTGCTGCTTCGTTTAAAGTACGCCGTTGTTAGAACCCGGTTAGTCAGACGGCAATAATGTAGAAGAATGTGCCTCGGGCTCTGAGCAACCGGTGACTTCGGAGTAGTCTATTATTAAACTGCTTCGTGCGTTTCAGATGTGACCAAAATTTTTAAGCTTACACCGCCCCTTGCCCCTACATGCCTGCAACCATTCGACAGATCGCTCAATGAATTTCATACACTACACAAAATCCATTCTTGAAGAACACCTTAACAATGCGTAATGGTTCCGTTTCTCCTCTTTTATGTATGTTTACATGCAAGATTTTTTTTACTTAAAGATTTTATCGTGTACCCTTTATTTAGGATGTGCTTAAAGCTTGTTATGTGTTTCTTTCAAATCATACATGTACTAAAACATCGTGCATCATACACCAATTATAACATCAAGGGCCACACAAATCACCTAGTAGGAAGACGGCCTTATACAATCATATCATTGAAACCAAGCGCGGATTTTGGGTTGACAGCGTGGGAAATAGAATGTTTTTCATCCGGGTGGATAATTCTAAAATAGAAGAGGAAACGTAGCTTTAACCTTAATTATCTGTAATCATGATGTTTGAAAAAAAAATGAAGCCCGACTATTTTTAGATTTCGATCGCTTTTTCTTAAGGGTGACCTACTTCATAAAGAATAAACCAGTTAAATTTGAGTGTATCAGTTATCCTATTTCATAAAAAAAACTGGTCAAATTCAGCTATCATAACAAATTCCCTCTAAAAGGTAATATGTATATACTATAAATATACCAGGTAAATGTATACAGGGACAGCACTTGTCTACGCCACTACAAAGGTTTTTCTCCTGACTGTTCTGTTGAGTAATTTATTGCTTGAAGGCATATTTCGTCACAAAAGACGTCGGATGGTCTTATTCCTACACAACCAAAAGGCAAAAAATCCAGCATTTCGATTTAGTCAAATCTTCAGTATTTCACAATGATCCACAATCTTCCAGTAATGACAAATATTACGGTATCATAACAAAAACAATCCACTACAAAAGATTGAATTGGAAAGGAGAGACATTCAAAGGTACACGTAGTCTTACCTGTATGGTAGTGTCTCTTCTTGATGCTAAAATGTATTTTTAGGGACCCCCTCTAGGCTTATGAGAGTTCAGTACTGTGTAGATGCTTTCACAGCAATATTATCCCGGTAAAAATCGTCCAAAGATCACGTTTGATGTTAGAATTTGAGCAGGATCATCCTTGCTATGTTTCCCTCCGCCTGCCGTCCGCCATGTTGTTGAGTGCGTCACGGTGGTGTGACTCCCGTCGGGCCAGTCTTACCGGTTCACCGACTCCCGCGGGACCGTCTCTCACCTGAGGTAAATCAGACGACAAAATAAACACACACAGCAACCGCCCGATATCCCGCTTTACTCTGCATATTCTGAGAGAAAATATGTTCAATTTTGAACAGGTTTTCTTCCACGTATTGGTTCTTGCTTTCAACAGCGATTGTTTTTTTTTCCGAGCGAGAGGATGTGCATCATCACTGGAGACAGGTGAAAGGGCACAGGATGGGCCATTGATTGTACAACAGAATACCTCTCAAGAGTGCCGCCTGGCGGTTTGATACAGTACAACAGATACGTACTTTAGAGTATCTTGAAAGAATCAATGCAATTGCAACTACTAGTATCATATCTTTGCCAATCAGTTGAATATTCAAACGACTATGCAAGAAGATATTCTTACTACAACCCTTTTTCCATATTTTATAATCAAGATAAGTGCAAGTCCGGTATCATATACTGACTCATTACTGTATTCAGAAATCCTTTTTTTTACAAAACCAGTTAAAATTTTAATGTTGCTATTTTTCTCTTCAACCAACCAAAGGTCCATGTCCAACAAATACCTTTTTGAACCTCACATTGAAGTTTTGTACATGCATAATGGTTCAATTCCTACAGGTAATATAACCTATTAGGTAGCTCTATATATAGCCGGCTAACTCTGGCAAATTATTTTCCCTCTATGGTCAATTTCTACTGTAGTTTTGTAGGATCCACAATTAGCATACATGTACATGACAGTACATGTACGATGGGTTGTTGATCCACTGTGTGTAGGGCACTGTATTGGAAAGCAGAGCCCATCCCAGTCTCCTTCCACCGGCTTTTACCTCCCCAACCAAAGTCAGGTACCCATTTGACACCGAGGTGGAGTGAGGAAAGTTGTGTAAAGTGCCTTTCCCAAGGATGCTAGGTTGAGCCAGGAATGCAAGGAATCAAACCCATAACCTCTTGATCATGATCTTCTGTCTACTTGATGCCACATAAACCCATCAAAATTTTCCTGTCTAAATCAGGGGCCAGCCATTCAAAAGAAGAACCACAAAGACAGATACAGTTTTCATATTTATTTTTTTCCAATTCATCTGTTTCTCAGAAAACATCACAACCTAGGTAATGAATCCAACCAAGATCAGACAAACCTTCATCCAATAAAAAAACGTTAACAGCTAATCTCCAAATGTACAATCTTTTACACTGCAAAACATGTTTTGTTTCACATTAATTTCAATGATAAAATAGTCGAAAATTAACATTTTACATGTATGTAAAGAAATCAATCAATTCCATACTATCAAAGCCAGATAGTTGCTGATGCAGCAAACTTAGCTAGAAGAGCACCTTTTTTTATCATAAATACAATGTTAAACTTTCAAAACTTAAAATTTTAAGGCAACCAAATAATTTTAGAAATAAAGTAATTGAAATAAACATTCAAAACTCAAATGAAAAGTATAATAGAAATCTCAACATTGAGAAACACATATTAATACATTTGTACATTGAATTCGCTTGAAATATACTAAAAGCAGCACTGTACAAGATAATAGATGCTTCTAATAATGTTAGTTTATACAATGTTCATGTCGTTTTATCTTTGACACAAAGACCTAATAAGTTATTAAGATTGCACTGTCCTTATAGGTAGTGCTCCATCACATATATTTTTGTATTTCTCTCCAAAAAATGACAACTTCAGAAGTAAATTTTTCGCAGATGGGTTATATACAATGTTTCCACATAAACACACATGTTGCAACATTCAAAAATTATTCTTGGACGTTTCACAAAACAGACAAGAACTGAGAGCACAACAAATGAAAATTTAGTTGCTTTACAATAGATTATGTCATGGGGACAGCATGAATATGGGTATGGACGTTTTGATATATCCTATATTATTGTTGACATCTATATACAAGCATACATTTGTATGAAGGTACAATTAGCATGCTAAGCATTCAAGATAGTTTAGTATATGTTTTTTACCATCTACCAAGAAATTAAGGCCTTGAAATATTGAAAATTATGTGAGATACACCATAATTTGTGTGTTCCACAATGATTTGTTCAACTACACTGAATATACAAACCTGACTCAATTTTATGCCAAAAATGTTTTGATATTTCAAACATATGACTACCAACTTTTCATGGTATATGGCTTCCAAAATCAATGAAAATGACAAACTCTAGTAGTAGCATTTCCTTTCAACCATCAGTTCCAAATTTGGGCTTACACAAAATTTTCTTCCAAACAAGTTGAAGTATAGAACACTCATGCTATTATGGCCTTTTTTTCACAAGGTCACAAAAAGCATTTCGTTACCTGAATACATAAGAAATGGCACGTTAAAATGGACTATCTGATTAACAATTAACAAACTAATGACAGGTTATTTTACAATAATTACAACATGCCAGTAGTCTAATTCCAAGTTGCCATACTACCATCATTAATCATTGATCTTTGTATACTAATAATAACATCCGATTTGACTGCTAAAATTGCTACGTTTCTTAGAACGAGGCATTCTTCCTAACTGATCCGTGTTGTGCTTTTGGGGAGGGCGGGATCTTAAAATTCCCGCTTAGCGCGGACATTGGGCCGGGAGACGCGACAGAACTCACTCTGTACCCCGTCCCTAACATCACGGTACTCGGTAACGGCCCGCTCGGTAGTGACGACGTTGTGGTAGTTGTTGTTGTAACAGCACACGTCGATATCATACTCCCAATGTCCATTTCTTTCACCTTGTTGACAATGTCGTATTTGGAGTTGTCCGTGCTGCTGTTTCCGTTGGGTGATGTCATCATCATGGCACGCGCCAGCTTGCTCGCGAACGTCGTGGAGTTCATACCTCCGTGTGTGAGGATCGGAGCAGATTTTGTAGGTGAGTTGGGTGGAGTGGGGGGCGGTTTGGGCGCTCCGACCTTGAGGTTGATACTAGCATTAGAGGGCAAGTTTAGATCTAAGTCGATGCGTAGCTTCTGCCTTGGCAGCGACGCAGATGATGAGGGTGTGGTCTGCGTCGAGACTTTCAAGTCTACGTTTAGTCTCTCCGGTTTTCGTGTGACGGGTTTCATGGCTTGGATTCCGCGCTCCTTGAGAAGTTTGGCGAGTCCGGTCGTGGTGCTGAAGGTGCTGGTGGCCTCGCGGAGGTTGGAGCAGGAGTTGGAGATGGAGGTACGACGGAGGGTGCCGACCGCGGGGGGCTGACTACGCAACATGCTGACTGATGGCACGGGTCTTCCTGAGCTGGAGCTGTGCAGAAAAAAAAGAACACCAAAATTGTTAAAATCTATGTGTAATTTAAAACATTGATTCCTGTTTTGATAAATCGTCCTACGATTCCAATATCATAGTAAGTGTTGTCCAACCAGTCTGTGTGAATCTTGTGATCTTACTTTGACCTTGAGCTGCAACAGCATACTTGACATTGACCTTCAATGTCCTACGATTCCAATATCATAGTTGCCAAGCCTGTCTTTCTGAACTTAACAATTTTTTTTGCATCTTTAACATCTGTTTTGATATCTTAGTTTGACCTTGAGCTGAGAAAATGGCATGTTTGAGCTCAAATTTGAGACACTCCAGTTGACTTTGACATTGACCTTCAACTTCAGTATGGTAAAGTTTGACCAGTAGGAAAACGGTGCCTGTTACGACACTGCACTCCTCTTCAACACACTGCAAAACCCACCACCGTTAGTAAGAAGTGAGGGGTGTGAAAGAAAGTCAAATCTCTGTTTTCCTTGTATCTGTATACCTTCACACCTGACCAGTTAGTTGAAGAGAATACTGTTTTAAACCAGTGGTACCTACAACAAAGATGGCTTTGACAACCATCTTCTCTAGCAAAAAGGGAAGTAGTTGAAAGAGTAATCAGAAGTAAAGAAGTCAGTCAAATAGTCACACACCAGTGAAGCTAGCTGCAAGCAAGCCAGCATAAGATAAGCTGCAGTAGAGTAGGGATCCGCCTACAAACTACATGTAGTGTTGTGCACCGTTCACTGTAGACCCAAGGGTGATATTTGCTGTGTAGAGTGGGGGTTTGAAGTGGTTGTTGACTTGATTGTGTAAACACATGCAGTGTATCAAACAGCATGCAAAAACCTTTTTGTTCTACAAATGGCATCTACATGTATGAGTTGCTGAGCTCACTAAAGGTACTGTAAAGGTGATTAAAAGCATCTAAATTTATACATGAGCAAGCCAATCTGCTCATTAAAAAAAAGTAAGTCCATGATAGTCTTGTTAAATCAAGTTACTACATGTACAAGTATGTTGTAGTTAATAAGCATTTGAATTACAGCCATGGAACCTCTGTTTCATAGGATGTCACCCTAAAATTTGGAAAGAGTACAAATTTTTGTTTTTCAATCAAAAGTTTTGCAATCTAAGGAATACAGTGCATATTTAAAGCAGTTGCCATAGAAACTTGACTTAGAAGCACTGAAGTTGTAATATGATAACCAACCCCCATCTGTACCTGCATATCACCCTGTGGATTTACATAGACCAGTGCATCTTTCGGACCTATAATGGATATACATACTGCCGGGGTGTGGCCAGGGCATGCAGCCTGCCTGTGCTATCTGACTGAAGCGGCAAAGTACCTTATGGCACAGGCTTGGCAGAGACCAAGTACTAACAGGTCCCAACCTGAGGTCTTTAAATACCTAGGAACATAAAATGATGTTACATTTGAAATAAAAAAAAGTGGGTTGGGAAAGGGGGAGGGGGGCACAAAAGCTTGGTGTTCACATTATTTGAAGAGACAAGGGAGATCGAGTAACATAAAATATGTTGGAATGATGCAGAATGCTTTGGATGGGGGGGGGGGGCGTCTAGGAAGCTTTCTCAGCTAGGGCATAGATATAGCAAAGGAGAGACGTTTTTTCAAAGGAGCAGTATATATCATCTCAAGTTATCTCAAGTTCAAACTCAAAGATTGTTGAAGGGACTCAAGATTGTTGACAGGAAATGAACATAAAAAATAGAATTTTGCACAAAAAAAAACTGTGTGAGTGAGACTAGAAAATAAAAAATGGCAAAGACCAGAAACACATGAACTGGCGCCAGCAATGTAGAATTCTACATGCATTTAGAGTTTGCTATCAGCTGAAATGTTTTCCACAAAATATGGACAGTCAAGGACAGAAACAAAGTTCCTCAGAACTCTTTCATCCAACAGGTGGTCATTGCAGCAAAGCAAGATGTCCCTAATTTGTGTTCAAAGTCATGTCACATGTGCTTATACATGGACACTATTGTTATTGTAAGAAAGTTTTTGCATATATTCTGGATACAAGCAGAAATACATCATGGGGGCAGGAGCGGGAGGGGGGCAAGCAAAGCACAGGATGACAGTGGGGAAGAAAATGGGAAAGGAGAGCTACATGTATGTGGACAAACTTGATAAAACTCCTGCTAAAATAAACTAAAAGGACAGAACTCTATACTGTTTTTCTATCCTAGATTTGTTTCAACACTGCCTACAATGTGTGACATGCAGTGCACACTCACATGTCTACTGCAAATCAAAGAAACCTGACAGAGAATGTAAAGTTTTGCTTACTTAGAGGTCCCAAATCTGGGCAAGATGTACCAAGCAAATAAGTAGGAAGCAGAAACTGAGGTCTCCATGACTGGGTAGAACGAAGCAAGATAGAAAGAATGAAAGAACAACACCAGAAAAACAACATGCTTTGTTTTAAAGAACCAAACGAGAATCACCCACCCTGGTACACACGTAGCTCTAACCCTGACAGACAGAAAGCAAAAGAACAATGAAAAGAGACGTTAACTGAAAAGAAAATTGACAAAAGGACACATACAAAATGAAATAACACATGAAAGATTAAGACATGTATTGTCACAGTTACATTTCTTTGGTTTAACTTTCTCTCTACTGAGATAGCCTTTTATAGTGGGTATAAGCGGAATAAGCTATCTGGAACTGGACAGGTGTTTCATGCCAGACCGGACAGCTGATTCCGTATACCCTTTTATAGCACCAAAAATCATGCAGCTGTTTTCAGAATTAGGCAGCAGGGAGAAGGTTACTTTGGATAATCTACATGTAATAATAATAATTTGATAAGGAATATTGCAACTGTGACAGGTCAGGTAAAAATGTCAGACACAGTACAATGAACAAATGAAAATACATTTATGATGGAAAGATGACAGAGAAACGTGAAAATTATGAGAAACAAAGTCTAGAGACCCACCGTCTCTCACAACAAGTACACCTTCTACACCTCCTAAACAGGAACACAGAAATAAAGGGGGCAGAAAGGGAGGGGGTGACACATTGACTGTTACACCCAAACTGGTAGAAAATTAATATGGATAAATGGATAAAACAAAAGTGACAAACACTGTCAGCTTGCTACAGCTACTACATGTACTAGCAAATTGAGTCTTAGACCCTCTCAAAGGTACTTTGTAGTGAGTGTATGACAGACAAATCGATACAATAGTTAGAAAGTAGGAAAGGTTAACATTCAAATGGACCAATGAGAAACAAGAGATGACTGGGCAAAATTAATACAGCAGCATACAAATACATGTACAATGTACCATGTAGAACACTGTCCTTACATAAACTACATTGTACCTACAATGTGTAGCACTTTCTTAGGCACTAAGCTATTTTTTCATCCACAGTTTTCAGGTGAACAGTAATACTGAAATTCCCAAAAATTGATGTCTGAACTTTCTGACTTTTTTGGCAACACCACAGGGGTGGAGCAGTTCAAAGCAAGCAGGCACAGGAAGAACAATGCCAGTCCTAATGTGTAAGAAGAGGTTCTGACCTTGAGCTGACGCTTGTGTTGTCGTCTGAGGGGTGCAGGATGCCACACTGGGTGTACGTGTACGTCGTGTTCGTCGACAGGGAGCCTGACGTCGGCTGGATCACAACTGTGAAGAGGGAAATGTATGTTAAACATCTGAAAATAATTATCCATAACTATCCATGTCTAACACATGTATTTTCCTTGGTATTACAAGTCATCATACTTTTAGTGGCATATCTGAGACACAAAATCTATCACATTACAAAGATACCAATGACAGCAATAGATGGTAACAGTTATAGCATTTATAAAACCTTCTCCCCTCTGCCTAATGCAGTCACCAATATAAATTTGGTGCCAAACAGCTACCTCAGCAGGCTGAAGGTTAAATATCACATAGTCATAACCAACACAAGTGGTACATGGACATGGTACACCCATCCTCACTGTCAATCACAATTAGCAGTTCAGCCAATGACAGCATGGGAACTAAAACACTAACTCAAATGTCTAATGTTACAAAAAAGAGTAGCCCTTATTGGTCCAGCATTATTAGAACAAGAGGCAACCTGTAATGTTGGTCACATTGGACGACAGGATTCTCATATAACTCAGAAATGTTAACTGTACCTACAATGGGAATCAAACCCAGGTTACAGTGGTTACAGAAGTAAATGAATTTACAGTACAATGTATCTGCAGTATTGCTACCCTACTGTCCTGGGAAGAAATGAAGTGAGTAATTTTTGAGTGATTAGGCAAAGCTGGGACCGCTTTTTTGGAAATGACCACAAATGACCACCCTAGGAGATATCCGAATTGCAGGAATATAATTTTTTGGCTGTCATTTGTCGTCATTTGCCAAAAAGACACTCCGAAGCAAAGCTTTATGATTTGACAGAATCATTTTTTTTCTCTATGGCAAAAGTGTATCTGTTACATACTAGCAGTTCAGTATAGCAGATCTAGAGTGAGTTCAAGCGGACAATTTAGTGACAGTAGAATTTCTGGGTTTGGTTGCAGCAGCCAACTTTTGCAGGGACTCACCACACAAATTCTCGGCAAGGAACGACGTAAAACTGAGAGATCGTGTCAAACCAAGGACATCCACGCTGTCATTGTATTCACGATTCTTATTTTCTAACATGGCTGCTGCGTCACTTTTGGGCAAATTTGGACTAGTGTCGAGGTCCAGACATGCACCTAGGCCTGCTCGGAAATAATAAAAGGCAGAAAAGGAACAAAGAAAAATATTAACACTTCAATGATGTATACCTCATACTCAAATATGGCTTCTATAATATGACTGTATATATGTGCATGTCTATTTTTTTCATAGTACGTTCATAGCACCTACATGTATTAGAGAGAGATTGTAATAAAGTTGAACTGCTAGTATATAGTAGATACACACACAACAATGAATTACATGTAAGGAAGGCCCCTTTTCCACTAGAATTCAATCACTGAGCAACCTTTGAGCAACAAAAACTGTTTGACCCTTGGTTTTAGGATTGTAATATGATACATTTAAGTATGATTCAGAAGACAACAAATTGCACAAAATGTGAAAAAATTTGTTCTGACTTATGTATTGAAATCTATTCTGCTAAATTTTTCATCACTCATCATCACTATTAATACCGGTAGTGGAAATGGGGTCTTACATGTAACACAAACATACTGCAGCCTATGGACAACAAATGCCAACATGTTGCTTTTTGCAAGCTGCATCCATAATTGTCAACTTGACTTACATCCATCATCCTCCTCCACGTCGCTGAGGTGGTACTCCTCGGTGAAGTCCTGCTCGATGTGGCGGTAACCCTTGATGTGGACTCCGTCCTGTGACTCCAGCACACCCGCCAGGTTAGGGGTCGCCAGTCTCTGCCACTGGTGCAGCGTCATCGAGCCTACAGCAGCAAGGCAAGGTGTTAGATACTTCTAAAACTTTTATTCTCATACCATTTTGCAGATTTTTCCAGTCTGAATTGTGCCAGTATTTACAGTAAAAACAAGTTAAAAGAGTACTTATAGAGTACATGTACATGTATGTCTCATGTGCAGATAAAAGCAATACATGAGAAAAGAATCTAGACTTGAAAGTCAGTCTTTGTCTTTCAAGGTGAATTAATTTTGGGGATTTACTGTACAGAAATACAAAGTTTGAAGATCCTAGTTGGCAGTTTCTGGGGTAAATCATATGGAGATGGTAGGATCATGCTAGTAATGATCACAAGATAGAATGATTGTTTGCAGCAACTTTTGGAACTGACTAAACTGATTGGCAGGTTCTTGGTTTCCAGGCAACACCCTAACCACACCATTTTTAAACCCTAGATGGCACGGCCCTACAAGGAACAGATCCTTACCTTCCATGGGCTTCACGATCTGCAGTTTCTCTGGAATGTACGGGCGGGAGAAGGACGACCCACGCGACAGGAACGACAAATGGCTGCCCGTGGACATGATACTGTCGCTCTCGTCTGGCGTGGACGTCTCGGAGAAGTCCGACTCTCGGCACTCCGATATCCGCCTCTCCCGCTGCCGGTCACGGAAGATGTTCTCGGCTTCTCGCCGCAGACTGAGCCTCCTCAAGGCCGTCTCAAGGTCGTTGGATCCCGGGATACCGGGTCTTCCCAGGTTACTTGATTTACTGGAACTACCAGTGTCCCTAGATTGGGAACAGTTGATTCATGATTGTTACAAAATTTGCAAACTTTCTGTAAATGTTATCATTACAGCAGATTTGCCAAGTAACAAAACTTTGTTGTCATGATCAAGCCAACATTTTGATGTTTGTATGATTATAATTCATTTGTACATGCATGTCTACATCTAGAAAACAACGAGGAAGCCCCCAGACACAAAATAGTAACAACATCAATTCCAGCTTCTGAATTTGGTATTTCAATTTTCAAAAAAGGTGAAAACTGCGCACATGAAACATGTTTGAATTATTCTATGGAAGTTTTGGAAACCCATGTGATAACCTTTAGTACCCTGTGTGATAAAGCTAGTTATCACACGGGCCGGAACACCCGTATCGAACGTTATCAGGGCCTAGGCATGACACAAATGTACTTACGTTCCAGTGACGTTACTGTTTTCGTCGTCGTCAGCGCCGTAGTTCTCGCTGGGCGGGCTGGAGGCGTGAGAGCTGCCGGAGCCGATGGTGTTGGTGCAGAGCGGACCACTGCTCATGCTGGTCATGGTGGTGGTGGTGTTGGATCCTGGGATAGGTTTGCCGGGCAGAGGCTTTCTCCTGATGTAGCGAACTGTGTCCATCACTCGCTTGGTGTTAGTTCTAGAGGTGGGAGGGGAATAGATAAAGGAATGGTCAATTTGTTGGACAGATTTTGGTCATTGCATGTTGAACATCAAAAGGTCAAGTTTCTTGATTCCAAATTTTAAAGTACATAGTAGAGACTCTTTTAGAATTGACGATTCTATCAGTAGAGATCCTGATTAGAGTCTCAGTCAACAGAAACTCTGATTGGGATAATATATAAGGCTGATATTTAATGGTCTTACCTTTGGTCTTTTGGTGAGGGACCATCAAATCCGTCCCCTATCTGTTGTCTCATGGTGTGTTCTATCTCTGACGCCAAGGAGTCCTGTGACAGAGAGTAAAAACCGTTAGACTTCAAAGTACACATAGACAAGTATCATGCAAAAGGATATTGTAACAAGTGTTTTACAATGTCTTTCAGTTGTTACTTGTGTAATGTATGCAATAACACTACAACTACCAATAAATAATTGCAAGGTTTCCTTTCAGAACAATTATTTTCTTCTTACCAGAGGGAACATGCCGGGGAGAGTGCTGCCGTACGGCCTCTTGGTGGAGGAGCTGGGCTGGGTCTTTTTCCGCATTGTCTTCGCTTCCGCCTGTGCTTCATGCAACATCCCCATGACCTCCTGGTACTTCTCCTCAAGGTCACGGAGCTGTGGAGAGGAAACCATGGCAACCAGGTTGATTGACATTAAAATATACAAAACCAAGTACATGTATATGTCCAGTACTAAGAATAGGTAATAATATTACATACCTTGTTCATGTTTTTCTTTTATTCAATAGAGTGACAGAAATACAAGTTTGACTCACTGAAAGTGAGGACAAACTGATCTAAAAATCTCTCTACTTTGCAAAATGTTGAGTCTTCAATTCAAAAGAACATGGTGCTCCTAACCTCCTCTGTAAGTTCCTGCTGTGTTTCCTTGGCAACCCGCAGGTGTTGTTGGAGTTCTTCATTCTCCAGAGCAGACTAGAAGGAGACAAACACACATTATCATAAATGCCTGATCATGTCACCTACAAGAGCTGTTGTGTATTTTGGAAACTACACAATTCAATTTTTTAAACAAGAAATATACAAAAAAAGTTCTCTACAACATTTTCCATTTTCTGATACAAATCCATTCATAATTGCCAACGAGGGACTGTGTAATTAAGTATCAATGGATAGGCAACAAGACTAATAAACAAACAAACAAACAAAAACAAACAAACAAACAAACCTTCTTGAGCTTCTTGTTAAGGTCGATGGTCTGTGCCAGGTAGCTGGTGGACTCCTCCTGAAACCTGGCATTATCTTCATTCTTTCTCACCAACTCTTCAGTCAGCTGTTTGATCTGAGTGTTAGCTTCCTCTGCAAAACAAACAAGCAAACAAATAAACAATAACTCATCAGGATGAGAGTAAAAACAAGGTGACAGTGTGGTAGAGAGTGGACAGTGTGCTAGACAGTGGTGGATGTGTATTGATGATGGTTCTATTGTGGAAAAGTGTGAATTTGTATGCGTGAAATGTACATTTTCAGTGGTGTTAAGTGGAATAAGCTGGTTTCACAGTTTGAACTGTGTATGAACCCATGAATAAATGAATGGTTTATTTGTATCAGAGGACAAGAAAATTTTTATGGGCTATAGAATACTGTTATGGGCTGGAATGGAGTATGATTTAAAAGTCGATACAACTTAACAATACATGTACTGCACATTTAAAAGTGATTGGTATCTTTTTTCTTTCCATCATAATTTCTCAGATTTACAGAAGGCATTGAATGTACTGAGACTACAATTGGTTAAAAATCAATTGAAACTTCACAAGCTTGATGAAATTTTGAAACCAACACAATTAACGATATAAACTATCCATTATTGAATTTCCTAAAATAATGATTGTATCAATCAATGGTAATCATTGACAAAGTTTATACATGTATTATGTTAATCAATGTTAAGGTGCTAGTTATTTGTTGTTTAGTACATGTAAGTCAATCAGAAGCTCTCAGTGTACTCTTCTTGTGGTTCTACATTTGAATGGTGTTATCTAGTGTTTAGATGGAGGATCGGTGCCATGTAGACTCACATGGTCAGCCCACCCTATAACACCCCCCTCCGCGCTGTACGACATCATGCAATAACTGACAGCCCAGCAGCTAAGCTGAGGACCGGGGCTTCAGCACAGAAAAAACAACAACACATGTATGCACAGTTCAAACTGGGAAACAGCTTATTCATGTAATGTGCATGTCCTGTACATTGTACAAATGTATGTCGTGTGTATCTGTCGTGTAATACACTGTACATATACATGTAAACGTGTTCATAGCAAGAGTTACATGTCTGAAGTGACAAGCCCCTTGACATACACAAATCAAACATACATTGTTTTGGAATAAGATGTGCATGACCACAAATTCAAGGCAAGATCCTTTCAATTTTACTAACTGGATACATTGACAGAGAATTTTTGACAGTTACATATGTACAAACATGAATAGTACTGAAACGCAATATTGAAAGTCTGAGATACCCTAATACCAAAGTGCAGATTCAAAGTATTTCATGGCGTAAAAGGTAAAATTGTAAGAGTGAGCAAAGTGATTCCTATAATGACTGAGACTTCACTGTTTATAGATAATGTGCTATTTGTATCATCCAATGTTGGATTCATGCAAATCAGAGCAGTGTTAAGGGATAGCCAAGGAACACATCAAGAAAGCAGGTAAGATCTAGTACAAGCCTTAAACATCATGCACACTAATAAGTATGCAATGCAACCATCTTCTTTTTTACTAATGGCAAAGGGTCATGTCTTGGAGACAATAGAGCAATGAATACATTGAGCAAAGCAGGGGACAATTAAGCAAGCAAAAGATGACATTTGGAATTTAAAACAGGGAAGTATAAAAGGAAGGTGTAGATTTCTGTGTATCAATGTACAGTGTACAGTGTGCATTAGTTACATACAGGTAAAGGTTGTATCTAATTTGCATGCTTGTTTTGTTATGTTATGTCATGCCTGGTATGTTGAAAGTAACTAGTAAAATGATAAACAGAAACTTGCAGAAATAAGCCAAGCTTAGATAAACAAGTACATTAAAACAAATATTTAAAATTGTATTAAAACAAAGTTAATGACACAGCAAAAAAATAAAAGGCACAAAATTAAGGTTAATCAAAGCAATCACAGCAAAAATACCCAGTCAAAATCATATCACCATGCATGGAATAGAATTATGATCACAAATGACTTAAATGAGGATGTGTGATATGTAAAATGTGAGGTATCATCATATGGGTGTTACAGTTGGTGATTGGTTGTCATATGATATGGAAATGAATGTGGTACTACTGAAGGTTACATGCAGGTGGTTGATGATTGGTTATTGTTGAATGTACAATGTCATGTACATGACTGTATGATAATGCATATAAGGGAGCTACAAATGTATTACTGAAGGTCACATGTTGGTGGTTGATGATTGGTTAATGTTGAAAATGTATGTGGCCACTTTCACAACCTCTTACTTTTAAGATGGCTTCAAGCAATTTTTTTGCTTTCAACTGTGATGTTCATACCTTGTGAGGCACTTACACTAAAGCTGTGTGAAAAGAAGCCATCTTAAAAGTGCTGAGCACCACAACACACAAGCATGTACACACAACATAAAGTAAACGGTGGGAGGTACAAAAGCTCTCCAAGTATCAATGCCTTGAACCGCTATGTAACTGAGTGGTCAACTTTTCTGTTGTGTCTTTGAGAGTCCCCTTTCCACTAGACTGTGTTCACAGCCTCTAGTAGAAAGGGGGTTGTACACAAGATGACAACAGTAACATAGCAATTCAATGGTTTTCATTAAAAACATCGAGAACTTTTTAACCTCCCACATAAAATAAAGAAAAAAAAATGCAGCAGCCGGGTTGCCTCGGTGCATGCACCAACTGTTCCACACTCACTTAGTTCGTCCTGAAACGTACTTAGCTCCTTGACACAGTCGGAAACCAGTTTGGCCTCTTGTTCTTCATAGTCCACCGTCTCTGTCTTCAACTTCGCTGCCTGGAAAATGGTTTGTCAGGTTAATAAGTACATTCTAGGAAGAGTTTTCATGGTAAAACCATATATTCCGTCAGCCCTATGTTCCGATATGCCAATGTTCTAACACACATTTGTCAAACGATTTTGATGTCGTTCAATTTTCAAGCAGGCTGTGACAAGGATCTAATACAGACTTTTCTGCAATAAGAATCTGCTGAATTTTGAAATACTCATGCATGACTCTCAAAAGGATCATGCATACGATGATCATACAACAAATGTGACTACAAAACCCTAACTCTAACCTACCCGTACACGTTCCCAAATGTTCAAATTGTACATGTACATGTTGTACATTGCAAAATGTAGGTGTATCAGAACAAAGGGTATCCGAACAAAGTGGTTTCAGAATATATAGGGCTGTCCATTGTCTAGATCAAAAGTGATTTGATTTGTACAAATGTACAAGGCATGTACTTATTTTAATGTATATATAATAGCATTAAAGCATGTTACTTGTAACAACTACTAGGCACACATCGCAACTATTATGACAGTTTCCTGAACACTACATGTTGTAGGTTATGTACAGTGTAAGTAAACAAGGTATGTGCTCCCTTCTACTTCTATTTCTACAGCATTTAGAACAATGGGTCAGTATGTTACATGTACATGGAACATGGGCACGCAGATGATGACAGTGTGTGACTAACTTTGAGCTAAACACAGCATGGTTTAAAGACATGTAAGGACTTCTAAATACATATATAGACACCACTCCTTCACTTGTACAAAACCTTGTGTAAGCTGCTGTCAACTGCATGTCTACAGCATTCTAACACTAACTTGAAAAGCAACATTATGATTAAAGTTAAAACAACATTGCAAGCACAAGCATACATTGCTAATCCTTTCAAGAATGATACAAAATAAGACTCTATAAATTTATTGAGTCTAGCTTTAAATGTGACTTGAGATAATTCTTCTTCTTCTGACACGATATCTTAAAGGAAAAGCAGATTGACTTTGAAAACCTACTGCTTGAAATAAAGCATAAAGCAACAAAACTGAATATGCCTACAGCGACATTTTACGCAAACAAGGGAAAAGGTAGTATACATTATAACTGAATACAACAGAAACCCCATACTGTTTTCATGGCCCATAGGGCATCTAGGGTAGACTCTTTCACAGCCTTCTGCACTGAGAATAGATCCTGACACACAATTCAGCAAAAGAAGCAACAAAGCAAATCCAATTAAATAATCACCAATTGTTCCAGTTTTAACAACTCACCACAAATGACAACAAAAGAAATAGTGAAGCCAAAGCTATGAGATCAGTAAGACAAAATTTTGGCAAAACTCAAGGCCATATAGAAACATTGAAATTCAAATAATTTGTCAGTTAGAATGAGTAACACCATCCAAAATTGCTGAAATTCAGCCCAACCAAAGTAAAGCAATTGTGAAGTAGACTTGTATGGGCCCAAATATTGAAAGGTCGCATCTTTTACTAATGCACATATTTTGTGTCTTAAATGTTGACAACACAAGTTGCAAATGAAAATGATGTGAACAATGTTTTTCTAACAAAAGTATGCATGCCAGAACCGCAAAACCTTGTAAAAAGCAACAGAAACTTAAAATGACAAACTTGGAACACAACATTTTGCAACATTGAGCATCACAAATGCATGAAAGAACTCAGGCTTGAACAGAAAACACAGAACACCTTCTTTGGCATGCATTTCTGCTGTACCTTTCTGAGTTTCTCACCTCACAAATTATTTGAAAATTCTCTTCCTCTAAAGCCTTGATCTTCCTCTGAAGCACATCAATGTGGATGAGTCCACTGAAAACGTAACAGGTTACATGTACATGAGGACTGTACCAATCGAGAATTAGGGGTGTCTGACTGTCCCTATTTTCTTGACTGCTCAGTCCTGTGACCTGTAGGGCTTAGGAGTGAGATTTTGAAGGTTAAAGCAGCCAAGTGCAGTTCTTCAAGCCAAGTCTGGTCAAATCAGTTTGGTCTGTAGGCTTGTAATTTATTTCAGCCCAATTTTGCAAGAATAATCAAGGAGGTCAAAAATCAAGATTTTTACCCACAATGGTATAATGAAAAAGGGATCAGTTTCAATGTGAAATACAGTACAGTTTTTATATAATGAAGTCATCCAAATTGAGAAATTAAATTCTACAACTGGAATTCTGTAGAATTTTTGGTGTGTGAATACTTTGCAGGTGTGTTGGAAAGATTTTGTTCTTTCGAACAGTTTTGGATGTGTTTTACTTGCTTCTGTGACACAAATTTTCAAGACATCTGATTTGTAAGACATGGCTTGAGTGAACATGGCTGAGTGTCCTGGAAAAAACTCACCTCAGACCGAATCTGTAGATTTTCTTCTTCTAGTGTCTTAATCTTCTTTTGGAGAGCATCAATGTTGGGTAAGCCACTGGGTAAAAGCAGTGTTCTGTCATGTCTCCTGTTACAGAGGTGCGGAAAAAGTGCGGAGAAAAACAAAACAAAAGACGGCGGTCAGTCTCCCCGGCTGCCATGCAAGCCACCACATGCAGTTACGCATCCATGCAGATAGGGGGCGTTCTTACGTGGGGAGATATTGGGGTGAAACAGAGGGAAGGCTACAAATGAAATGTGATATGATGACAGACTACAGAAAGGTGAAGGAATTGTTTTACCGTGCTTGAGGAGGAAAAGAAGATATCCTTATGTCACCTGTGGAATATTGTGACCTAACAAAAACTTTACCTCGACATTGACTCTCTCAAAACTTTCTGTTACTAGTAATTTATAATCCACAGAAATTGATTAGACTGTTGACATTGTCACACAAAATGAATATCATTTACAGACTATTTACTGCAAACTGTTCATACATTTCAATAAAGTTTTTATGTGATTAATTTCAAAACAGTTAAGGTTGGGGAAAAGTGCTAATTTCATCTGCCAGTGGGCATTTTTTTAGTCTTCCAACTCCTATTTACAATGGCAGCTTGTTAACTTTATCATAATTGGGAAGTGAGAAAATGACAGATGATCACTTAAATACTAGTACTGATAACTTAAAAAGTGTGATTGAAACAAAAACATGGTTCCATGCAAAAAATTATAGCAAGTTTGGTGTGAAATTATTATGGTGCAAATTATATCCATCAGAAAAAAGCATTTGTAAGCTCATACACAAGTAGCATATGGGATTGCAAGCTGATTGTATAGCAAGAATTATGGCAGATTCCATAGCTGTAGCATATAAGATTAATAAGATGCGTTTACCTAATTTGCAAAACAAACATCATACATGTATAAACAAACCATACATGAATGTAAAAGTTGAATGACATGATGGAGCAGAATTTGAACAATGGGAGGCTGCATAAGAATTGCAACAAATAACTTTTCATTTTTTTTACCCATCAAAAGGCAGTTATTTCCATGAATATTGCTGTGCACGCAAAATACAGTGACAGAGGAATTTAGAAAGTTGCACAAAAGTGTATGGATTGTATTTATAATTCATTTATTGCATTTTTGTTCCCAGGATTCAAAAAAAGCTCTAGGACTTGTACATTTGCATTTGGAAACAAAGGGAATTAGGAAGTGAGGGGTACACTGTGTAACCAGAGACTGACAGGACAGTTGAATTGGAGGTCAAAATGGTCTCATGTGGAACCTTCAGGAAATGGTATGAAAGATTGTGGAGAAGGACTTTGGATAAGACATGGGTTTGTCCACAACAAACATACAATTCTCACAATCACACCATTAACATTACCTGACAAATTGTGAGTTGTAAGTGATCAGTGCTTCACACTTTGTTAGATGCAAGCTTGCCTCTGTCTGTCAATTTCAAAATACACGGTCTGCCAGCAATCCACAAAAATACAATGTACTACTTTTACAGGTAGGTGGTTGTGTAATGAATATGTGTTACATTTGCTATCTATTCCAAAATAGTTAGGAAAGTAAACATTTGGGTATAATGTATAAGAAGCCGTGGGTAAGTTCTCAACTTTGCTTGAACCGATGCTTGAATAATGTCATACAACATTTCATAGAATTCAACTTCAAAGATCCATACGTCTGAGTCATTTGCATATTTGGGTAGATTTAATGAGCTCATTTGCATGTTTGTGCTGGTACTTACGTGGCAGGTGAGGTGCAGCTGGAGTCTGTCTCGCTGAGTGACTCCTCCTGGGTGTAGATCTGCAGCAGATCTTCCTTCAGCTGGAGCTCATGCTGGAGCTGGTTGTTCTGGAGAGAAATAATGTGTGTAGGGGGAAATTGTGTAACCACAGACTGACAGGAAGGTTGAATTGGAGGTCAAAATGGTCTAATATGGCCTGAGATTAAGTGAATGGTAACAACAACAGTTATACTATATTTAAGTTCTTTACAGAGGTGTGATTTCTTGTTTACTTTGCTCAGCCTAATTAACTTTATTACCAAACTGCAAGTACCTACTAGTAGTAAATATACAACTCATCATTGAGGCCAATGGGATAAAAAAATTACAGTCTGTATAAACATATCACACCTATGTGTACACAATCATGTAATATTGGATTGGTAACTTCTGTATGAAGCAGTTCTGTCCAAAGTTCAGCAGTTCAATCACTTGCGAAAGTTTGCTCAATTATTCAGCCAGGTCATACTGACTTGATGTTTGAGTACCCTATACCCTGCTACCAACTTTATGTTTCAGATAACAATAGCCACTCTCTCATTGGTCAAACCGCTAATTGCCAGGCAATCATTGGTCGAACTGCTAATTGTGATTGGCAGTCAGGATGGGTCTATTCAAGTTTAGTTTGTCCTTCTACACTGTAAATCATATCAACCTTCTCCCTGCTGCCACAAATTTGGTGCCAAAGGGCTATCCTTAGCAGGGTTATGTCATAATGATGAAATGGTAAACAAATGACGTCTGTGCACTTGACAAAGTCCATTGTCACATGAGTAAGCAGAATATGATTATAATAAAATAACTGTCTACATAGTGGTCACTCAATGGACAGGTGACCACTTCATGCTTTAAGTTCAATGGCTGTAATGCAAGAATGACCACTAATACTAACACAGGTTTAACTGTGCATTGTATTGTCATACTTGAAGTTGTACAAAACTGAGTGATATGCCTAAAGGTGGTTTACCAGTTATGCAAAACAAACAAACAAACAAACATATATACCCGCTCGGACACAATCTGTAACTGTTCCTCCAGGTAGTCATTTTTCTGGCTGAGGAGTCGATTCCTCTCCAGCAGTGACTGGCCAATCTTAGCAGCAAGCTCAAGATCCCGCTCTTTCTGCAGAGGAGAAAAACAGCAGAAAACAATCTTTAGAACTGTGCATACATTTTCTACTTTCATGATTGAATTTAAGCAACTTGTTTTGCTCGAGTAACTGTTGCTGATTTTGGAAACGGCTAGATGTTTCAGGTACTATAGGAGTATAGCATCCACACTACTTTTCATCAGTGACAGTGGAAAATTCTCAGAAAAACAGGTTTGTAAACATGAAATATTGATTGAAGAGCAGAAAACAATCTTTAGATATGTATATAAATTTCATCAGGTTGGTGAATGATTGAATACGCCAAAAACAGTTACTCAAGCAACTGGTTTTCCTTGAGTAACTGTTGCTGATTTTTGAAAATGTTGACAGACGTTTCAGTAAGCTTCCACTACCTTTTGTCAGTGACACTGGAGAATTCTCAGAAAACAGGTTTATAAGTACGAACTATTGATTGATAGGCAAAATAGTCAAATAGCTCTGGTTGTTTAACCAAAGGAGCTTAAGTGTTATCTGTCCTTGGGGCTGGGAGCGCTAAGAATGACTGAATAGCTAGCGAAGCTGTTTATTCAAAACCACTTGTTTATCAAGAGCTGACATTTCTATGACTGTCTGTCATCTTGTATGCCTAACCTGGATGTCTAACCTTCATCGACGTGTCTGTCATCTTCATCAGGATAATTATGACTGGTTCACTGTGCACTAAAGAAAGATTTAAAGTATGTCCTTTGGAAGACACATAATGTACAATCATGTACAAAATGTAATATTATGTAACCACCTTTTCAAAACGGCCAGCCGAGGTAAAAAACACCTGAGCCAGGTGTGAACTTGATTCTATAGGATTAGGGCAAACCAAACAATGGCAGACTTGTTTGCTGACTTTGCTTGCGTAGTAACGCACCAGTAGTGTTTCTATAGTAAATTTGGACGTGACATTTTCAAATGGGTTTTCAGAGTTCATATCTGCCTTGTACCTTCAACAATTTAGGATTAAATGTAGTAGTTCGGTAGACGTTGGAAAAAAGTTAGATATGATAACCAGAGCAAAGAAAAACGAGAAGGGAACCCAAAACCTTTGATCCTATAGTAAGGTGCTTTGTACAGAATTGACAAGTTGACAGACTATTCAGTGCACGATGAGCTAAAATTTACGAAGAAAACGTACCTGGGAATGACTGCTACAGTCTTCACCAAAACCACTACTATCCATTCTCCATTCTGGAACCGTTTCACACAATTTCATGCTACTCTACTCGGGTTTTGAACCATTTTTTTTCTTGGAAGCACTCGACATGGGTGTTACCGCCGGAACCTCAGCCCACCTCGAGTGTTCAAAGGTTAAAGTTTACACAGTGCTCATTGATCGTTCCGTAAATGATCAATAATGCTGTAAATAGTATACAAACAAGGGGCGTACCATGTTGACTCCTTCGGGGGGGATGGGTTGTTTTACAATTTGTAGTATCATTAGACTTGTAGGATCACATGCTAGAGCAATATATTCTAGATGCTATCATTAGGTGTATCATTTACAACCAAAAGGAAACATTTATCTACAAATATTCCACGGTGAGTCTTCTTATATTTTTTATTAATACATGTACTAGTAGATTATATATTGAAAAGTAGCTATAGGGCGTTTTTAGCTCCTGGTTTGCAGGAATTGGAAGGGTGTTAATCTCTGTTGAAAGATTATCTAGTTTGACCTGGATTCCGTCCAATAATTCAGTTTAGCCAGAACAATATGTACTGTGAGTGTTTTAGTTTATGCCTATAAACATGACAAAACACACAAACATGTCAGTTAACAAGCCTGAAGATAACAAATGCATTCCTACAAACATTTTTTCACAACATCTCAGTCTCTTGGCAGTGTAACATACTTACTTCTTCAAGAAGTCGTGTGACAGCCTCTATGTCATTGTACGTCTTCGTCATCTGGGCCACACGATCGGAGCATAGGGCTGGATAAAAACGAAAACACATCCTAACATTCAGTCATCTACTAGTATATAATATGCTATATGAGTCTTATGGCCCTTGTGTATCTAATGCGAGGAACATTGTTGCACTGTTCATGGCATAGGGCTGGAATCAAACAAATACACAGTCAGTCATTAATTCATGGTAAACAATCCTTGTGTATATAATATGTGAAACCTTGAGGATTTGTTCATGGCATAGGAATGATGAACTTAACCATTAACCACAGGCCCTGTGAGGAAAAATAACATGTTAACCTTCAACTGACTGAAGTGAACTGAACTTGTCAAACCTTCAGTCTGCTAAGGTAGCAATTTGGTACCAAATTTGGTTATGTGGTTAGGCAGCAGTGAGAAGGTTAAAGACATTACAATTTTTTAGTTTGGGGCTTCAGTCTCTTGGAGATTCTCCAAGGTTCATTCTGACGTGTTCACAAGGTCAGCAACACGACCTTGGCCATTGGTTCATCAGTTGAAATCAAATGTCATGAAATTGTGACAGAACCATTTCTCAGAAGAACTCTTATATAAGGACAGCCATCTTTTTACTCGGTCATTCAACTGTAGTTGTCCGGTCATGCCATGCCACTAGCCTGGATACCATAGAGGATACCAGACCTATATAGCACATTACATGTAGGTCCTGAGTAAGCCAGGGTCAGGATCAGGGTCTAAATGAAAGGGACTGTGGTATAATTTCCTTGTGTGCATGTTAGCTCTGAGGAGCACGCCTATGTAGGCCTAAAAACAGCCTGATACCCAGAAATTGTGGCATGGGTTCTAAGAATCTTTAGGAACAACAGATAAGGGGGGTGGGTCACCCTTCTCTCACCTTGAAAAAAACTGATTGAGGGAGATGTTGGATTATAAAATGGTGGCCTAAAATCTGTCATGAAGGGAAGGGAGGCTTGTGAAATTTTCATTGAAGTTAGCAGTTGTGTCACCTAAATCATATACATGAAGAACTGTACTGAACATGGACAGCTTGAAAAACATAACTCTTACCACACCAACTATAACAGTTCCTACAGCAATTCATCTATCTATTATAACGTCTGTAAAGACTGTCACTGAACACTTTTCAGGTATAAATGTACAAGTAACGTACACACGATACTGTGTTATTAGACTAAAAGCAGTACAGTACGTAATACAATCCTCAAAGCATCATACTAGTATATGCTTCAATACCCACCTCTTTTACGAATCTTTCACGCCTGCATTACCAACCCTGCCCTGTATGTGTTCTCCTTGTTCCCCTTCCCCTATGACTACAATTAGATACAGATTTACATAGCTACCAAAAGATGTTGATAAAAGGTCAGCATATTGAGGATCCCAAAATGGTGGCTCTCCACACATGTACGGAATGGTCCGAATCCCAAACCACATGTCAATCAACAGCTAATCTAATCAATCTACCCCATGGAATTCCTCTCAGCAATTGGTTGGAATACCTCTGATCATCTAAATCTGGTTGCCTGGGTTTTGCCTGGTTGCTTGCTTCTGCATGGTGACCTAGATATTCTATGCTTTGCATTATGGTCAACACTAAAAAAAAGGCTGACGCTATGTCATGAATACATGCATGCAGCGTGCTGTGATCCAGTTTCCAGTGACAGGTATATACAAAAACAGTTTCATGGCAATCGTCCAGCATTTAGGTACAAGAACAGATGTACATATAGGGTAGTTTCAGGTTATGTAATTTTAATGTTGTTTCTAACATTAGGTAGATGGCAGTTCAAATGGAATGTCATTTTTGTGGTACATTGTATTTCTACATGATAAAGAATTCTGGGATGTAATCTATTAACTTGTCAGGGTACACTAGGCTATATACATGTAAGGAGTCTATTTTCTATCTTCATTCTAGTCACACATTTTAGGCTAAAGGAGTCCGTTTCTATCCTAGACACACATTTTATTTTCAGCAAACAAAAAGCTGAACATGTCTGTATTACAGGTACAAATTGGACAAAAACTTTTCAGAGAGATCAGTCCTGTTTATGTTATTGTTAGGACACCCTCCTTATTTCACACCTAATTTCACAGTGATTTTAACATCACCATGGGGGGATTTCCTAAGGACTTGCTAATTAGTATTTAATTAGGCTGGGAAGCTTTGAATAGAAACCACCTGTCAGTGAATACACATGTATCTGGGTTAACTACTGGCCCTAGATAAAAAGGGACAACTCAGTTAGTAAAGACATAATTAGGATGTTGTTCATACTTTCTTTTTGACATTTTTGACCAAATTTTAGTAGTCTCTTGAGTGGTCTTCTTGTGCAGTTTTGACTGTAATGACTTATTCATTATATTATACTGTAATATTTCCACTCAGCCCCACCTCCCATGTTTATACACAATATTTAATGTTAACACTTCAAAATGTTTTGAGATAACAAGAAACTTTCTAGTGGTTTGAGAACATGTCCGGAGCAGGTTAACTGATTTGTCAAGTGGTATCTTATTTGAAGTATGTCAGTAAAGTGGCACCAGGATAAAAGGAATACACAATATTGATTTCGTTGTACTGTATCTTTTGGCAAATCAACTGACATAGTAATAAACTGCTTGGGCTTCAACAGAAATGCTATACAAATTGGTCTAATTCAAACCTTACCAATAATTCTATTACCCTCAGCAGGAGATATAACCAACCTTTCATCACCTTATAATGAAGTTAAAAGGAGCTAACTGACAGATCAGGTAACTACTATACGTTCTAGATGTAAACATTTTTTTTCATCAGAGTCTATTGAGATCAGAAGTTCAGCAACAGAAGAACTCTTCAAGGACATTTAAAGGTCGTTGAAGTGTCCTTGTGTTGACCTAATTTCAGGAAAAATCAATGATTTCAGTGTTTTGTGTGGTAAGACTTGATGTCAACAACACTTGACACGAACACCTTTCCTAAGAACATGAGAACATCGGTAAACACATTAGGTGACCCATTCAGGCCATGGGAACAACAACAACACGGGAGGGCTCCTCATCAAGTCAAGGGAATGGAACAAAAAACAACACACTACATTTTTAAGACTTACAAGGAAGGTATGCACCAAACTTATAATTAAAGGCTCAAATCTGCCAAAAAGAACCCCGTTTAACCTTCTTCCTGCTGAAGTAGCTATTTGGCACCAAATTTGCATTAAATGCAGCGTTAGGCAGCAGGGAGAAGGTTAAAACAAACTAGGTTTTCACTTGTGTTTTGAGTAAGGAGAAAAAAAAAGAGGTCAATGACTCGGATGTAAACAACAGCACCTGTCACCATAGACACTGAAGCTGGCCCAATAATGAGTACAACAACAAGTTGCTACTCCTCCAATCCATAACTTTCAAGGCGTTTTACACACTCAGGAAAACAAGTTGTACAGTTAGCAAGCTCTTATTCCATTGGTTGGGGGAAAACAGTACAATCATTTAAAATTACCAGCACGACATGAATACAAATACTTATTCTTACCCATCAAAAGAACTAATTTTTTCCACCATTTGGAGCCAAACTGCCCTATTTTTCCCCCTTTATATACCCACTGTTTTTGTCCAGCAAAGTTGCATTCAAAACAATGGCAAAATGGAATAATCTAAGAGAAAAACAGTTGCTGATACAAGGTAATATTCTACCTTGCAATTTGGCACTTAATTGGCCCTTAACTCTAGTCTTTAGCCTAAGTGGTAGCAAACTGACAATTTCATCATGTCCTAACAGGTACAATTTCACCTGTTCATATGAAAAGAGTGTTTAGCTAAATAAAAATTATGACTACTACAAACACTGTTGCTTTAGCTAGAGGCTTGCTTGTGGTTTTGCAATGATTCCGTCTTTTGTTTTGTTTTGAAGATCAAACTATTGTTGCCTATGCCTTCCAGCACAAGCTCTACCTTGGAGCAATATACTGCACTCTACAAAGAGTAACTTATCATAAATGCTTTGAAAAATCTGATGTACTTCCATCCAATAAAAACAAAAAATGGGAAACAACCACCTAATACTTACAACATGCATGTTCTTCTTCCATGATGGCAGAAGTAGTCTTAACTAAATGCCTTTTATAAACAAATCACGTACAAACTCATCGCACTTTGTGACTTTTAACAAAGAAACCATAGTGGTGATATTGCTCGAGGGCGAAATTATCCACGGTTGTTAGTCATCCGTTTTCTACCCGGTCGAAGCCCCCTAATAACAATATGTAACGACCAACGTGACCAAGGCCTGGGGACATAGCATTGTCAAGTGGGAGCAACCATTCCAAAAGGGGTAGAACTTTTTTCAAGAACACCAGGTAAATAACTGTTGTTATCTATGTACTTTTTTTACTTTTGCAAGATTTTTTTGTGCATTCATGATTCATTTGGTAAAAACTAAAAGATATACTTTCTTGTGTCCCCTTCATAACAATACTAATGGACTTTCCCAAATTTTCAGAGCTTATCAAGGGTGCACATGTGAATGAACATGTACTGGTGTGTGTACAATGTATGTGGCAGACAAGTTGTCAGTTGAGTGGAGCTTAGGTTGTTTTAATGAGAAAATTACACTTTGGGTGGAGAAATCTTTGAGTTAACTGCTATTAAATGACTGTTAACAACACTGAAAGACATTCTAGCCTATGATATAATATAGTATAGTATAATAGTCATCAGCTACACCTACAACATACTTAAGTTTTGAAAAATTTGTAGCTTTCCAAATACATCATATTGTGATTTAGGCAGTTTATGTACACATACAATGCAATTTATTTTCTGCAAATGATAAAAGTTCTCATAAGTCTTGATGTCCCAAAGGCTATTTTTCAAGATTACTTGGTTATCTTTTCATGTACAATGTGAGCGTTCGCACGAACTTTAACATTTGATTTCTACTGAAAAATACCACCCAACCTCAGGCAAACACTTGTCTTATCCTCCCCACGATAAGGAAGGCTTTATTCTTCTTGTCTGTGACCACGAAATTGGACTTCGTGTCT